TATGTCTGCCTATGTGTAGAGACAACTGTAAATTATACCTTGTCCATCAGATTTCTTATGATTAAGAAATACCAGGTCGTTAGAATATTTATAAAGTGCCTAGAAAATCAACCTAACAAATTTAGAGTAGATCTGATTCTTTACTTCCTCCCCGACCAGGGCTGGAACCTGTACTTTTCACTTCATACTTCTATGACAACACCGCCTAGCATTGCCCAGACACCTTATCCACTCCTCTAACTATAGCTGATTAAAATCAGCTTTCGTTTTTGGAGGTGTTACCTTCTCGAAATACACAAAACATTTTTGGGTAAAGATTGCATGAAATGCAATCAAAACCCTATGGGACTGACTTGATATCAAAATCTTCCAAGGTTTATCACTACCTTTCATTTACACAAAATATAGTGCATTGATCATACCATTCTATAAATTCTATCCATGAACATTTCCAGAAATTTATCAATGAAATATATGCTCAGATATTCAAGTCACAAAATAATGTTATACTTGTCAAGAAATTACACAACTTTTGCAAGGTGCAGGAATCTAATATCTGTCCTAAAAATATCAGTGATGAAATTCTTAAAGTCATCTTTAAAAATTGGAGTTATCTTCCTTTATCCAGAACTACAACCAATGTGTTATACAATGCAATATTTAGTTTTACTTTCCACTGATAAATTAAAGCAATCTTAACCCTTCAGTGCTTACAAGCACTTTGATTAAGTGTACAGGAATGATAAGTTAGAGGGGATAAGGCGTCTGCACAATGCTAGGTGGTGTTGTCATTGAAGTATGAAGTGAAAAGTACAGGTTCCAGCCCCGGTCGGGGAGGAAGTAAAGAATCAGATCCACTCTAACATTGTTAGGTTGATTTTCTAGGCACTTTATAAATATTCTAACACCTGGTATTTCTTAATCATAAGAAATACGATGGACAAGGTATAATTTACAGTTGTCACTACACATAGGCAGACATACATATATATAAATTTACAGTGATTGTATGCTTCTAAAAATAGAATAGCATCCTGTAATTATACTGAAGAGATGAGTAGATTATCATTCCTGTACATTTAATTCCTACGAGAAAGTAACACCTCCCGAAATGAAAGCTGATTTGAATTAGCTATAGTGAGAGGAGGAGATAAGGTGTCTGTGCAATGCTAGGCGGTGTTGTGGTAGAAGTATGAAGTAAAAAGTACAGGTTCCAGCCACGGTCAGGGAGGAAGTAAAGAATCAGATCTACTCTAACTAACATTGTTAGGTTGATTTTCTAGGCACTTTTAGGATCATGGTATTTTTACGTACCAGTTGTGAAGTGCTGTCTTCTCCCTTTCTTTACATGAAGTAGATTTTCAATTACAGCTTGTGTCGGACTATTGGGGTGTCGGACTAATGGGGTGTCGACCAATGGGTGTCGGACTAATGGGGTGTCGGAATAGCTGGGCGACCCCCAACAAGGGTTAAAGGCAAGCGCAACTGTAAAAAAAAAAAAATAACAATTTTGAGCTCATTAGTAAATTGATTTTTCTTCTGCTATATAAGAGCTGAGGTTTCGCAGCTAGAAAATTTCCTGAAGATTATTGGTACATGCTTGTGTTTAATATCCTAATACTTTTCAGAAGATATTCAATAGATGAAAAAATTGGATGATATCAATCACATGCCTCTTTATGGTGTCTTTATAGTCTGCAGAAGATGTTACAAGAGCAAATGTGCGTAAATTAAACAATCAGCCGAGTTTCATTTGATAAGGTCCACTCAGTTACACAATTTAAATCACCTATTGTTGTGCAGATTTCTATTGTCCACCCATTGTCCATGTCAATCAATACAGTTCACTTCAATTGATACTTGTGTTTTTGTATATGTATTAGATACAATACAAAGGTAACAAAGAAACAGGCCGGTAACAACCGTTGCCGGCTAGTTTTTCTGCACGAGTAGTCAGGTCAAGGTCCGAGGCGATAGCCGAGGACCTTGACCTGACTACAAGTGCAGACAAACTATACGGCAGGTTGTTTCCGGCCTGTTTTTTGTTACCTTTGTTTTGTATCTGACTTGTACGACGTTTCAAGAAGGAAGAAGTACATTTTGCATTTAGAAGAGGTAGCAAAACTAAAGATATTAGAAACTTAAATGGCCATATACCAGTTAATGTAAGTTACAGTTTAAACTCAATTTTTTTTCTCACTTCCCTTCAGCCGAGAGTTTTTTCTCAAAAAAATCAAGAATCTAATAACTTTATAAAAAGAACCATTTCAAGTTAAAGGTGAATGTTATACACATTTGAGACTTTTTGAAATACAACTTCGCAAGTAAGTAATGTATAAGATTTAAGCAAGCTACCATTTGATTTTATTGGGGGGGGTAAAATAAATTTAAGATAAACAGGCTTCATCCTTTTTTTGTTGAAAAAATGCAGGATGTGCCATGTCCATGTCTTGTTATTATATATAGGCATATGTTTTGGATTCAGAAAAAAAATGTTCATGCTTATAGGTTTTTATACGCCCGTTTACGGGACGTATTATGGTATACCGTTGTCCGTCTGTCCGTCCGTCCGTCTGTCCGTCCGTCTGTCCGTCGTCAACATGTCGGACATTAACTCAAAAATGCTTTCACCAATTTGCATAAAACTTTGGTGAATTGTTTATATCTATTGACGTGAGCTCCCTTTCGTTTTTTATAAAATTTAGATTTTAAGTTTCCGAGTTATGGGGTTTTATTCATTAAAAAAAGGGGGATTTTCCAGTTTTCGGACAATAAGTCAAGAATGCTTTCACCAACTTGCAAGAAATTGTGGTGAATTGTTTATATTTATTGACATGAGCTCCCTTTTGATTTTTATAAATTTTAGATTTTACGTTTCCGAGTTACAGGGTTTTATTCATAAAAAAAGGGGGGATTTTCCAGTTTTCGGACAAAAAATCAAAAATGCTTTCAGCAATTCTTATGAAACTTTGGTGAATTGTTTGTATGTATTGATGTAAGCTCCCTTTAGATTTTTATAAATTTTACATTTTACATTTCTGAGTTATGGGGTTTTATTCATTAAAAAAAGGGGTGATTTTCCAGTTTTCTGACAATAACTCAAAAATGCTGTCACCAATTCTCATGAAACTTTGGTGAATTGTTTATATCTATTGATGTAAGCTCCCTTTTTATTATATGTCTCTGATAGTGTTGATCAGGATTAAACATGTGTCACTATATGATCCAATCAGAGCTTACCGTCCAAAATTGATGACATAAGTTGAATTATTTTCTTTACGATTTGCTGCATATTTGAACATGTATTACACGGACACTTTTTATTTATAGGATCAATCGTGCATTGGTGAGTTGATAGGGATTTTATCTTTTGATTAGATTTGATTTTTTTATATATATTTCCCGTCTTTTTATTGAAATATAAACGTTGGTACCAGCATTTCTTTCAGCATTGTCCAGAATACTATTCATGTCCATATATTGAAAAAAAAAATACATTTACGGACCGACCATTTACCTTCAAAAGGGGGTGTGTTCTTTTCTGAGTAAGAAAATTATTTAGTTTTTCAACGCTATCGCCCAAATATTTTTTTTTTCGAAATCAGCACTTTTATATACGGTATTCGGAAAATCAGGAGCCAGAACATTATTTTCAGTGTCATCTGCTTGACCATTATATATTTTTTCTCAGAAAATTGGGGATCAAAATGTGTTTTTTTAGGAAAAAAACATAACCGGCCTTTTGAAGTTAAATGGTCAACCCCTTAGTGTACTAATATGAATAGTTACTGGAATTGTTTGAAAAAAAATATAGTTATTGATGCTAACGTAAATATTTTTAATTAAAAAGACAGGAAATATGTCGGTGAAACAAAAAGTTCAAATCTGATTGAAATTTAAAGTGCCCATGAACTCACTGATCATGCACGAGTGATTCTATTCATAAAAAGTGTCCGTGTAACAACTAAAAAGTGTCCGTGTATCATCTAAAAAGTGTCCGTGTAACACCCGTTAATGTACTGTTTTTCTATAGCTCTGCTGGGGGCAAAGTCGTACAACATTGTATATGAGAGAAACTTCTCAAACATCTTTCCCTACTTCCACTGGTACCGTACGGTAGTTTATTTTGGCACCTATTTTAGGAACAAAAAGAAAAGGCATAGCAAAATCCAATTGAATTTCATTTATCACTGCATATCCAGTGACTGATTCCAGTCATGCTTTAAAACTTTTCAAGGTACACAGATTTATATGTACCGTCCTGTCTTGTTAGCGCTTTCACGTACACAGTTCTTGTTAGATTTTTAGGAAACTTATATCATAGGTTTATATCAGCAATGTCTTTGACGAGTTTGAAAATCAGTGCCAATCAATTATTTTTAAAAGAGTTATGCCCCTTGGAAATATTGATTATATGGAAAATTGCATTGTTGGCACTCTCATGTGTACAATTCTTGCCAGATTTTTATGAAACTTATATCATAGGTTTATATCAGCAATGTCTTTGATGAGTTCGAAAATCAGTGATGATCAATTATTTTTAAAAGATTTATGCCCCTTGGAAATATTAATTATATGGAAAATTGCTTTATGAGCACTCTAACATGTCTAATGTGTACAATTCTTGCCCGATTTTTATGAAATTTATATTATAGATTTATATCATCAATGTTATTGACGAGTTAGAAAATCAGTATGGATCAATTATTTTTAAAAGAGTTATGCCCCTTGGAAATATTAATTACAATGGAACTCACCTTGCATTTGCTTTTAAGCCTTCATTTCTCCAAGATATTTATAAATTGTTTTAAAGAACAAAAAAAAAGGTTTTTTTTTTAGTTATTGCCCTTGTACCTTCGATAGATGAAATATGTGCAACAAGGGGACATTGGAACTCTGTTCTTTTATTCCATTTTGTTTTTATACCTCTTTTTACTTGCATTGGTGTACTGGAAAAAGATTAAACATACTAAGGAAATTTCAAATTATATTTTCAGATATTTCTTCCTTGTAATGGGTGTATAGTGTAACACAAAATGTGACTAGCTGAAATAATTTCTGAAAGTTTTGCTACAGAGGACTGACCACTACTTTTCACTATGGCAATAAATGTTGTTGGACTAGTTGTGCTGTTGTTGTTTTACATTGTCATTCTAATTGTTGGTGTTGTGGCAGCTCGTCATAAAAAGATGCCCACCAGAATGACAGCAATGGAGTCTTCCATTGTGGCAGGAAGAGATCTAAGTGCAGTTGTTGGAATATTTACTATGACAGGTAAACAATACCATCCCATCAAATTTGTCTATTTTACCACATTTTTAAGCTGCACAAATTTCCAGGAGTGTATTGTCATCCTTTTGTTCATCCATCCTTCTGTCTGTCCTTACTAAAATAGAAAAATTTGGGGAAAATGGTTACAAGATTGTCACTTTTTGTTTTGATTGCCCAGATTGGAATGAAACTTATAGTCAGATATAGGGAAGGGGAAGAGTCCTGATTTTTGAGTCAAAAGGTAGAAGATCAAGATCATTGTTACTAAAAATAGATATTTTTTTCAAAGTTGGTTGGGATGGTTATTAAGTCTCCCAAACGAAGTTTGGGAAGACTTATTGTTTTTGCTCAGTTCTTATTATTATTATTATTCTTCTTCTTCTTCCGCCGCTTTTAAATTTGAACTTGTCCGCACCTGTTCTCCAAAACCGCTTGTCAGATTAACTTAGGGTTTCACAATATGTTAGACTAACATGTCTAGTGGTGCAATCAGGGTTTTGTTTGTGCAATGGGGTTTATAAAGGGGTACTTTGAGGGGCAAAAAGAAAAGAGGGTTTTACTATAGAACCCTATGGGATTTTATTTTTTTAAATTTTCAAATGATTATAAATTGAAAACCATTTGTGATAAACACTTTCTTTTTAATTGAAAATGTTCTAAATGATAAAGCCCATTAAATGAAATACAGGGTTAGTCCCCAGGGGTCACCCCCACCCCCTGCCATTTAAGAAAGTTCTATTACCTTGTAAGTGGTCAAGATCCCCACCCCTAAACCATATATATTCTGGTTTGTCATGCTAAGATGGTTTGAATGATATACAGGGTTAGTCCCCAGGGGTCATCCCGACCCCCTGCCATTTGAGAAAGTTCTATTATCTTGTAAGTGGTCAAGATCCCCACCCCTAAACCATATATATTCTGGTTTGTCATGCTAAGATGGTTTGAATGATATACAGGGTTAGTCCCCAGGGGTCATCCCGACCCCCTGCCATTTGAGAAAGTTCTAATATCTTGTAAATGGTCGAGATCCCCACCCCTAAACCATATATATTCTGGTTTGTCATGATAAAGCACATCAAATGAAATATAGGGTTAGTCCCCAGGGGTCACCCCCACCCCCTGCCATTTAAGAAAGTTCTAATATCTTGTAAGTGGTCAAGATCCCCACCCCTAAACCATATATAATCTGGTTTGTCATGCTTAGATGGTTTGAATATACAGGGTTAGTCCCTAGGGGTCATCCCTACCCCCTGCCATTTGAGAAAGTTCTAATATCTTGTAAATGGTTGAGATCCCCACCCCTAAACCATATATATTCCTGTTCTACATGTTACTAACATTTGAATGACGTATAGGGTCAGTCCCCAGGGGTTCCCCCCACCCCTAATGTTCTCATATCTTGTAAATGGTCGAAATCCCCACCCCTAAACCATATATATTCTGGTTTGTCATGCCAAGATGGTTTGAATGATATACAGGGTTAGTCCCCAGGGGTCATCCCGACCCCCTGCCATTTGAGAAAGTTCTAATATCTTGTAAATGGTCGAGATCCCCACCCCTAAACCATATATATTCTGGTTTGTCATGATAAAGCACATCAAATGAAATACAGGGTTAGTCCCCAGGGGTCACCCCCACCCCCTGCCATTTGAGAAAGTTCTAATATCTTGTAAGTGGTCAAGATCCCCACCCCTAAACCATATATATTCTGATTTGTCATGCTAAGATGGTTTGAATGATATACAGGGTTAGTCCCCAGGGGTCATCTCGACCCCCTGCCATTTGAGAAAATTCTAATATCTTGTAAATGGTTGAGATCCCCACCCCTAAACCATATATATTCTGGTTTGTCATGATAATGCACATCAAATGAAATACAGGGTTAGTCCCCAGGGGTCACCCCCACCCCCTGCCATTTAAGAAAGTTCAAATATCTTGTAAGTGGTCAAGATCCCCACCCCTAAACCATATATATTCTGGTTTGTCATGCTTAGATGGTTTGAATATACAGGGTTAGTCCCTAGGGGTCATCCCGACCCCCTGCCATTTGAGAAAGTTCTAATATCTTGTAAATGGTTGAGATCCCCACCCCTAAACCATATATATTCCTATTTGTCATGTCTCAAACATTTGAATGACGTATGCGGTCAGTCCCCAGGGGTTCCCCCCACCCCCAATGATCTAATATCTTTTAAATGGTTGAGATCCCCACCCCTAAACCATATATATTCCTGTTCGTCATGTAACGAACATTTGAATGACGTATAGGGTCAGTCCCCAGGGGTTCCCCCCACCCCCAATGTTCTGGTATCTTGTAAATGGTTGAGATCCCCACCCCTTAACCATATATATTCTGGTTTGTCATGCTAAGATGGTTTGAATGATATACAGGGTTAGTCCCCAGGGGTCATCCCGACCCCCTGCCATTTGAGAAAGTTCTATTATCTTGTAAGTGGTCAAGATCCCCACCCTTAAACCATATATATTCTGGTTTGTCATGCTAAGATGGTTTGAATGATATACAGGGTTAGTCCCCAGGGGTCATCCCCACCCCCTGTCATTTGAGAAAGTTCTAATATCTTGTAAATGGTCGAGATCCCCACCCCTAAACCATATATATTCTGGTTTGTCATGATAAAGCACATCAAATGAAATATAGGGTTAGTCCCCAGGGGTCACCCCCACCCCCTGCCATTTAAGAAAGTTCTAATATCTTGTAAGTGGTCAAGATCCCCACCCCTAAACCATATATATTCTGGTTTGTCATGCTTAGATGGTTTGAATATACAGGGTTAGTCCCTAGGGGTCATCCCTACCCCTTGCCATTTGAGAAAGTTCTAATATCTTGTAAATGGTTGAGATCCCCACCCCTAAACCATATATATTCCTGTTCTTCATGTTACTAACATTTGAATGACGTATAGGGTCAGTCCCCAGGGGTTCCCCCCACCCCTAATGTTCTCGTATCTTGTAAATGGTCGAAATCCCCACCCCTAAACCATATATCTTCTGGTTTGTCATGCCAAGATGGTTTGAATGATATACAGGGTTAGTCCCCAGGGGTCATCCTGACCCCCTGCCATTTGAGAAAGTTCTAATATCTTGTAAATGGTCGAGATCCCCACCCCTAAACCATATATATTCTGGTTTGTCATGATAAAGCACATCAAATGAAATACAGGGTTAGTCCCCAGGGGTCACCCCCACCCCCTTCCATTTGAGAAAGTTCTAATATCTTGTAAGTGGTCAAGATCCCCACCCCTAAACCATATATATTCTGATTTGTCATGCTAAGATGGTTTGAATGATATACAGGGTTAGTCCCCAGGGGTCATCTCGACCCCCTGCCATTTGAGAAAATTCTAATATCTTGTAAATGGTTGAGATCCCCACCCCTAAACCATATATATTCTGGTTTGTCATGATAAAGCACATCAAATGAAATATAGGGTTAGTCCCCAGGGGTCACCCCCACCCCCTGCCATTTAAGAAAGTTCTAATATCTTGTAAGTGGTCAAGATCCCCACCCCTAAACCATATATATCCTGGTTTGTCATGCTTAGATGGTTTGAATATACAGGGTTAGTCCCTAGGGGTCATCCCTACCCCCTGCCATTTGAGAAAGTTCTAATATCTTGTAAATGGTTGAGATCCCCACCCCTAAACCATATATATTCCTGTTCTTCATGTTACTAACATTTGAATGACGTATAGGGTCAGTCCCCAGGGGTTCCCCCCACCCCTAATGTTCTCGTATCTTGTAAATGGTCGAAATCCCCACCCCTAAACCATATATCTTCTGGTTTGTCATGCCAAGATGGTTTGAATGATATACAGGGTTAGTCCCCGGGGGTCATCCTGACCCCCTGCCATTTGAGAAAGTTCTAATATCTTGTAAATGGTCGAGATCCCCACCCCTAAACCATATATATTCTGGTTTGTCATGATAAAGCACATCAAATGAAATACAGGGTTAGTCCCCAGGGGTCACCCCCACCCCCTTCCATTTGAGAAAGTTCTAATATCTTGTAAGTGGTCAAGATCCCCACCCCTAAACCATATATATTCTGATTTGTCATGCTAAGATGGTTTGAATGATATACAGGGTTAGTCCCCAGGGGTCATCTCGACCCCCTGCCATTTGAGAAAATTCTAATATCTTGTAAATGGTTGAGATCCCCACCCCTAAACCATATATATTCTGGTTTGTCATGATAATGCACATCAAATGAAATACAGGGTTAGTCCCCAGGGGTCACCCCCACCCCCTGCCATTTAAGAAAGTTCAAATATCTTGTAAGTGGTCAAGATCCCCACCCCTAAACCATATATATTCTGGTTTGTCATGCTAAGATGGTTTGAATGATATACAGGGTTATTCCCCAGGGGTCATCCCGACCCCCTGCCATTTGAGAAAGTTCTAATATCTTGTAAATGGTTGAGATCCCCACCCCTAAACCATATATATTCCTATTTGTCATGTCTCAAACATTTGAATGACGTATACGGTCAGTCCCCAGGGGTTCCCCCCACCCCCAATGATCTAATATCTTTTAAATGGTTGAGATCCCCACCCCTAAACCATATATATTCCTGTTCGTCATGTAACGAACATTTGAATGACGTATAGGGTCAGTCCCCAGGGGTTCCCCCCACCCCCAATGTTCTGGTATCTTGTAAATGGTTGAGATCCCCACCCCTTAACCATATATATTCTGGTTTGTCATGCCAAGATGATTTGAATGATATACAGGGTTAGTCCCCAGGCATCACTAATGCATATAACTTTACTTGACCAAACCAATTTTCACTTGTTGTTGCCCAATGTCAGGCGACCCTGGGAATTACGAATTATGGGAGCTTCGTTTGGGAGACTTCGTAACAGCATCCTGTTACAATCATTTCTTGTTCAGGATGCTTTTTGGTTTGAAATGAAATTTATATAGATTGAAGATATAGAGAAAAGAAATCCTTTTGATTTTCAGCCCAAAAGGTTTAGGGTTAAGATGGTGTGCACATCCACAAATTAAAGAAAACTTCAAGGGTATAAATATTTTTATTAATCAGAATGCAGAATTCATTACGATAGAAAAAATTCAAATGGCAAACTCAAAAGGCACAACCCTTGATCAGATATTTACTACAAATTGTACCTTTTTCCTTTTGATGAATCAAACATGTTTGGCTGTAAATTTGAACTTGACATATATAATACATGATTGATGGTTGTTTCTTTAACGCCCAGTTGCAAATTTTCAAGTATAACAAATTAAAAATAATACAATAGATAGTTTCTGCAATGTGAGCTGACCAAGATGAAGGGCATTTTTTTTTTTTATCTATTGATGAATTTTGAAAAATAATGGTGGTTCTATATTAAATACATAGAAAGTGTATTATCAGTAAATTGATAAATATTGAAATGATGGCAGCATTATATTTTATTTGGTTCAGTGATACCCTGAAAAAATTACTGTAAATTCAGAAATTATTGCAATTTTTCTATTATTAAGAAAATTGCAAAGGGATAGGTTTCGCATAATTCAAAACTTGCATTTAAAATTTTGATAGCTTTATTTGTATGCAGCATTTACTGAAATCACAATGATTAATCTCACATGTTTGTCAATTGTTAAATAATCCAGAGTGCCACATTTTGTCTCATTTCAAATTTAATGTATACATATTATTTAACCCAAGCAATGTCCATGGTGATCAGAGTTAAAGAGACATTTGAAAAAATAAATATATATATATGTTTTAAGCCTTACCATGTGGGTCCTGTCTTTGACAAGTTAAGTACCAACTTACCTTTAAGGCCTCCAACGGTGTTCCATAGTTTCAGAAGGGGATGAGGCAAGTTATTATTGTTTAACAGAATACACTTCTGCAACAAGTCAGTGTATGCTACCACCCATGGTTCTCTAGAACTAAAATTGGGATTGGAAAATAATTGAACATGGTTGGTGAAGCCTGAAACTTTGTAATGACACATGCAAGGTTAAGGTGAACCCGAGATCTAGAAGTCTAGGAATTTTCCACACATTAAATCTCTTTCAAGTGCTTAGACATGGTGAGAGCCATAAAATCACTTCTGCAGCTTTTATGATCAAGTTAGTGATATATGGTGCAAATACTTTTGACTGAAATTGTTTCCTTAGACTACAGTTGTGTGGTCTGTAAACACTTAGGTGATCTGGGTACTCCAACTGGTCCAGTCTCTGTGCAGTATGAGTTAAGTCCTTAAATGCAATTGTAGTATAAAATAATAATTTTAAGCCTTTGTCAATTATGACTGTGATCATGTGCAAATTAACAAAAAACAATTCTGTTGTACATAAAAAGTGTTTAATATATTTGTTATTTTGTTTGTATTCAATAGCAACAACAGTTGGAGGAGGTTACATAAATGGAACAGCAGAATCCATAGCAACTAGTGGCCTTGTATGGACATTAGCACCATTTGGTATATTTATTGGACTTATTGTAGGTACGTTAATGTAAATATATATGAATAGCTCCTCTGTCTACATGCTAGGTGAATGGTTGTCGAAAGATGTAAAACATGGTTGTAAGTTTGTCGCTTGACAAAAAGTAGACTGGTGCTCTCACAAACTGAACAAAAGTCTGAATGGGTAAATTGGGTTGATGCACTCACAAACTGAATAAAAGTATTTTTATATAGAATTTGTCATTAGTGCATCAGCCCAGTTTACACATCATAGTTCTAAATGCATGAAGAAAGCTTGCATCAGATCTTTTGTTATCTATATTGCATTTATTGACTTCCTTCTTGAGACCTTAATTTGGATGATACATGTATTAAGGTTTTTAAATCTGGCTGTGAATTTTTATGTAAATTTTAGTTTGCTTTTTGTTTCATTGAGGGTTACCCTTTGTATATATAATTATTATATAATTTTTCCATAGGTGGTTTGGTGTTTGCCAAGAAAATGAGGGACCAGAATTACTTAACGATGTTGGACCCTTTCCAGGAGGTATATGGTAATACTTTGGTATTTATGGTCTACCTAGCATCATTATGTGGAGATATTTTCTGGACTGCATCCATTTTATCAGCATTAGGTAAGACAGACATAAGTAATTATGTAATTGATAAATTAACATAGAATGTCATACATGAAATAAGTCCATTAGATTCGGGAAAATTGGCATAGATCATTCAAGGTAAAAAATGTTGGTGCTTTCCTAATATAATTTTTTTTTCAACTCATTCAAATTTTTGAAGGTGTTAGACACCAAATTTCAACACTTCACAATTTTTCCTGACTTTATAGGATACAAGTTATGTGTAATCAACTTCTCCTCCAGTTTTCAACCCTGATCCCAGAAACATCACATGAAGATTGCACATATGTCAAAGCTGTGCACCTGCTATTATGGAATTATGGAATTGTTTAAGGAATTTTTTCTCATTTGCCTGACTTGGAAACTTAGTCATTTTTCAAATATTTAAATGTTCAGTATAGGGCATTCTCCATTGTTTAAAAACTATTCTGCACAACCTGTCCATATGTGAGATTTGAGTTAGGGCTGTATCTATCAGTTAGTAATTGTCTTTTTAGTCTCCTACAGGCAAAGACGAAGGGGGCTTAAGGTTTGCACTCCGTCCATCTGTCTGTCTACCTGTCCGTCAGTATGTCAGGCAAATCAGTTTTCCACACTTTTTTCATCGATCTTGAAGATAACGATTTGATATTTGATATGTAGTTTTATCATGACCAGTAACAGATCAAGTTTGAATTTTGTTCTGGTCTGATTATTTTGTGCAGAACTATATTCCTCGGAAAATTCACGCAAATAATCAGTTTTCCACACTTTTTTTGTAACACTTAAATATATTGATATGAGATTTTTTTTGACGTTTGATCATGAAAAGTCATAGATCAAGTTCGAATTTTGTTCCGGTCCAATAATATTTTGCAGAGACTTGGTCCCTGATCTTAGTAGCAATAACTGTTTTATGCACAATTTGGTAATATTTGAAAGTTTTGGTTTCATAAACGTTTTAAAACAATAGAAATCACACTGTCTGTCATTCTGTCTATTAATCTTGTTGATACAACTCCTTCAGTGAAACACTATTCACAAGAAAAACTCTTTATATATTTGAGTATAAACAGATTTAGTGCTCAATATTTGCACCAGAAGATATTTTTAACCAGTAGGGGACTATGTATTGCCATGCAATACTCTCAGAATGCTTGTTAATTTTTAGGAACAAGCTTGAGTGTGATTGTTAACATTCCATTGACTGTCGCCATAGTAACATCATCTGTAATTTTTAGGAATAAGCTTGAGTATGATTGTTAACATTCCTTTGACTGTTGCCATAGTAACATCATCTGTAAAATTAGGTACCAGCTTGAGTGTGATTGTTAACTTAAAAATTGACTGTTGCCATAGTAACATCATCTGTAATTTTTAGGTACAAGCTTGAGTGTGATTATTAACATAAAAATTGAATGTTGCCATAGCATCATCATCTGTAATTTTTAGGTACAAGCTTGAGTGTGATTATTAACATAAAAATTGACTGTTGCCATAGTAACATCATCTGTAATTTTTAGGGACAAGCTTGAGTGTGATTGTGAACATTCCTTTGACTGTTGCCATAGTAACATCATCAGCAGTAACTATTATTTACACTATGATTGGTCAGATGGTTTCTGTAGCATATACAGATATAGTGCAATTAATATTTATTACGTTTGGATTGGTTAGTACATTTTTTTGTGCACTCATGTTATTTATCAAATGATTTTATTTTATTTTTGTGATCTTAGTAGTAAAAACTTTTAAATGCACTCTGCTTGAGAAATACCATCAAAAGATATGATAAAAATCTGTCTATTTTTCTAATTATATAGTATATTAAACATGTTAAAGGCTAACTATAAATTTTAATGGTGTAACAGATGTGTCCATGATTCTTTTAACTATTTTTATATATTTTTGTTTCTATTATAGTTTAAACTGTTTAATATTCATAGTGAACTAATTATCACAAGAAAGTGAAAATTCAACAATTTACAGCATGCAACAAGATTTTATGTGAAAAACAAATGAAAGAATTTAAATACATTGCAAGATTTTTAGTTACAAAATGTTAAATGATGATACTGGGAATTTCTTGACAGGTTCTGAGTTTGCCATTTATACTGACCAATGAAAATGTTGGAGACATCTGCCAAACATCTGAGACTTGGATTGGAACTTTTGATATTTCATTTGCTGGTCAGTGGTGGGATCTGTTTGTTGCCATGGTGAGTTTTTAATTGCATTATAAAAAAAAAGCTCTTGAATGTAAGAAGAAAATGAAATATTAGTGGAGTCTTTTTTTTGTATTTTTTGTGAAAATTCATTTTTTCCAGTATACAAGAGAGTACACTACAAGTAAGGTTGATGGTTTTTAACCGGATTTTCGAAGTAAAAATTGGTTATTGATTTATGGGTTGTACTGCGGGCGGGCGGCTGCCAAACAGTGTCCGTTCATTAACATGAAAACGCTTTGAAGAATTTTTTTCAAATTTAGATATGTTGTTTCCTGTGACTAAATGAAGGTCAAATTCAATTTTCACGATTTTAGCTTTTTTCGTTGTTCAGTTATAGCCCTTTCTCAAGAATTCAATTTTTGATGTATTAATCCATTTCTGTACAAAGGGAAATAACTCATTTTTTAAAAGATTTTTAAAAGACATTGTATTAATGTTAAATGACAATTTGGATATTTTTTTCTTTTCTTTGGTAAATTGTTTGAAGAATTTTGTGGTAGGTTTGTTTGTTATTCTGTATAAACTAATTTTCTGAATGCTATATATATATCTTTTTTTTTTATGAAGTGAACTCCTTTAATTAGATAATAATCTATTTTTAGGATATATTTCATTACATTTAGAGTTGTTGACATTGATCATAAATAAGTTGCAGATCTGTATTAGTTTGTGACAAATGAAAGAAAAAATATCTGGAACTATTAATTATATTTGAATATAATTTGAAAATAGATATACATTGTGTTACATCATATATAATTTTAGAGAACTATTAATCATATCTAATGTTAGAGTACTATGTTAAGCCATATTTCTGTTCAAAGGGAAACAACTCAAACTTATTCCATGAACACATGATAACTATTTTTTTAAGTCATGTGTGTTATGAAGGTAGATGTCACAGTTGTTATGTGGTATTTTATTTTTGTTGTGTGTGTTAATGTTTAATTTTTACATGATCCTGTTTGGGGTTCAGATTTGTAAATATCATTTTCATTATTAATTAGATAATAATCTATTTTAAATATTCAATCACAATCCAAATTCAGAGCTGTTTTAAGCCTAAATGTTTTGTCCATACTTGCTCAACTGTTCAGGGTTCGACCTCTGCAGGAAAATACGGTTTGCTGTCACTCAACAGCCTCTTGTCTTAATTTACTACAGTTGTTCCTCGAATAAAAAAGCCAACTTTTTTATCAAATATCCAAGAATAGTTTTATTTGGTATTCTCCTGTTGACTCTGGTTGATATTTGATAGTTTCCATCTTATTTTACTCAAGTTCAAGTGATTTTGTTTGTTTCAGACACTGGGCACAATTCCATGGCAAGCCTATTTCCAGAGAGTACTATCAGTGAGGTCTGGAAGGCAGGCACAGATCTTGTCTGTTGTTGGAGCTTGTAGTGCTGTTATCCTAGTAATTCCATCTGTGATTATAGGAGCTGTGGCTACAAATGCAGGTAGTATATCTAGTATTTTTAGACATGATATTTTAAGGACACATCATAACAACAAATCTATGGTTAAAGACAAAATACAAGCATGTGAATGAAAAAAATGTATCTGTTTTAGTGTTTATTTGAACTCAAAGATAATCAAATCATAATGAATAAGAAAACATTTGAGATCTTTGTTTCAGATTTGAAAACATCCAGATTTACCGTATTTTAGATCTTTATTCTATATTTGTACAGGTCCAGCTTTAGAGAGTCGCTATAAGATCTAGACTTGGACCTTTTATAGCTGACAATGCGGTATGGGTTTTTCTCATTGTTGAAGGCCGTATGCTGACCTATAATTGCTTATATCCACTTCATTTGAACTTTGGTGATAGTTGTCTCATTGGCAATCATACCACATCTCCTAATTTTTATATGGGATCATTTAAGTACATCCAGAGTCTTACAGTGTTTCAGATCTTTGTTGCAGTTTTGAAAAGTGCAGTTGTGGATCTTGTAGTGCCGATCAGAATTGTATTGAAGTTTTGTTCAATGAAAATAGAAATATGTGAAACTAATGCAATGTTTTATTTAAATATATTAACAGTTATGTGTGAATGTTGTTTAAAATAATAATTAATGCAGTGTGTGTGCAAAATATACCTGTATACAAACAAACAATTCTTGACTATAACAATGAACTGTTCCATATAGGAAGCATCAGATTTCAAACTAAAAACTGTCATACTCTTTTTAGCATGATAAAGATAAAAATAACTACACAATAACATAATCCCTATTTCTGGTCAACATGCAAAAAGACAATGACATATAATATTGCTTGATCACATTGTTGTCAAGTGAATTTTCTACGCAAAACATCTGGGATGACAATGGGAAATGAATGTCATATTCACAGAAAATTTATTGCGGGAATTATGAAGTGAAATGAAATGCAATAATTGTTCATTATGAAGATAATAGATTCTAATTTTGCACAACAGATCTAGACAAAGTACATTCTCTAGATTTGTGGTCTTTTATATTTTCATTAAAAACGTAAAACTGGAAAAGCTTAATAGAGTGACCTACGAACCTGAATAGTACTAGTATGAAAAACATCAGTTTGAAAGTAATTTATGTCTATTTACAGATTGGAACAAGACCAGTCTTGGAAAGTCACCTATGGAACTGAACCGGGGCAGTATGGTACTTCCTCTAGTTTTACAGAATTTTACACCAAACGTTGTAGCAGTGATTGGTATGTATACAGTGAAGGAATAAGTATATATTCTCTTAAATTATTAGTAAATAACACAGCTCATTGGCTAAGTTTTGTAAAACAATTCTGTGTTAACAGTTTATTTAAGACAATGGACAGTAAGTTACTCAATAATATCATGAATATTGCAGATAAGTTACTCAATAAAATACACAGGACAAACAGTTAAGCAAAGATGTGCAATATGTGATGGAACAAAAAAGTTATCACATAGAAAATTTTGTTATATAAAGACTATAGAAGGATCTTTCCATGTTGTTATCTTACTTTGCAGGTCTAGGAGCCATTTCTGCTGCAGTAATGTCATCAATGGACAGCTCCATCCTTGGTTCAAGTTCCATGTTCACATACAATATTTATGCTCATCTGTTTAGAACCAAGGTAAGTATTTTAGCTTTGAGGTATTTGTATTTTGCAAGAAACTATATAATGAAACAGTTTATTTGTGTGCAGTTGTCAAAATGAATCTACACACTTTCAGTTATTGCCTCTTTAGCTCACCTGGCCCAAAGGGTGAAGTGAGCTTTTCTTATTAAAAACTTGGCATCCCTGGTCGTCTGTCATTGTCAGTAGTTGTTAACTTTTACAAAAATCTTCTCCTCTGAAACTGCTGGGCCAAATTCAACCAAACTTGGCCACAATCATCATTAGGATATATAGTTTTAAAAATATGTCCGATGACCCGTCCTGCCAACCAACATGGCAGACATGGCTAAAAATAGAACATAGAGGAAAAATGCAAGTTTCATCTATTTACTTGAAAACTGCTGTCCATAGAGAACATCTGACAGGAGCAGAAATGTTTAGATTGATGAGATCTACCTATGGTTTATTTACATCAAAATTTTCAGACGACTACCTATAGAGTTATTGCCCTTGAATGACAAATTTTACTAATTTTTATCATTTTTGCCTCTTATCTTGAAAATTATAATAGTTAGAGCAAAACTTTAATGGCATAAATGATCAGCAAGACAAGATGTACAAATGAGTCAACATGGTCCAAATCATCAGACGACTCCTTATTGGAGTTATTGCCCTTTAATGAAGATTTTATCTTTTTTTATTTTTTGCCTAATATCTGAAAAATTATAATAGAAATATAGAAACTTAGATTAGCAAAAATGACAAGATCTACTAATAAGTAAACATCCCGTTTTCCCGTTTGAATGGTTTTACACTAGTAATTTTTGGGGCCCTTTATAGCTTACTGTTGGGTGTGAGCCAAGGCTCCGTGTTGAAGACCGTCCTTGACCTATAATGGTTTACTTTTATAAATTTTGACTTGGATGGAGAGTTGTTTCATTGGTACTCATACCACATCTTCTTATATCTATGGTCAAAATCGTCTGACAACTCCTTATTAGAGTTATTGCCTTTAATGACTATTTTACCCATTTTTCACGTTTTTGCCTAATATCTGAAAAACTATAATGATAGAAAGAAACTGAAAAAGCAAAAATGATCAGCAAGAAAAGATCTACAACTAAATTCACAAATATCTGAAAAACTATAATAGGTAGAAACTTGAATAAGCATAGATGATCACCAAGACAACATTTACAAATATGTCTACTGGCCAAAATCTTCAGTTCACTCCTTATTGGAGTTACTGCTCTTTAATTTCAATTTTTACCCATTTTTAGTGTTCTGCCCCTTATCTTGAAAACTATTATAGATAGATAACCACTTTAAATAGCAAAAATTAACAGCAAGACTAGATCTACACATATGACAACATAACCCAAATTGTTAGTCTACTCCTTATTGGAGTTCTTGCTCTTTAATGGTGATTTTTACCAATATTTTATGTTTTTACTTATTATCTTGATAACTATCAAAGGTAGACACTTGAAATTGTCAAAAAATGATCAGCAAGACAAGATCTACAGATAAGTCAAATTTTGATGAAATCTTTAGACTCTTTGCAGGAGTAATTGCCCTTAAATGACTATTTTTATATGCTTTTATGTGGTTTGTGCAAAAACTAAGGAAGATAGAGAGAAACTGTACACAGAAAAATTATCAGCAAAATAAGATAAACAAAAAAGAGATTTTTGTCATGAATTCTCTTCTAGTCCACATTGTTGAAGACGCTCAAAGACCTAGGTGAGTGACACAGGGTCTTTAGAGCCTCTAGTTTTAAAAGGAATGAAACTACCAATTCATAGCCCATTGCTTTCTATGTAAATTCTGCAATTTCAAGCATTCATTTTGTCTTAATCTTAAATTAAGTGACAGTCATTAAATGTCAAAACTATACTATATCCTGGCTTGTTTTGACGATTTTAATATAGTTTCAATTGCATACAAGATACACTTGTTCCCAAGAGGTTTGGTAATACAAAAACAGGTACTTCTATTCTGAGCAACAGGCAAAAAATGTCTTTCTTTTTCAATTTCATATATTTTTTTCTTATTATTTGAAAAAAAACCTTCAAGAAAGATATTACAGCGACCCAAAATCCTTAATCTTTTATTTGATACCAAAATGACCCAAATACCTTACTTATTTACTAAGTTAGAGTTCTGCATAGGAACTATTTTGTTTAAATGTTCTTGTATGTTCTTTCTGACTGGGCCTGAATTAATGGTTCTATAACTTAAAGATAAACAGGGAACCACTGCACAAAGGTCTGCTTTATGTAACATGTAAATAACCTACCAAAACAATGGAATTTGTGATAGACAATACTAAAGATTTGATTTATATACATTGATTGGTATTTCATTGTTTGTGGTGATGATTTTAACTTGTAATAATTAACAAAAAGCTTTTTATTTATCACATACATGTAAAAAATATTGTTTACTTCACAGGCATCTGACAGAGAGTTGTTATGGATACAGAGGATAGCCATTTTATTTGTTGGATCCTTGGCAACAGTTATATCTATATTTGTTCCAATAGTGTATGGATTATTTATCTTAGCAGCTGACATTGTATTTGTGATTGTATTGCCCCAGTTAATATGTGCCGTATATTTTAAATGGACGAACAGTAATGGTGCCATCGTCGGATATATAGTAGGTGTGACATTACGCGTAGGTGCAGGAGAACCAACAATCAATCTGCCATCATTTATTTTTTATCCAGATTATGATGTGGATTCTGGTCAAAATTTTCCATTTCGAACATTTGCCATGGTAACTTCATTATTGTGCATTGTCATTGTTTCCATAGTAACTACTTATATAGAGAAAAATGTGATGTCTAAGACTGAGTATAAACTGGCCAACGTATCAACAACGAGTAGTAAACAGTTGTTAAAATTACAAACATTGGACAGTACAAGTTGAGGTGGTAATCCGAGGGATGTAATATGCTGTTGATCAGTACCTTTATATCATGTCTATTGTAAGTTGTATAGGCCAAAGATCAAATTAGGTTTGGAAATCTTAAAATCAATCCTTAAGACTTATTATAAAATTCTATCATTTTTCTCCTATGCATGTAGTGAAGGAGGAGATTTTGAGAATGGAAAAACAAGCATAGCCTAAAGATTGTAAGTTTTTGAATCTAGAAATATCATCTCACCAAAACATATCAGAAGACCATTTCAAGTGTCAGTTACAATATTCCAAACCACAACTTTGATGATCATTATAGCTTGGAGTATCCTAAGTATTAATATAAACACAATGACAATGTTATAAATTGTGTTTATAAAACAGCATATTATGAAACTAACTTATTTAATACTGTTTTACAATCCTTACCAAAGTTGTGGTATTATATTTGTAATTATTCCTTACAGTCACTTAGTCCATTATGATAAAGATACCAAGGACACACTATTAAATGTTATACATTTATGTTTAGCTCAACTGGCCCAAAAGGTCATGTAAGCTATTGCCATCACTTGACGTCTGTTGTCATCCATCATTGTCTTGGTTTTGAGAAATGTTGGTACATGTAGCCTTTGTTTACCATGTTTACTCTAGTCTCTTAGTCTTATCTGCTAAATTTTGGAATTTTTGATTTTCTCAAAAACATGTAAACCAAATGGAACCAAACTTGACAGATATGTTCATTTGGCTGTTTTGAACAGGTTTTGTTACTCTAGAATAGCCAATCATCCAAGCATATGTTTGCCTTTTTACAGACAATTGTATGTTTGTCATAGTTTTGCTACCAAACTTAAAATTGTCCTCAATATTACCACAAATATATATTCATCTACTTCAGTGCTGTTGTTTACAGCATCATTATTATTCCCATCAGCCTGAAAGATATGGAAATCCTCAAGATTATTAAGGTCTGATTGTCAATATTGTCAACCATAGCTTGGAAGTCAAACTCTGGTTGTTCAAGTGTGCTGGAACTTGGACCTGCCTTATTTTGAATGTACGACTCAAAAAAGTCTTCAATTAAATTATACAGGGTTCTATATTCAACTCCTCTCTTAAATAAATTATTTTTGCTCTTTTTAGCTGAGGAACATCTCCCTCTTTCTGATTTTTACGTTTCATCCGAGGTTTCTTCTTATTTTTTTTCTGGTCCTTTCCTTTCCCTGGACTATTAGACAAAACCTGACTTTTTATTTATACTCACAGATTGCGCTGTGTAACTTTTGTATGTTCTAAGTCTTCGACTAAAGATAAGCCAGAAAATTCTCTTACCTCACTGTTAGAGACAAATAACTGCATCATGTCTTCCTTACTAAGTGTATTATTCGGCTCCGTGTTGGAGTATGACATGTATTAATTTCAATGATATAATACAATTATCTGTTTGTAAGCTTTAATTCAATGTCTGTCTCATATTTATGTAAACAGATGAGTATGATTAACTGTTGAGGAAGACTGCTTTATAATATCTTGTTTCTTTGTTATTTTTGTTTTTTTTAATTCCCTTTACTTATTCTTGTTTTTCTTTTTGTAGCAATCAAAAATTTTCTGTGTCAATTTAAACTAACAGATATTGTTATATAATATACATTAGTGGTCTGACATAATTAAACTGATCTCAGATTGCACACATTCAACTGAAGAAATGATCTGATTTACCTCTAATTACATGTCATGTATGTAGTCTTTTAAAGACATTATTTATTTATTTTATTTTCAAAACAATTGTTGAGGCATTATTATAAATTTAATGTCAAATAGTTATACATGCTGCATCTCTAACCCTAATGGTATGGTTCACCCTTGATCAACTATGATTTCTCTATTTTATGCTGAAAGTAATAAATCCACCTCCATAATTCCAAAATTATTCATTTAATAATTTTACAAAAACAGAATCTCACTTATTTATGATAATATTTAGTCTGTATTGAACTTTTACATATTATGTAACTTATATTTTTCATTTTATCTTTAAAAGAAAATATTTAATATATGCTATTTTGATGGAAGGAGTTTTCATAAATATGATAAAACTTGTCAATGTACTCACAAATTCTTGACAGGTAAAACAGTATTATGTTACTATATTTTTGTTATTTGTAAAATTAAATATGTTATTTATGTTTATTGAATCATGACTGCCAGGATCAAAATCCTTTTATACACAAAACAAGGTATTTTCCCAAATTTATTGCTAATTTTGTACATGTACTATATTCTATTAAAATTAAAAAAAGCTAACAAAATAATTGTGATAATATACTTTTGATGTTGTTTATTCTTAACATTATTGATAAGAATATTGATACTAAACATGATCAGATGGATCTAACCTGTTTTTCTGTGTTTCTGTTTTATTAGTAGATGTGCATTCATTTACATGTTATATATTTACCATGTATGAAACTATATGAGGATGTGCCCATTGACAATTTAACATATATTCCACATCTTCTTTTATTTACATAATGTTGAAAATGTCTTTAACAATTAAGGTGTACTGTTCAAGAAGTAGCTCAGGAAGCAATTTTTATTGTTGTATACATATGATTAATACTGCAAATAAAAATTATCATTGTGTAAAAAGTTATCATTTAAAAAGATTATACAGATCTGATAACCATGGATACTTTTTTAATAAAATAAACTTGTATAAAGATATGTTTTGAACATATTCTCTGAATTAAGATAAATGATTTGTTTACCTTCCTAAAATACAGGTGGACAATAAGAACTTTTCAGATAATTCTTGTAAGTTATTCAGAGTGAAGGTCATAGTAAAAGGGAATTTGAAATTTCGTTTTGTGGATCCTCATTGTTCCCTTAATTTTACTAATTTCAGTTTGATAATACAAAAAATGAGGATGTGGTATTATTGCCAATGAGACAAACTCTCCACCAAAGAAGCCTTCTTTTAATTTGTTGTTTGTAAAGATACATTTGCCATTTTATTAAGGTTAACCTATGTTGAATATCAATTGAATTGAATTTTTAGTTGTGGATTTTTATCTAATATATCTTTGATATCAAAATTATAACTTTGGACATACCTACATTGTCTCTAAAACAATTGAATTTCTACTATTCCAATATTCAACTTACCAAATGTCACAGTATTCAGTTATTGACATGGTTAGAGGACAAAAAGTGATTTTTTTGAAGATCAAACTGATACCCAAAGCCAGAAAAAAAATCTGTATGAGAGTAAATCTAAATACAAATATCTGAGAACGCAGTCTACAAGAGAGGGACAAAAGATACCAGAGGGACAGTCATACTCATAGATCGAAAACAAACTGACAATGCTATGGCCAAAAATAAAAAGACAAACAGACAAATAATAGTACAGATGACACAACATAGAAAACTAAAGACTAAGCAACACAAACCCCACCAAAAACTGGGGGTGATCTCAGGTGTTCCGGAAGGGTAAGCAGATCCTGCTCCACATTTGGCACCCGTCGTGTTGCTTATGTTATTACAAATCCGGTAAATAGTCTTAATTCGTTAGGTCACATTCGTGAAAAGGGAAGGGTATTGTAGTTACGACATAAGGAACATATCTGATATCATCTGTGAAACAGTTATTCCATAACGGTCAACCAACTCGTGATGGCGTCCGTAAAATTTACGAAGGGATGATTTCAACTTCACCATTTGGAACTCTTGGTTTAATAGCTTCCTTGTGAGCAGCAATCCTCTATCAAGGAAATCATGATAGGAAATACAAGCCCGGGAATATCTTATCGATTGGGAGATATATACTCTGTATGCAGGCGCTGCTGGAATGTTGCTACATAGAAATGGAAAGTTCACAATTGGGAAGCTGAAATCATCTCTTTTGTCGTAAAGTTTTGTTTTCAACCAGATGTAAGTCAAGATATGAGGCAGACTTAACTGTATCTGTAGTATCCTTTATCTCTAGTTCGATGGGATAGCTTCGTTCAACATAGTCACCAAATTTTGTATTATTTAGTGAGAGATCATCTATATAGTGGAACGTAAAGTTAAAGGATATTGCTAACTTCTTATATTTCTTCCTAAGAAGTTCCTGTAAGAAGTCAGCCTCATAATAATAAAGAAACAAGTCGGCAAGAAGAGGGGCACAATTGGTTCCCATTGGAATTCCGACAGTCTGTTGGAAAACACGTCCTCCAAACGTAACAAATATGTTGTCAATCAAGAAATCAAGCATCTTGATAATGTCAGTTTCAGAGAATTTTTTGTTTGAATCAGAGTGATTCTTTACAAAGTAGGATTTATCCCTCCCCAAGACAAGATACTTGTATCTACGTTCGCCATTTTTTTTAATGAAACAAAGTAATACCAACTCTTTCAATTTGTCTTTTAGTTTGGAATGGGGAATACTTGTGTAAAGTGTAGAAAAGTCAAATGTTTTAATACTATTGCAAGATGAGAGAGTCTTAGATTGTATGTACTCTAAAAAGATCTTTGGAATTTTTTAGTATCCACATCTAGAATAGGCAGTTTCACAATACAGTAACTTTGGAGCCCGGCTTTGATTGATGATAAAATAGATGTTAATAATTGAGAAAGAGGTTTCGTGGAGCACTTGGAAGACCCAGCAATATACCGTTGTTTGTCAGGACACTTATGTAGTTTTGGTATCCAATACAGTGATGGAAGATCCAGTTCTTCATCTTTGGTTGAAATTCCAAAGGAACAAAGAACAGACCTATGATTATCCAGGATTTCCTCTTTGGTAAGTGTCGTGAGAGTATATGTTGAGTTTCCAAATCAATTGTCAATACCTAATTCATTTATCAAGCAGTTTATGTAATGATATTTACACACAAAAACGATGTTGTTTAGGGCTTTATCTGCGGGAACAACAACATATTTGTCATGGAGGTAGGACAAGTGTTTTGCAACATTTGGGTCTTTAAAAATTGACGTAGCGTTGCTATTGATAGACCCATTTAGTTTCTTATTTCGGATTTGTATCAACGACCTCACAGCCTTAATCCAAAGATTATCTACGGAAAGATTATCTACGTCTTCTTTCTCGCGTTTAGCCCATTGCCTGGCATAATTCTCGACTGAATCCATCAGTATTTTGAAGTGGTATTTCCAATTGATGGATTAAGGCTCACGATATTTCGGACCTTTGGATAACAAATTTCGCAGGGAAGTGTTATTGACAATGTTGAGGTCTCCGGTAATAACGTAGCCAGCCGGATTATATGTGAATTTGGAACTAGCACAGGTCAGGAGGTTTAGACTTGAAGTGGTCAATGTTGAGATCCTGCAAAACGTGTTTGTAATTGAAAATTTTAGTTGTAATTGGTTTGGTATAGGTATAAGAAATTATTGGTACAGACTGATCTTTAAAATAAGGAGGTATTTTTGACTGAACTAATTTATGATGAAGGATATTGCCTAAGTTGACGCCATCGAGACCTTTGTTGGCAAAGGAAAGTTTAAGAAAAGATCTTTTCTCTTTTTCATCTTTTCCAATGCGAACTGGTTTGAAAAGTCTGTGACTTGCAATATCCGAAATGATAGCTGTAAGTTTGTATTGGTTTGAATGAGGGTTTGTAACAGTGGTTTCCAAACATAAATTGAACAGAGAATGAAGTTTTGAAAGGGGTAATGAATAAAGTTTCGTGCGAATGTGATGAATACCTAACGGCTTTTGTATAAATGACAGCAAGTCATTAAATAGAGACATCATGCAAAGTAGGTGATGTATAATGACGATGACCATGACTGCGTCTACGTCGATGAGTAGAGTTGAAAATATTCATCACATTCATCGAGCTACAGGAAGGACTAGATAGAATACCTATACCATCAATTTTGTCATTGCAACTACAACTGTTTGTGATACCCTTTGTTTCTAGAAAGAAACACTATTTGTTATGAGGTTAATAGCCAGTCAATGACCTTATAGTCAATGAAATGTAAGTTGGTGTTCAACTGATCGCTGACTGTCAAACAGTCTCAAAACTTAGAATCAAATGGTTGCAAAACACATATTGTGTATACATATAACAAGATTTATATCCTTAAATCCTCTCGTTTTAAAGGTCTCCTCTGTCTTCATTTATGACACATTTTATCCTTTGTAACTAGACAGTTTATAGCAATCACTTCAGTATCATTCTAATTACCTTTTGAGAGCAAGGCCACAATTTTACAAAACTCTCTATAATGTCCCATATACTGCATTATCTTTTCCTCTCTTGTGCTTGTCTGCAATTTCGCTGTCTTCACTGTCGTCCAAAATGCCTAGACCCAAAACTTGACCTTTAAAATTAAATACAAAGGAATATAAAGCAGCATACGTTTTATGGTAAATGTTTAAAAACAGACATTTAATGCATTAATTTATTTTAATTTAGTTGGTAGAAGTGAAGTGTTATAATAATTTTTACCTAGCCTCAAGGAGATTATATATCTATACAGCGAAAGGGAGTTGAAACACAGATAAGGTTTTAAGAAAATATTTCATTACAGTTAACATTGATCATGAAATGAGGTCAAGATCAGGTGAACCCTGTGAGACAGAGATATGTCGATAACATTTCGAGACAATGTTTTTTTCTCAGAATGAGATACTATTAATATTGAGTCAACTTTGTTGGGTGTATAGAATACACGTTTATCTAAAAGGGTTCATCTGACCATGACCTCATTTTCATCATTCATTGGACAACTTTTTCCGTGATTAGGTCCGTTTCTCAGATAAAAAATAAAATAAGTAATTGGTCAATTACATGTATATGAAGATTATAAGGTTTATATGTCCGTCTGACAGGGCTCATCTGATCTTGAGCTTATTTTCATGGATCAATTATAATGTTAAGTTTTTGTTATACCTATAGCAAAATCTAACCTAAAAGAATTTCAAAATAAAATTCAATAATAACAATGCAGACGAGATGTTTTAGCATAACATCTGCACTTTTGTTTTTATTCACTAAACAGAACAGTGCTCTTAATACCTCATTTTTTAAATCAGGACCTGTTCGTTTAAGCCCTAAAATGCACTTAACAGTGCTTATCATGTTTATAATGGCAAATAAAAAGATGATAACAAATCATTGAGATTTATTCTTGTTATCTAGTATGTTGTCCTGCCTTTCGAAGTTACAAATGGTATATGAATCGTATCTAAAACATCCCGTTTATACTATATAACACTATTTGTCATTATTTTTGGACGCAACTCTTCATACGATATTATTTAAGGATGTTCGCTCCTCTTGTTTTTGAATTTTTGCCAGATATTCGGAATCCTCTGGTTTAATCCATGTAGTGTCATTAAAAAATTTTGCTCGCTTACCCCTACTTTTCTTTTCATATTTTTATTACATATAGTTTAAAGAGCCATATTTGAAAATCTTATGAAATCCTTGTTATTTTTTCATAGTTTTTGAAATAAAAAAAGTGCTAATGTTAAATATATGAAAAATCTAGAGAGAATTATTTCCCGCCAAATATTCAATGGCTTATATCTTGAAAACAAGCACACGGACCCTTCATTTTTTATGCTTTTCTAGTTCCTTCATTCATATACTTTTAATTTATAACAGTCTTTTAAAAATCTTGTTATTTTGAAACAGAGTAGCGAACATCCTTAAGAGAGTAAAACTACCTCAGGTAGGACTTTAATGCAATTGATTTATCTTCACATACTTGTCAACTTATAGACTTCTAAAAATTATCAATGAATTACTTTGATTATTTTTGTTTTTCTTACTTATTTACTCTTTGTCGAACTTCAGTGCACCAATTCAAAAATTCAAATCCCCGTCCTCGATAACATCACTCCAAGATTGGCCTATATATTTCAGCTTACTACAAATTATTACCTTTTACCTGAGTTTTGTAAAGGTAAAATGGTGACACATCAGTGTTTTTCATGAATGTATTCCTTAATTGTTTCTTCAGTGTGAGACGTAATGTGAATTAGATCAAAGATTGAGGAAAGTTTTGCTAGAGAGAACTGACAACCACTTTTCACCATGGCAATAAATGTTGTTGGACTAGTAGTGCTGTTGTTGTTTTACATCGTGATTTTGGTTGTTGGTGTAGTGGCCGCTCGTCGTAAGAAGATATCAACCAAAGTAACAGCAATGGAAACGTCCATTGTGGCAGGCAGAGACCTAAATACTGTTGTCGGAATATTTACTATGACAGGTAAATATTATCAGTATACCGCACCCTAGATATGGGGCTATATTGCAATTATCTAATCCGTTTGTCCGTCCGTCGTCGGTTAGTTCAACGAAAATTTTTGTCTATTTTTTCTCGTAACAACCAACCAGAATGGCCTCATATTTAGTCAACATCTTGACAGTGATGAGTTGTAACATATATCTACTTTATGTAGAGTATCGATTTACAAGTTACAAGTCGAGATGCACAAACAAGTGGGAGGTTTAGCTAGCTATAAAACCAGGTTTTAGCCCACCATTTTCTTCGGAAAATGTCTGTACCAAGTCAGGAACAAGACAATTGTTTACCAATCGTTCCGTAGGTTGATAACGTTTGATTTTGTCAGTTTTTATGGACTTCCCCTTTTTGAATTTACCTTTGAGTTCGGTATTTAAAAAAAAAAATTATGTTCCTTTGGAATGTCATCCAAAGAACAGCTTTTGAGCCACACTGTTTGATAGACAAATCACACAAGTGCCCATTCAAAGTCGTATATTGCTAGGTCTGCCAAATGTTCAACAAAATCGTTTTTCAAATTACTGACATCTATTACAGTTTGTTCACACTCAGTCAATATGTTATAGACTAACGAGTTGGTCCTGCTTTGTTTCATAAATAAGAATGGCCAACGTAGATACAAGAGTCTTGTCTTAGGGAGGGAGAAATCGTACTTTGTAAAGAATCACTCTGATTCAAACAAAAAAATCGCTGAAACTGACATTATCAAGATGCTTGATTTCTTGATTGACAACATATTTGTTTCCTTTGGAGGACAATCGGCATTCCCATGGAAACCAACTGTGCTCCTCTTTTTGCCGACTTGTTCCTTTATTCATATGAAGCTGACTTCATACAGGAACTTTTTAGGAAGAAAGAAAAGAAGTTAGCAGTATCTTTCAACTTCTCTTTCCGCTATATAGATGATGTTCTCTCACTAAATAATTCAAATTTTGGTGAATATGTTGAACGCATATATCCCATCGAACTTGAGATAAAGGATACAACAGATACAGTTAAGTCTGCCCCATATCTTGACTTACATCTAGAAATTGACAATGAGGGTCGGTTGAAAACAAAACTTTACGACAAAAGAGATGATTTCAGCTTCCCAATTGTGAACTTTCCATTTGTATGAAGCAACATTCCAGCAGCGTCTGCATACGGAGTATATATCTCGATATTCGAGGGCTTGTATTTTCTATCATGATTTCCTTGATAGAAGGTTGCTTATCACAATGAAGTTCCAAGTGGTGAAGTTGAATCATCATTTCGTAAATTTTACGGACGCCATCACGAGTTCGTTGACCGTTATGGAATATCCGTTTCACAGATGACAACGGATATGTTCCAATTGTCGTAACTACAATCCCGTCCCCTTTTCACCGAATGTTACCTACCGAATTAGACTTATCACCGGGTTTGTACAAACATTAGCAACACGACGGGTGCCACATGTAGAGCAGGATCTGCTTACTCTTCCGGAGCACCTGAGATCACCCCTAGATTTGTTTTAAAGGGGTTCGTGTTGTTCTTGCTTTAGTTACAAGTGTTGTTCTATGTGCTTTTTAACTTTTCAATGTTTGCGTTGTTTAAAACAGTCTCGTATATCCTGTGTTTCAATTTTTAAATTTCACATTCGGTCAAGTTTCAGGGTTAGAAAATTTTACATGACAGTGGTCTAGAATTTGGTGATGTCTTAGGATAATTTAAGAGTCAATTACCAATCTGCTATTGCGTGATGTCTAATCATTTGATTTAACTTATCAACGTACTAGTATTTCATGAGAGTAACACGACTGGTGGCACATTTGGAGCAGGATCTGCTTACCCTTCCGGAGCACCTGAGATCACCCCAAGTTTTTGGTGGGGTTCGTGTTGCTCAGTCATTGGGTTTCTATGTTGTATTTTATGTACTGTTGTTTGTCTGTTGGTCTTTTTCTGTTTTTGCCATGGTGTTTCGGCTAATGAGTTTGCATGTCCCTTTGGAATCTTTCGCTTCTCTTTCATAATCGGGAATAGGACACACTCTTTAAAATTAAAGATTAGACGGCACTATACTGGTATCTAAAGATAGAAATCAGAATTGATAAAAAAAGAAAAACTTAATCACATGGGCATATGAACACTTATCCTACTTAATGATAATCAACTATCTTACCTCCATGAGAAATACAATGTTGTACTTACAGACCAATACAAAAAATGTAATTGTTGTGTTTAATTATACTATACAAATTGCTTGATATAGGAATCATGCATAAAAACAATTAGCTGAGAAATTCCAGAAATACTTCAAATAATTTTTGAAAATAAACCGTAGTTCTATTTTTATGTTTCCATGGTGTTTCAGCAAAAGAGCCGAATCGTCTTTCACTCTACTGGGAGCCAAAAGGACATTAGTGTCCTTAAATAAACATATTGCTGGTTGTTATAAATACGACACAAAACCCTTCCAAATGACTACCTTGTCTGCAACCAAAAACGAGCTTCAGACATACTATGAAAATTAAGTGCGTTGTGATACAGATGTTGATACTAAAAAATTCTGAAGATCTCTAAGCATACTTACATTTCTCGAGCAACAGTATACAAACATTTGACTATACTGCTCTTTACACAAGTAGGCCTCATTCTAAATTTAAATACAGATTGAAAGACTTCTTCCAACTTTGTTGCATAGATTTGTTTTAGAAAGAGCAAATGATATTTTGTGAGAAAAAAAAATCTGATTCTAAATAAAGGCAACAGTAGTATACCGCTGTTCAAAAGTCATAAATCGATTGCGAGAAAACAAATCTGGGTTACAAACTAAAACCGAGGGAAACACATCAACTATAAGAGGAAAACAACGGAACAACAGAAAAATGAAGTGCAACAAAAACAAACGCCAACATACATAGAAACGAACTATTTGATAACAACTGCCATATTCCTGATTTGGTACAGGACATTTTAACAAAGTTTCCAGGAAACTGACATCCCAAGCAAGGAACCTTTAATGCTGTAGCTGTTGTTGGCGCTGCCTGTCATATTTGTTTTTCGTTCGTTGTTGTTTTATAAATCAGGATGGGTTTTCTCTTACAACTGTTTCACATTTTGTCATAATTGTTCACATCTTTGTTCTTTGGTCTATGGATAGTTGTCTCATTGGCAAAATTACCATATCTCCTTGTTTTGTCTGTCATCAAGATGCTGAGGTTTTGATTTACATCATAGTTGTTACGGTTGTTTGATGTGTTTTTTTCAGCAGAAAGTCGGTATTTCTTTTGGAATAAACTGAATTCCTCCTCTTGTTGACATGATCCTAAATTTTCATGAGACAGACTTCATATAGGGGCTTCTCAAAATTATGAAAAGAAACTAGCTTTTTCCTTCAAGTTCTGATATATAGATGATGTCCTCTCACTGAATATTCTAAAAAATATTGTTGGTTTTGTTGAAAACTTTGATCCCATTTAACTCAAAGTAATGATACTATAGATACAGTTTCATACTTTGACTTCTTTGTAGAAATTGACGGCGAGGGAGTACCCTGTGTACTAAACTTTACAACAAATTAGACGATTTACGAACTTTCCAGTTCAACATCAGCATATGGAGTTTAAGTCACATAGTTGCTATTCTAGGACTTGCCTTATAGTTTCTCATCATGATTGCCTTGATAGGGGGTTACTGTTTACAAAGAAACATTTTAACCAAGTGTCTAAATGATAAATTTAAAGTCATCCCTTCGAAAGATTCACGGACGTCATCATTATTTTGTAAACCATTAAGGAAATTCTGTGTCACAGATTATCAAGTATTTGTTGCACTTGTCGTAGTTACCTTTTTCCTTTCCGAGTTTATAACATCACCGAATATGCCTCATTTAATTGGAACTAGTCATGAGCAACACGAAAGATACCACATGTGGACCTGGAACTGCCTAGTATTCTTAGGCACCTGAGCTTCTTTATGGGGTTCGTGTTGCCCAATTTTTACTTTTGTGTGTAGTGCTTTAAGTGGACTGTTATTTTTCTATATCGACTTTCTGTTTTGACCATGGTTTTGTCTCCCTTCGGCTAATGGTTTTTTGATTCCGTTGATATTTTCTTATATTTGCTTCTGCAACGTCCCTGGTCATGTGCATTATTGAAGAAAATATTCTCTCATCAATCAAAATATGTTTTTATTGTTCTCTTTGTATTTGATAGCTACAACAGTGGGTGGAGGATATATAAACGGAACAGCAGAATCCATAGCAACCAGTGGTCTTGTATGGACCTTAGCACCATTTGGTATATTTATTGGACTCATTTTAGGTATTATATTTATTTTTGTTCAGCAAAATATGACACAGTATAAACAATGTTGCGATCTCATTTAAATTGTATGGTTCACACACTTTAATACACATTTCCCGATATCTCCTTTTATTCATATATATAACAACCCATGAAAGGAAAATTTAAATTTGTTTAAGGCAGGGTCACCTTTGAAATCTAACTACAAGCAGAAGTCTATGATAGATATAAGAAAATGTGGTATGAGTGCCAATGAGACAACTCTCCATCCAAGTCACAATTTGTAAAAGTAAACCATTATAGGTCAAAGTACGGTCTTCAACACGGAGCCTTGGCTCACACTGAACAGCAAGCTATAAAGGGCCACAAAAATGACTAGTGTAAAACCATTCAAACAGGAAAACCAACGGTCTAATCTATATAAAAAACGAGAAAAGAGAAACACTTATGCACCACATCAACAAACGACAACCACTGAACAACAGGTTCCTTGTTTTAGTCAATTTTATTGGTGGTTTTGCTGTTATCCGTTGTCTGATATCCATGGATAAAATATAAGTATCATGAAAGGGATAATATTGTTGATACAATATCAAGAGAAAGGAATAATATACATAAAGAGAGGCGAAAGATACCAAAGGGATATTCAAATTGAAAAGTCAAAATCAAACTGGCAATGCCATGGCTAAAACTAAAAACAAAACGACCAAAGGACAAATAACAGTACACAAAACACAACAAAAACAAGGAGAACATCAAAAACCATGGGTTGAATAAAAGCAGACCAAGTTTGGCCAAATAAAAAAAAAACGAAAAGACAAATAGCAGTACACAAAACACTACACTACACAGAACTCGTGCTCCACGAGTGGCACCCGTCGTGTTGCAATTGACAATATGATGATAAGTCGTATTTAGTAATGTCAAAATCGAGAAAAACGAGGGCAGGGTTGTGGTTACTTCAAGTGGAACATATCCATGGTCATCTGTGACACAGAGGTTCCATAACGTTCAACCAAATCAAGATGGCGTCCGTAAAATTTCGATGAAATACTTTAACTTTACCATTTGGAACCGTTGATGCAATAGTTTCGTTGCAAGCTATGACACTCTATCAAGGAAATGATGATAGGAAACTCAAGTCGTAGAGGATCAACTGGCGATAAACACTGCTTATGTTGGTGTGGCTTGAATGTTGGTACAAGAAATGAAAAGTTCGTAATTGAAATCTATTTTGTTGTAAATTTTATTTCTCAACCTAGTTCTCAACCGACTACCTCAATGTCAATGTCTAGATAAAAGTCAAATTATGAAGCAGACTTAGCTGTATCTGTTGTTTTATCATTTTAAGTTAAACGGGATAAACGTTTTCAACATAATCAACAAAGTTTTAAATATTCAGTGTGAGGACATCGTCTATATATCGGAACATGACTCGAATGCCGCTACATAGAAATGGAATGTCCCAAAGAGAAATAGAATCAAGATATGAAGCAGACTTTACTATGTCTGTAGTATCGTTTATTTTAAATTTATTGGGATTAATGCAGTCAGCAAAGTCACCAAACTCTGAATTATTCAGTGAATGGATGTCATTTATATAGCGGATTGCAAAGATGAATGCCAGCTTCCTTTCATTTTCTTGAGAAGCTCATGTATAAACTCTTCCTCATAAAAAAAAAGAAAAAAAGGTTGCAATCAGAGGGGCACAGTTGATTCACATATGAATTCCGATTGTCTTTTGAAAAATGTATCCTCCAAACGAAATAAATAAGTGGTAAAGAAATCCTGCATCTATATGATGTCAGGTTCAGTGAATTTTTTGCATGAATCCAATTGGGTTTTTTTTACAAATAATGATTTGTCCCTTCCTAAGACAAGGCCTTTTAAAACAAAGTTAGACTTATTCTTTCAATATGTTTTATGTTAAGAATAAGGAATACTTGTGTAAAGAGTAAATAAGTCAAATGTTTATACTATTGTATGAGGAGGGGGACTTAGATTGTAAGCTTTGAAGTTTTTAGTATCCAAATCTGATTCACAACACCTCAAGAGTAAGTAGTTTTTCAATAACTATGAAGCCCGGTTTTCGTTGCTAAAATAAATATATGTTAATAATATAGAAATAGATTTAGTAGAGCATTTGGTAGAGTATTTGGCACACCAAGCATTATAACGTTGTTTTTAAGAACACTTGTGTCATTCGGGAAGCCAGTAAAGCAAAGAAAGATCCTGTAGTTCCTTATCTGTGGTTGAAACTCCAGAGGAAAATAAAACTGACCTTTGATTGTTCATGATTTCCTCTACAGTAAGTGTCCTTGGAGTGTATGTTGGATTTCCAATTGAATTGTTAATACCTTATTCCTTTATTAGCAAAAAAAAACCAATTTAATGTAATGTGGTTTCAAACAAATCGATATTGTCTGAACAACAACACATGTTTCATGGAGGTAGGAGAAGTGCGTAGCACTATTTTTGTCAGGTTTTTATTTTATAGTTATGTTTCCAGTTTATTGATTTTGCTTCAAGAACTTTTGGCCCTCTGGCGCCGTTAACAAAGTACCATTGATGACTTGCTGCATGAAATTTTACGGTCGTACTTTGTAACTGTTATCTGAAAGGTTGTCTAAAGGAGAAGTTGAATCATATAATGCACCATTTTCTAACTGTCAAAATATTCAACTTTTATAAAAAATAAAGTTTCGAAACAGCTTTTTACCCCTTCGAACAAGTAAGTCATGCACATGCCCGTACGGGATTTACGACTGTCCTTTACTTTAAAATATTTTATTTGCCTTTGACTTGTTTTCTCCATTGGACGTTTAACAATCAATAATCAATCAACAAATCAATTCAAAAACCATTAAATATTGCTATTTAAGAAATTATTCTTTATTATGCAAATATTTTTATAAATAAGAAACAACAGTAGTTTTATTCTCTAGATGGTTGCCACATGACGTAAATTCTAGCGTATGACCGAATTAAATTGGGTATTTATAAAATCTAGGAAGAACAGTGTACAGAACGAAAGAGACTATTGAGAGCTCTTGCGATATTGATCTAGATGTTTGATTTTGTATAAATGTTTGTGTTTGGTTTCTGTTTCATTGAGGTTATTCCATATCTCCTTTATTTATATAGTACTATTCAATAGGTGGTTTGTTGTTTGCCAAGAAAATGAGGGACCATAATTACCTGACCATGTTGGACCCTTGTCAAGAGGTATATGGTAATGCCTTGGTGTTTATGGTCTACCTTGCATCCTTATGTGGAGATGTTTTTTGGACTGCTTCCATTTTATCAGCGTTAGGTAAGGTAGTTATGGAACCATAACTCTCATGGTACGCACACATCAGAAATTGACATAGACCAAAAAGCTGTGATTCTGCAGCTATAGATAAGGCAGACAATAGTAGTAAGGTAATAGATAAATAAAAATAGAATGTTATGCAAGTGTTAAGTAGGACAGATCAAGGGGAATCTAACCTATCTAAGTGGGGGATTATTTTTTCCGGTCTGTGCGTGCGTTCATCCATCATGAATCAGGTTAAAGTCTTGTTCAAGATAGTCTAGGGTTTTTGTTTAAGGTAATTTGCCACGAAGTTAGTTATGGTAGCATCAACTTGAAACTTAGTACACATGTTCATTAGGATATGAACCTTGAAAATATACGAGAAATTAGTGTTTTGACTATGACTTCACCGTTCACTAAGAATAGAAATATGATAGTGCAAGAGATGCATGGTGTCTGGATATTAAAGAAAATTAAAAGACAATTGTGAATAAATACTAACGATCCCTCCTTTGAACGAGTATATATACATTCTTATTCTATTTTCTACTTTTCTAGCGATCAGGAAGCACGTATATGCTTTTTCTGGTTATATAGCGTTGTTACCGGAGATAAGCAATTTGCAACCAAATATATATCTATAAATAATTTTCTGAGGTCAAAGAAATGACAAAATGAAATTTGGAATTTTTATTTCGAGTCTTTCAATAATTTCTGTGATATTTCATCTACCTTTCAGACAGAATATATATCAGAAGCCTAATAATTGAACTTTTTGGAGCTGTCATACATGTTTCACATGCTTTTTTTCTAAATTGCTTAACTTTAACTCATATAATGACTGCAAGACTTCTGCAACGTCCAATAGAGAAAATATATTATTATATGTAACTGGTGTTATTTTATAATCAAAATGTGTGATTTTTTGAATGTACATATAAAAACAATACGCCTAAGACATGCAATAGTAAGATAATACTAAATGAACCTGTACAAACTTTATACCTGCTAACGATAGATTAAACACATTTGAATTATGACTGTCTTTCAGATAGTATTGTCTTTATAATTTTAGGGACAAGCTTAAGTGTGATGGTGAACATTCCTTTGACTGTTGCTATAGTTACATCATCAGCAGTAACTATAGTTTATACTATGATTGGTCAGATGATTTCTGTAGCGTATACAGACATAGTGCAATTAATATTTATTACATTTGGATTGGTTAGTACATTTTAAACAAATTAATTCATAATGTGCTATCTACAACTTTTCGAGATTTGAATGGACTCTGCTTTTAAGATACATAGGAACTTGCCAATAGGTATTCTCTTTGCAATTTATTTGTTGATATTATTTCTAAAGCGAAAGTTTCTTATTTCTAGTGAAATAAATATCCCATAAATGTAAACATTGTTTAAAAATTTAAATACAATTTTTTAAAAGGTAAAGATATCAAGCCTCTAAAAACTTAATAAATGTGTGAAATTCTTGTGAAAAATAAATGTTGGAATTCAAATACATTGCAAGATTTCGTATTTACCAATAACTGGAATAATCTGATAAAATTATGTATATCAAAATTTCCTTAAAGGTTCTCAGTTTGCCATTTATACTGACCAATGAGAATGTTGGAGACATAAGCAAATCAGCTGATACCTGGGTTGGAACTTTTGATATTTCATTTGCTGGTCAGTGGTGGGATCTCTTTGTTACCATGGTGAGATTAAACGGCATTTTAAACAAAGTTCTTGAATGCAAAATAATATATATCGTATAAAAGCTTGTTGATATTCTTAAGTTACAACAGTTTATTTGCCAAAGAAAAAATAAGGTTTTCTAATTTCAATGGTTAGTTTATCATTGGTTATAGCTTTCAGTAGTGTTAAAATCATCATTGAGTACTTTCCAATGATGCTTTTAGGAACTGATCACTGCTTAAAAGTAAGCAGTATGTTGATTTTCAAAAGCAATCTTCTTACCAAGATCAAGATTTATAAATTTTTAAAAGACAAAGACATCAACCTCCAAACACTTATGCAAATGAGAAAATACTGGCCCATAAGAATATTCCCTTTAATAGACATCGTATGTAGAGTTTTTATCCATCTTCACTGTATTTTATAAATGATTCTGTATGGAAAAAATCGACATGATGTTTTTGTAAGTAAGGTGGCAACCCAAAAATGATAAAACCAGAAACACATCTACAGGCTCACCTCATTACAGATGGCTCGCCTTTGTTAGCTGTGATTGCCGTATTTGTTATGATGAATTTTCCAAAAATCTTATATATTTTTTCCAGACACTGGGAACAATTCCATGGCAGTCATATTTCCAGAGAGTACTATCAGTGAGGTCTGGAAGACAGGCACAGGTATTATCTGTTGTTGGAGCTTGCAGTGCTGTTATCCTTGTGATTCCATCTGTGATTATAGGAGCTGTGGCTACAAATGCAGGTTGAATATCTGTAGTATTTCAAAACCAAATTTTAACAACACACCAGTTAAATCAAATTCTTGTTAGTGAAAAGTGTAAATAACAAAACAAAACAAAACAACATAAACATTAAGATACGGCATTAGACGACCACTGAAGAGGTTCCTGGCTTTGAATGAATATGTGGCAGGGAACACTATATTTTAAAATGTCAACCCTTCCCATATTAATCTCTATCAGTAAACATCTATTTACAGATTGGAACAAGACCAGTCTTGGACAATCACCTATGGATCTGAACAAGGGCAGTATGGTACTTCCTCTTGTCTTACAGTATTTTACACCAAATGTTGTAGCAGTGATTGGTATGTATAAAGTGCAGAAACCCCTTACAGTTATGTTTAGAGATTTTATACATGTACATAACTCAATAGAATACAAACCTTCAAACGTTTAAGGCAACAGTGTGTACTTATTAGATGATGTCGGAAGCGTACATCAACTGCACTAATGTATCTCTCCTTCCCACTAGTTTGTTTGTAACGTTGGATATGATACCATAGATAAAATCCATACTGGATTTTTTATACTTTTGTATTTCTTTCAAAAGGAAAGAAACCAACGGTTCGATGTATGCTAAAACAATAAACGAAAAATAAATATGACAGACCAACGACAACCACTATATTATAGGCTTCTGACTTGGGACAGTCACATGAAGAATGTGGCAGGGTTAAATATGTTTTAGTGCTATGCCCTCAACCTTACTTGGAGCCTATTTTATGTAAGTATTCTGGTATGTTGTTAATACTATTAGTTTTTATAACAGTTTCTTCATGAAAGTGTTTATAGGACACAAGGCAATCACTTAGAAAGTCTTTATTTCCTAAACAAGGACTGAAAAATTTAAAACAAAATGCAAAGTATGAAACTCTAGGATCATCTTTTTTTTATTATACTCATTTGCTGAGAGGAAACCATACACGACTTTATATACTACAAAGCTATGCCCGTAATAGTGCCAGGTTATACACTTCTAATGTTTTTTTTTACTTACTATTCATGTTTAAGTCTTTTGAGATAGACAACAAATAAAAGCGATGTCTAAGGAATTATGATTTAAATAATAAATAAAACATATTGGTACTGTCTTTACACAGTGATTTACATGGGTTATAAAGAAATATGTGGAGTCTATGAAAAAATCTTTTACTGGGACTAAGCTAATTTTCAAATAATTTTACAGGTCTAGGATCAATTTCTGCTGCAGTAATGTCATCTATGGACAGTTCCATTCTGGGCTCAAGTTCCATGTTCACATACAATATTTATGCGCATCTGTTTAGAACAGAGGTAGGATTTTCACCTCTATTTTTTTAAACTTCATGCGCTTACATTTAATCAATTGGCTTATGTGCAGTTGTAAAAAAAAATGAAACCCTATTTTTTATAGTTTGCTTTAAAACCATACTAGGTTGCCACGGGAAAAGGATCCGAATACTGAAAATGGTAATAATTTTGGAAAATTGAAATGTTTTATACTGACATGACAAAATAAAGATTGATGTGAATTTAGCTGTAACATAATATGTGAGTCGCTGATGAATTTAACTATTGAAAATTAATAAGAAGTCATTTATTCTTGAACTCATTGCTCTCGTTTTTATTCACAGGCATCTGACAGTGAGTTGCTATGGATACAGAGGATAGCCATTTTATTTGTTGGATGCTTGGCAACAGTTATATCGATATTTGTTCCAATAGTGTACGGATTATTTATCTTAGCAGCTGACATTGTATTTGTGATTGTATTGCCCCAGTTAATATGTGCCGTATATTTTAAATGGACGAACAGTTATGGTGCTATTGTTGGATATCTTGTGAGTGTGATATTACGAATGGGAGCAGGGGAACCTACCATCAACTTGCCAGCATTTATTTTTTATCCTGATTATGATGTCGATACTGGACAAAATTTTCCATTTCGAACATTTGCCACGGTAACTTCAGTACTGTGTATTGTTATAGTTTCTATAGTAACAAGATATTCACAGAAAATTGGGAAGTCTAAGACTAAATATAATGTGTCGTCGACAGCCAATAGATCAAAGAGTAATAAACATATATTAAAATTACAAACATTGAATGGTCAATGACACTGGAGAGGAATCTTAGTCATATATGTTAGAATTTGATATTGTTTGCTGTAAATATTAATCATTAATTTAGTGGATAGGTTTATTAGTCTGATTTTGATGCATTATTAGTCTGATTATTTTGATGCCTTATAATGTATGATTGAATTGGAGTTGTCTCCTACATTATATTTATAGGAAAATCGTCAGAAGCTAATTAAAATCTTATTTAAACTTTTAAAACTTTGTTTCTAGAAATCCAAACGGGTCTGGAATGGTTAGAATAGTCCGGCATAGCCAATTGATTCTGAGTTATTGAAATAAGAAATATATTTAAGTATATTAAGTAAGATATAATGTCATCACAACAGAATATATAAAGACGTTTGATTTGTAATTTAGTTTGCTCATTGTTAAAATGCCAACGCACAATTGTTCCTATGATGTATCCAAATTTTGTGCCTTTATTTCCTTGTTCAAGTTAGGGATAAATAAACTCATCATAGATACCAGGATTAACATTTTGTACGTCAGAGGCGCGATTCGTCTTCAAAAGACTCATCTGCGACAATCGAATAATAAAAGTTAAAAAGGCAAAAATAAGTACGAAACTGACGAGCATCGAGGACCCAAAATGCCGAAAGGTTTCGCAAAATACAGCTAAGGTAATCTATTTCTGGGGTAGAAAATCCTAAGTATTTCTGAAAATTCAAAGTTTTTTGGGCGCGTTGTTGGTAGCTGAACCGTAGAGGCCTTTATTTTACTTTTTTGTCTCACGAAGTATAGTCTTGTTAGGCAGGGATAAAAGGGGGGAAAAGAGGGGGGAGGGTCTGTGCGTACTTCAATCTGGTTTACCAGCACGGTAGCTGGTATGGTATGTTATTCTTGCCAGGATAAATGTGATTTAATGACTAGAAAAATAATTTCATGAAATATTATGAAGACGTCCTGTATATTTTGTCGAAGTATATAATAATTAGACATCAATTATGATATAGAGTTATACCAGCTTATACTGGTGTGATAAAAAAGAAGGGATGTGGTGTATAAATTCATGACACAAATGCCTGCAGATACTTGACAATGTTTTCTAAGCAAAAAAGAGTGTTTTTATTGCTGTTTTTCATTATAAAATCTTTATGAGGCTTTGCTCTTTGCAAAAAAAAAAAAAATTATAAAGTAGCGACAACGATACATTTGTGTGCTGTAGAAAACGGCCGCCGGATAGAATCAACAAATTTCAAAAATTTCACAGACAAAGAAATCTAAGAAATAGTGTAAGAAAGGGGTAATGCTACATTAATACAGAGAAGTAAAAGAAATATAAGAACTACTGCCATAATTTACCCAACAATTATAGTATACAAAAACAACCAACACGTTTTGACAGTGCATTTACAGAAACGTCAGACGTATTTCTAAATAACAGTGCTAACTGTGTTCTCTGTAAAAAGGTCAAAAATTTGTGATTATTTTATTATTATTAAAAAATTGGCATGGCATGCTTGAAAAATTAGATAGAAATATTGTCACCTCAATTAATCAATGAAAATAACATGTGTTTTTGCTTAATGTTCAGCAGGTGGGGTTAACATAATATATATATAGAACTGTGCCAGGATATGACGAGAATTCAGGTGCTGTTTTCTTATGATAATCATCATATTTCCGAAAACGTAAATTTAGTTAAGTATTTTCCTAAAAGTAATGATTAAATATGTATTAATCATCTTATTGCATGAAAATCCGAATATATCCTATTTGATTAAAGTTGGCTGTAATAGAATTTTGGAATTCGTTTTAATTTAAGAAATATAACTCCCTCACGCAAACCTCTGATGCTCGTCTGGATCTGGCTATACTTTATGTCCTTTTTGGTTTAATAAGCTCTTCAAAGTTTGTATTAGGTTTCGGAACTTCAAATGTTTTGGGCTCTAGCATCACTGACGATACATTATTTGTCGAAATGCACATCTGGTGCAGTAAAATTGGTAACGTTAATGTTATAATAATGTTGAATTAAAAACAATGTAAGACCACAAGACCGCGAAAATATGTAGTTATTTCAGACACAGACACATTGTATCGGGCAGCAAATTTTTGACGATGGTAGGTGACTGTAAAACTTACATTGTGACTATTTCAGTCTGTTTTCCTCATAACTCTGTTAGAGCAGTTTTTTTTTAGTCAGCAGCACAACTTTTTAACGAAGTCAGTATAGTGTGAACATGCACGAGCGTATCGAATAAATTGAGATATGTAAACGCAGTGCGATATTGAGAGGTATGTTACTGCTGAGAAATGTGAAGTTGACAATTGGAAAGTTTAAATCATCAAGTGTGTCATAGATTATAGATTTGGGGTCGTTCATCTGTATCAATATCAAGGAAAAGATCAATATATTAAGCAGAACTTCTAGTTATATCAAGGAAAAGATCAATATATTAAGCAGAACTTCTAGTTATATCAAGGAAAAGATCAATATATTAAGCAGAACTTCTAGTTATATCAAGGAAAAGATCAATATATTAAGCAGAACTTCTAGTTTCGGTAGTGTCCTTAATGACAAGTTCACTGTGATATATGAGATGCAAGCACTCACTGAAATGAATATCAACAACAGAGTTATCAGAAAAACAGCGGAAATCAAAACTACAAAAATTTTCGTTCCCCATAACGAACGGGTTGACCAATACGATGTGTCTGTATCTCAACTGACTAGCAACATGCTTTGGCGATCTTAGATCTTTAGATAACAAAATAGTGGTCTGGTCACCAGTTGTGTCCTATTCCTTGCTGAGACATTTTTTACTGATTGTGGATTCGTAATAGTATGTAATGCATGCGTAACAGTAACAAGTCTAGACACAAAAATTCCTACAATATAGAAATAGAATCGAACACTTTTTTGTTTAATGGCTGTTAATTTAACAAAACACATGGCAGCACAGCAGACCACATCAACCACCATTACCCGACTACTCCGTAAGTCGATTATCGATTTCAACCATTCTGACTTATTTGTAGATCTTGTATTGCTAGCATAGTTTCTGCCTGTTATAGTTTTCAAGATAATGAGCAAAAAAGCTAGAATTAGTAAAAATAACTATTTGTGACAATAACCACTATTAACAGTCGTAAAACGTTTTGGTCAAAACTGATAGTAAGTAAATCTTGACACTCTGAACATTTTTGCCAGCTCAAGATTTACTTATTCATGCTGAACTATTTTCAAGATTTAAGACAATTTTTATTCCCCCTAATTATGTTCTATTTTTAGCCATAACGATAGATTAATTTGCGGGTTCGATAAAGGTTAATGACGACAGACGACTACGGATGGCAATAGACTAAGCTCACACTGGTCTTTTGGAGAAATCTTTTCCTCTAAAAAATAATTTAAATGTAAAAGAATTTCTTTGCAACGCTGAAAACATTCTCCAAAAAATGAAAAGCGAAACAAGAACTGTGTTACAGGAAACGGTAAAAATAGCCACTTGGATAAGTTTAATGTCGATTGTATTTTGCCAACATGACTTATAATCCAAGAATTAAAACAAAAATATATATAAAAAGTATTAACAAAAATAACGAACTCAAAGTTTAATTCAAAAAGGGGGAAGTCCATAAAACCTGACAAAATGAAACGTTACACTATATCAACCAACGGAACAAATGGAAAACGACTGTCATATTCCTGACTTGATACAGGTAGTTTCCGAAGGAAATGATGGGTTAAATCTGGTTCATAGCTAGCTAAACCTCCCACTTGTACAGCAGTTGTTTATATAAAGAAATTACTGACTAGGTTAAATGTTTTGTTAAAGTTTTTCTTCACCAGATCTTTATGATATAAGGAAAATACACAAACTTGACTAGCTACAAGTTAAGAAACATTATGGTGACGTATTGGCTTATTTTTTTAAGTCAAACAAAGACTATTGATTAAACTTATTTCAAACGGGATAGTACATCTTAATTTTTACGGAGATGTTGTTTACCGAGCCCGGAAATTTAGATACGATCCAGGTAAACTTAACTATCCCTTAAATAAACTTATTCTTATAGGTTACTCGATCTTTGAATACTGTTTTTATCTGGGCATTGCACAAGGTCATGTTTTTCTCTGACTGTTAATTGCGTCTTTACACTAAATCCATTGGATGTAGGATGTGTACTGATTGATATTTTAGTCTTATTGGTTTTCCGTTCATTATTTTGTACATAAATCAGGCCATTAGCTTTCTCGTTTGAATTGTTTTACATTTGTCATTTCGGGGCCTTTTATAGTTGACTATTTGGTATGGGTTTTACTCATTGTCGAAGGCCGTACGGTAACCTATAGTTGTTAACGTCTGTGTCATTTGGTCTCTGGACAGACTTGTCTCATGGCAATCATACCACATCTTTTTTTTTTATATTTGACTGATTTATTAGTCATATGATCCTTCAAATTTAACATAAAAGATGAATATGTTTTATATACTACGTACTTGAGTGGCTAGTTTTATCATAAAATACCTTTACACAGAATTTCGTTTTAAAGAAAATCCTTTATTTTATCAAAATTTTCAGAAATGTACTGCTGTGTGAAGTATTGTCTTCCCGTACTCATATTCAGAGACAGCTTTTCCGTTTGCGACGACCTTAACCATGATACCTCTCGATAGAAATTCGGCAATCCAACAGCGCAAGTGCGAAGGCAAAAATCGCGATGAAGAAAAAGTAAACAAATCTAAAGTGGAAGGATGAAAGTATTAACCGATTCTGAACAAAAATTCTAATACAGCAAATTATTTAACAACTGTTATGCCAAAATTAAATTAACAAACGGGAACGCAAGGAAAATATAGAAAGAAATAACAAATAATCATCTCACTTATTGTTCACGTGCTCCATGCTTCTGTGTTGATTGATTATCAAGGCCACAATTTGGTAAACTTTGCCACCAAGACCTGCAAGTAAATTAGTAGTCAAAGTTTTCTTTCAACAATCACCGAATGAAATACGATTTCTCGATTATACGTTATGGATTCTTACTAAATGTTAAAAAAAAACGTGCCTAAAGGATTAAGTTTATTATATATGCATGCATTGGTTCAATAATTTCCTTAACATTATAATCACCAAATTCTCGGTAAATATTACTTTAAAGAGTAGGGTCTCGCATATATATAAAAGATACATAGGTTATAACATATGCGTATGATATACGTATATAAGGCAAGGTAATGATGTGTCGCTTCCAAAGAATAATACATAACACAGTATTACGGTATATCAACACTAGTTTACCGCGCAGAGTATATTTTTTTTCTTTGAGGCTATCTGTTGTTCATTCTTTTCATTGTTTTAATACCGGGGTTTATACTTAATCAAAATGATCACGTGATTACTTAGTTATAAATAGCACAAACAAATTTTACAGCTAAACAATTTAAACTTCCTTTTCCGTAATTGTTGACATTTAAATTAGCAAAAATGCTCTCTACATTTACGAAATGTTTACTCTTTTTATACACATAGACTAACAGAAAAAAAACGATGACACCATCTACCAAAATAGGTGAGCAGAATTTATAGCTTTTAAAAAAAAATCTAGTCTAAGTGCGGACTTTCGGTTTCAAGCAATTGGATATTCCAATGAATATGTGAATTACATTTTCATCCTTCAGGAAGACTTTGCAGGTAATATATTTATCTAAAACAGAAAATAAAGATAACTAATATATCATATCATGTCATCTTACTAAGTAAATGAATCAATCTCAGATACGACTAAAATTGTTACTGAAATTTCACTGAGGAAATCAGCTGACATTCCTTGTTTCACTTTGCAACACTAAAATGAAACAAAAATCGATTAAGGATACTGATTCAATCATCCAGTTTAGAGAAAGTCTCTACAAATTGTCATCACTACCATAAGACACTTCTTCTTAAAAACATCTCCGTAGCAAAAAATAATAATTAAAAAAGAACAACAATTTAAGCGAATTTCAAACGATTGGAAATACAGGATATGTGAACACTTAAAACATGGTATTTTACAGGACACTAGAAAAAGATAATGACATGACTCAACAATCTTCTTTATAGCAATCACTTATACTATCAATCTAATTAAAATATAGATCTCGGATTTCGTTATACTACGTTATAACGTAGTATAACGAAATATTCGTTGTTTCCAGATTCTTATATGACAGTTGAATAAGTAAGATTTTATTTTGTAGACCTGTAATAAAGAACAACAATAATGGATACCTCAGGGGGAAATAGTCCAATTGATAAAAAGAAAAAAGTTCAGTATGTTAACGATTTCCACACGGGGAAGACAAAAGTGATAGAGAAGAACGTAAACCTTGCTAGATCCCTAAACAGTTATTTTGACAACAACACGTGTTCATCGCTGGTATCAACTTCCTCAAAGGAAGATGACGATAAAGGAAGAAGTAATGAATCTCTGGATGAAACTAGTCGTCCCATATTGAATGATTCACAATCACCTGAAAGATATACAGATGGTGAAAATCTCGCCCTAGCTAGTCATGAAAACGAACTGCTCAACAATAGTCCTGACATGCATAGCAAATACAACGACAAACTTAATCATCTTCAAGAGGTAGACTTAAAATCTATTTCAAAAGAACACAATCTAGGAGCTAATTCAAAAATACACAGCAGAGAAAACACAGATGGGTATTGTGACATTCTTTGGAAGGATAGCAACGAAATAAATTCTTCAACTAATCATGATAACACTACAACAGGACAGTCTGTTATCGAACTCTCAAAACTTACAGGTCAAGAACATGAAATTATAAAAACATCTTATCCTCTATCAAACCAGGTTTCCGATCAAAACACTGTAGAAATATTTGACATCATAGAGACAGAAGATATATTAGTAAATATGAATGAGGGAGACGAACACAGAATTTATAGTACTGACAACTCCGACTTTCGGAGCCAAACAATGGATGTATTAGCACCATCTGCTGAGAATAGTAAATTTAACAGTGAAAACTCAATATCTACCAATATTACCACTGAGTTGCCATTGTGTAACAAAATAATTGATGAAAATAAAATTCGTTACCTTACAACGGAACAAACTGCGAAAGACATGATGAATTTTCCAAGTAGGGACTCGGTATTTCCGCGGCCAAAGGATCATGTAGAACATTCACTAAGCAGATATCAAAACAATGAAGTTAGACCAAAACAACTAAAAATTTCAGACGAAATCGAAACTGAGGTGAAACTGAGCAATGTAAATGTTTCCTATGAAATACCAGAGAAAAAAACAAATTCCATGAAAAGTGAAGATGAAAATTCTTCCACTAGAAGCATTGAGAGTGACAATTCCAATGGAAAACGGACAAACGAAGGCATCGGAGGTGAACTTAGTAACGGGCTAGTTGTTGCAACCAAAAATGAGATAAACGGGGGAATGAAACAGGATCACGAAGACAAAGAAGAAATATGTGGACAGCCTAAAAACCTAACATTAAATAAAGATATGAACTCAATGAATAGGAATCTTAGCGTTCAAAGGCAATCGTTGGGAAGTCAGACTATGAAAGACTGTGGTACACAAACTGATTTTGTGTATTCATCATTTAATGAAACATATAATATTTTATGTGAGAAATGTGGGAATACAATAGATATGAAAGAAATCTTACTACATCTTCTAAAATACCCATTGACATTAAAAAATGGTCATCTTTGTAATGAATCCGAAGAGGCAACTTTTGTTGATGAAAATCACGAGAGGGCGGTGGCAAAAGAAGAAAATATGCCAACATTGCAAATAAGAAATACGAGTATGGACAATAACACAACTTCTCGCCAGGGAAAAACTTGTTTGGATAAAAATACACATGACTATAATGAGACGAGTTTCAATCTGTCCGGAATGCCGTGCCAGAAAATATATGTAGGAACTGGACAAACAGCCACGAGACCACCTATTGAACATAGTGAAAACCAAGAATTAATCTTGAAAAAAAGTTTTTCACCCCAAATTACAAACAAAGCATCAGAAAAAATAGTTGAAGATAAAACAATACTAGAAAAACATCCTTTAAATGACAGAGAACATTCAAGCTTTTACGCCGGTCTTAAAGTACAACGAGCCGGAGAAGAGTTTCAAGAAGCTGTTGAAGGATTTCAAGATGTTTACACGTCATTTCCTCCTGCGATTAAGGAGGAAGAAGGATACATACAGGACCAAGATCTATCATCAAGGCATGAGTTGTATTCACCTGGTATAGAGGTGGGAAAATCAGTTATAGAACTTGTAGCAGAAGCTAACAAGCCATACGACGACACTGAGGACGACAGCGAGGAGTATGAAAGCAATGATACACAAAACCCAAGCAAGATGCTTCCGCCGAGACAAAAAGAAGAAGAACATACATATAACAACAACAATCAAGTTCTTAAAGGGTCATTTCAGACTGTTCATCAAACGAAGTCATATTATAACCCATTATATATTCAAAATCACACTAACAAGAAAGGACAGTCGTATAATAAAATATCATGTTCAAAAATGAAACCAGGAAACAAAGCGAAATGTAAGTCAACGTTTATACTTGCTCTTGTGCTTTGTTATATATATATTAACCTGTCTTGTATTTATTTTGGCAAACAAGTAAAGCACAACCCAATTTTGTACTACTAATATATGACTTCAAATGTAACGATAATTCTAAATTGTCCATTCATGATTACTTCACATGTTTATGCTATTTAATACTTTACACAATTAACTTTCATTTGTTTTATTCAAGCTACACAGCAACGTCATTTAAAATACCCTCAATTCTTTTTTTTCATTTTTTTTTACAGATAAATGTAGACATAAAAGAGACATGATGGACAAACTTTCTAGCTTTGCATACGACAATTCCTTGAATATCCATAATGTCAGTGCAGATGGAAACTGTATGTTCAGTGCAGTTGTTGACCAGCTGTGGATAAATGGAAACTTTAGATTTACACAAGATTCTCTCCGAAAAGAAGCTGTTGAGTAAGTATTTTCTTCTCGGTTATGTATTGGTTTACGAAAAACTATTTTTATTCATTATTCGGGCGTTATTGTCCATTTGACTTCCATATATTTATAGGAAAATATCTTAAAAATCCTTTTTTTCAAATCAATATTTTTTTACTTGATTATGTAAATATATGATATATACGAACTCTGACTATTAATTTATGAGTTTCGGGTCTATTTTTGAAAAATTTACACATCAGGTCTCTATATAAAAATAAGAAGATGTGGTTTGATTGCCAATGAGACAACTATCCACCAAAGTTCAAATGAAGTGGATGTAAGCAATTGTAGGCAACCGTACGGCCTTCTATGTTTATTTTATTTTTTTGAAGTATAAAATACCTGATGGAGTATAAATAGTGTAACAGCCTTCCAATCAAAACAAAAACAACATACATGTGCTTTGAATGTCTGTTTCTTTGTACCATGTGACTTTACATATTCAAAAGACCTTATCTGATTAGGAAACAAAATTGAAGTTCATGTCATGTGATTGTTTAAATTTTCTATATATGACACAGGATTCTCCATCCTCCAGTTTCTAAGTAAAACAGTACTTTATAGGCAAATGGGATAAAATTGAATAAAGCATTTTCTTTTATATTTATACCTTCATCTTTTATGTTAGTAGACATGAGTCATGACAGGGTTTCTCCACTTTGAATGTTTTAGTTTAGGGCACGGCCAAACTTTGAAGCATTACTCACATTTAATTTTAAGGCCATATATAATCTTTAGTCATCATTTTCAATTTCAGATTCACAGTCAGACTGAACGTGGATAACAATTTTTTTAATTTCCTCCTGGATAGCATCATTTTTTCAATAACTTGGTTCCATAATTTTTTTTTACATGATCACAAGATTTCAACCATTTGACACTACCACATTTTTAAAATCCTTTTTGGATGAGTGATTTTACATCATTAAGTTTGAAAGTTGAATTTTCCTGATCGATGAATCTCTTTAATCACCCCATACAAATTCAATAGGGTTCACATCACAATGATTAGGGGTAACTTGGAGTACTTTATGTTCTTTCCCATCTATTCATCTACCTTATAGACTGTGTCAATTGTCCTAGATTTAATAATTTGGTATAGCTTGAACTGCTTCGGTTTTGTAGATTTGCTGTCAAATGCGACCCCAAGTTTATTTTAAAAGTCCTTTATATCATCTTTTCTCGAATTAGATGTTGGGAGTGTTGTACCCTCAACACGGACGCTGTGTTATGATGCATTGTCCATTACTACAAAACTTTTTGACAGTAAGGCGGGAACTAACTGTTTCTCAACCCATTGTTCAAATATTTTACAATTAATGTCTGTATGGTAATGTCGTCCATCTATACTCATACTCATAAAAATAAATTGTATCCTTTTAATACTACGGGTTACAACCTGCATGTAACACAACAAATCTCTGCCCTTTTCTTGGAAGAATTTTTCTATTATATGACTCATCAGCATTGGTCCATTGATGTGATGTATTATGTTTTGTGTCAATCCATGTCTCATCTATATAACTAGATGTGAACCCTTCATCACGTTTTTTCTTACATATTGGATACGTTGATTGAAAGTGTCTTTTCTTTCAACAAGACCTTTTCTGTTTTTTATCATTTTTTTTGTATATTTGAATCCTAATCCGTGTAAGCTTGTATTTTAATAAAACAACATCATGGTCTTTCCCCAAAAGATTTTTTAGAGTTTTTTTTTTTATGTAACACATATTTTTTTTCAAAATAATTATGAACAGTAGTCTTTATCAAATCCCTGTCAAACTGATCAACTGTATCCTTTCTCACTTCAATTGTTTTATTTATTATTTCTCCTGGCCTATACAGTAACAGTAATTTGTTAATAAAACTTTCACTTATTTTTAAACATTGGGCAGTTCTTTTGTTGATTTTATTCCATAAATGAAATGAAGCTCTTCGCTTTGACTCTGCATCAAAACAATTATACGCTTTCAGAATTTTTCATTTGAAATTATTGATTGCATTGTATTTCGTTCTTTAGATTTAAGTAAGGGAGACAATTAAAAAAAATTTGAAAGATTTTTTTCAGTCGTAATGGTATTTATCATTGTTACGTTCAAAATAAGTATTTTCTTATTTTTTAAATTTGTGACTTGCTGGTTAAAAGATGTGCATTTTGCAAAGAAAGAAATGTATATTAACTTTATTTTGATCTTTTCGGAATCTCTTTGTTTTGTTATGAAAGTCACCATGCTAAAGCATGACAAGCTTGCTTATAGTCATTTATAGGTTATAGAAATATTTAATCAAACAATATTTAAATATTTAAGAATCAATAAAAGTAAAAAGATCTGGTAATAATAACTTTTATTTCCAAAATCATCTATGAATGTTTTTCTTATAAATTGATATAAACCCAATAATCAAAAATATAAAGTGTTGATCAGTTTCATTGGTGTCCACATGGTACAAAGAAATAGACATTCAAAGCAATGTATGTTGTTTTTTGTTTTAATTGGAAGGCTATTACTCTGTGTATACTTTCTCCATCAGGTATTTCAAAAAATTAAATTAAAATAGAGACCTAACGCGCAACTTTTTCAATAATAGAACCAAAATTAAGAAATTAATAGTCAGAGTTCGTATGTAACCAAAATTGTTATAATTGTACTCTTCTGATCTCCTTAAATATTATTGATGATCACCCAATGCACCACGAACAATTTCTAGCAAAAGAAAACAAGTGTTTTAAACAATACAGTAAAATTGCACTCTGATCGGCATTGTGCGCTTCATTGACTCATACCTTGTTTTATGTTTCAGTTTAGATCGTAGATGCTAATTAACCTACAATCGTATAAATTTGTGTAAAGATGCATTTTATAATATATATATATATATATATAGTAGCATTCCACAAAAAGATAGTCACTGTGACCTATTTTTTACGCTTTACTAACACATTTAATTTTACATCTTGTTTTTGTAATGCTAGGTGACCTACAAACATATTTTAACATATGTTCTGTTCATTATTAGTGATTGATTGATTGTTGGATGCTTAACGTCCAGTGGCAAATATTTCATGCATGTTCTTAGTGTATATAAGCGTTAATTTAGAAAGTGAAAAAAATCAATCTTCATCTTGATCAGTGAAATCTCTTTAACAAACCAATAAAGGGATGGACTACTTACAAGTAAAACAGACAAATAGATATTGGGAACGCTACATGCGTTATTTTCTTCATGATGTTACGTATCTTTAAGGTTTCTAAGGAAGAACCCAACCCATAGAGACGGAACCCATCTTGAATTGTTTTTGGCAACTGAATCATGGGAAGAATATTTACGAAGAATGGAAAGAAAAGGAGAGTGGGGTGACCATATGATTTTGCAAGGTGTTTCAGAAGTCACAAACTGTAGAATTATAGTCATAAATTCAGATATTGTGAAAACAGAACTTAACCCTTGGCATTCTACCTTCGACGAAGCACAGATGGATATAGTGTTGCTAGGGCACATGGGAGAATATCACTATGTTAGTCTAAGACCGAGTAATTATCAGGAAGCATGGGCAATACGTAAGTCATGGATTTAGCATATGCATATTCATTGTTTTGTACATAAATCAGGCCATTAGTTTTCTCATTTAAATTGTTTTACGTTTGTCATTTCGGACCCTTTTATAGCTGACTATACGGTATGGGTTTTGCTCATTGGTGAAGGCCGTACGGTGACCTATAGTTGTTAACTTCTATGTCATTTGGTCTTTGGTGGAGATTTGTCTCATTGGCAATCATACCACATCTTCTAATTTTTATAAATCGTAAATTGAAACCAATTCAGCAAAACATAACAATCGAAAGCATGGTGTTCTCCACCGCATCTTCTTATTTTTATATTATATATAGTTTGATCCTAACCCAGTCAATAAATAATCAAGAAAATGACCAAACCAACGATGACGGAGGGAAAAGAAAAAGCAACTCAAACGAAAATACCAGACCGAGAGGAAGAGCGAGAGATAGAGCGCGAGCGCGCGCGAGAGAGAGAGAGAGAGAGAAAGAAGGAGAGAGAATTCAGCAACTGACGTTTTCGGAGACCTGGTGTTGTTCATTTCCTTCTCCTTTGGTAAAGGATATACATTTAGATATTTAATTGCCATGACTCCTATTAACAATAAATACAAATTGTGACATTGAAGGTTTCAAACGTACGTTACAGACAAACATATGACAAAGTAAATGTTTTCACATGTTAAATCAAGTGACGGTATGTAAAATCTAAGAATTACAATATTATAATACTTTCGCAAAATTACAATATTGCATTATTGAATTACAATGCGCTGTCATCATAGGAAAATTTTCAAATTATTGTGAGAACGGAGTTTGGTTAAAGTGCTTCACAACAAAGTAGAGAAAGGCATTTACTATTCTTGTTATATGTTTTCTTTACAATTTTAGGGGCTAAGATTAAATTTCTAAACGAGATAGAAGGTCCAACAAAGGGACAGCAATCATATGAAGAGGGTTACCCTAGTCTTTTCGATATAACACCAGCAGACACTGACCCGTTGGATGAAAAAGAGAAGACTGACCATCCAGATGATAGCAACGAACTTCAAAAGCAGCCTACCGATGAGGACACTGGAAATGGATACAAACTTCCCAAAGAAAGTGAAATTGACGACCAGCCCACTAGTACTAATGAAACAACAGTTAACAAAGTCAACAACACTGCAAACAATGTCTTTGATAACGAAGTTGATTTATCCTTCATTGTTTTCCAGAATACAGACCTAATACAAAGAGGACAAAGTTTTAAAGCAACAGAAGCATTGTTTGATAAAGATGGTAAGATTATGCATCTTTTGCAGCACTGGGTCGATACCTCTGCTGGTGGACTATCAGTCCCCGAGGGTATCATCAGCTCAGTAGCCAATACTTCGGTAATGACATGATTTATAACAAACCTTTTTAAAATTGTCCGTTTCTTAATTTTGAAATTATAAAAAAAAACTAAGGTTTCAACTCCCTCAGGCAAAGTTGGCCTTTGATGGATTTGGCTATTTTTTGTGGTCCTTTTTAGTTATACAGCTCTTCAACTGTTTCGGTTCTTATACATCACTGGTTTTCAAATTTTCGGCTTTGAGTTTCCTGATGAAGGTAAATCCAGAAAAGCGATTCGGGCGCATAAAATTTATAACGTGTTGTTTGTTTTTTTGGGGGGTATTTTCATGTATATCATATAAGGCGGATATCAGCTGCAGCTTAATTAATCTTTTCATGCATATGCATTTCACACGTAAACAAAAAGAAAAAACACATGTTCTGGCGTTTATGAAAAAAAAATTGTTCGTATATAAATTTTTGGAATAATGAACTGTTTACTATCACAGTCCTGACTTGGTTCAAGCACTATACAAATAACAAAAATTGAGCTAGGATTTAAGGCTTGCTAAAACTCTCACTTGTATTACAAGTCGTTTTCGGTTTCAAATTAACTTTATTAAAATGGATAAGATGTAAACAAAATGGCACGAGAAAACAAATAATTGTAGAATGTGTCTGACACAACATTTCCTGATAGACTTTGATAATTCATAAATGCAAATGATCTTAAGCCAGGTGAATGATGTTTATGTTTTTCTTTGTTGTACAGCTTCCAGTTTATTTAATCTCGCTTTGTATATAACAGTTTGGGCATTCATAATAAAGGTTAACTCATAGATTTATTTATTTTATTTATTTATTACAAGACATTTTTAAAGCGCATTATATAATACTACAATTACTCTAAGCGCTTTACATGTTAAAACAAATATACACAAGTTCGTACAAACACGAAATTTATTTCAATATTTTTGTTCTTACGAAGTCTTAAAAACATTTTTAGAAAGTTAATCTTAAAAACATTTCTTTAATATAAAACAAATTAGCCTGTTTTGATTCATACTGATTATTTTGCAGAGGACCTCAAAAGACTGGTCATGGAAACTGATTATATCGATCCGCTGAGTGCTATCCCAATTCAACATCTATCTTTCTATTTAAGACAACTGATTGAACCAGCAGACATTTATATCGACAGTGCAGTTTCTACCGTCAATTGTAAAGTAAAATCTTCTGCAAGGAAATTGAATATCGATGTCGTAGTGTACGGATCAGTGGGCGAGGGACTGGTAGTTTATCCAGATACTTGGCATTGTTGTCATTCTATATTAAAGCCTCAAGTATTGTTTTACATGTCAAACGTTGTCAATATAGTTTATGAAAAAGAAAATGGTACAGGTCCACATTCGCTTCTAGTCAACACAGACGCCTGTTCTCCTGGATTTGTAAGACTTGCAATTCCATATCCAGAATACTTTGAGAAAAGTATAACTGTTAAAATTGATGAAACCGTCTTCTTGGATGCTTTAACTTTAGAGTTCACACTACCAATCGGTTGCCAGCGTATCCAACCGAGGCTAAAGCAAGGTATCGAGTGTCAGCAGTGGCCAGAATCGCTGACATCAGAATGGCACACGAGGAAACGACCAAGTGGATTTCCTGACACTGAAATGCTGAAGGAACTCTCCAGTAGGGCATGTTTTGTTCGCAAGTGCAGACATCACTGTAGCCTCAACCCTGACATTGAATGGCAGTTCGTATTTCCAACTGTTGAAACGGATCTTCTCCAAGATATGATGAATGACCATATGAAATATATCATGAGACTGTTTAAAATGATAGTAGAATTTCAGACTGAGTACGCCCAAAGAAGACTGAAAACAAATCACCTCAAGACTGTCATGTTATACACTTGTGAAAATCTTCCAATTTCCGTCTGGTCAAACAATGTCGGTGGCGCAATTTTATATTTGGTAGCATCACTAATGGCATATCTACATCGTCGACATCTGCCACACTATGTAATGGAGTCTGTAAATTTGATAGACAATTATTCAGATTTGGAAATAGATGATCTGCTCAGATGCTTGGAACAAATCCGTCTATTTCCGTTCATGTCATTCAATATTTTTGCAGAAGATAGCAAACTACCAAACCAATGGATAATCGACCCAATTGTCAATGATCTACATCGATTCAGAAATGATAAAGATCATTTAAAATCAGCTGAGGAAGCTTTCTGTCCAACTCTTATAGAACTCTCGAAACGATTAGTTATGTATGGAGTTCAATATTTCTGGAAAGGTTTTAAACTGACACAGAGAGCATACGATAGACTTCATGAACTTGAAAAAGAAAGGAAGATAGAAAATCCACAAACTTTTGAACAGTTTATGGAACCTTTTGTTTATGCTGTTGAAGACCCAATAAATCGTTATTTTTTCACCGATTTTGTAGACCGCAAATTAGGAACAAGTATGCTTCATAAGATGGTGGCTTCCGATCACGTTCGCTCTATGGACACAATTGTAGAAAAAGAAGTTGGTGGACATTATAACGAATTTCCCATTCCAGACGGGAGCAAACTTGATGATGTTGAATATATGGAAAGTTTTGCCAAGTATTTGATGACATTGGGCAGTAAAGAATCAGGTGCTCATTTTCTAAGATGTGGTATTACGATTGCAAGGAGTAGTCTTACATCAGAAACGATTGACACAAGTGAAATAACAGAAGAAGAAATCAAAACACAAATTACCGAAAAAAACTTGCGAACTGTGGATAATCTTAACATTGCACTGCATAGGTTGTATAATAATCTTATTGAGTGTTACAACGAAATGGATCAAACAATCATGTTTCAAGAGTTCATTCATGATTATGAAGATTTAGTGGAAACATTGGCAGTTCCCTGTTACTATAATAAACTTGCAACAACCTGGGAAGATCTTGGAAACAACGAAAAAGCTGATCTCTATCGTAGTCGATTCGAAGAATATAGACAACGTATGCAAAGTACGCGTGTCTAGTTGTACATATTTAAAGAAAAAAAGTTTTATGCACATTAAAATTGGCACTCATAAGAAATTATATTGATTGAGAAATTAAGTTAAGCAAAAATTTGTTGTTTACATCTTGACAAATATTTATTGCAGCAATTAATTTCATAGAAATTTGATGTGTGAAATATGCCTGTCCAAAATTAAAAAATAAGAAAAAAGGCGATATGGGGTATGCGTCAAAGAGACAGGAGCCCAACCACAAAAATAACAAAAAGACATTTAGAGGGCAACATACAGTCTTCAACTATAGACAGGTGTTTATATTATATGTCAAGATCTGTGAATGATTTTAAAACAAACAATCAAAGATCTGCAACTAAAACTTAATTCTCGAAATATTGATGAAAATTAAGATATGACATACGGCAAGTCATAAACAAAGAAAAAACAAAGAAATATTTTAGGAGGAATCTCGCTAGTGATCGACTCTGACCGCCGGTTTACTGAGAGAAGACAACATGTCGTCAAAGTGACTCAAACGATATTAGTCTTAGACACATGACTTTTTGTATTAGTTGTTATTGGCTTTGAACTAGCTGTCAGTAACTAGGAGTACTCTCAGATCTGTACTGAGTGTCTTTTTTGTTGTTAGGGATGAGGGATGGATAAATACACTGCCACGTCCGGATTTTTTGTTTGTTTGATGTTTTTTCTGCTTTGTATCGATCTGATGAGTTAAGCCTTTTTCTATTGATTTTTATAGTTTGTTCTTATGTTGTGCTGTTACACCACTGTCCCAGGTTAGGGGAGGGTTGAACGCTCACAAACATGTTTAACACCGCCACATGCTTTATGTGATTATCCCAAGTCAGGAGCCTGTAGCTCAGTGGTTGTCGTTGGTTCATGTCTGTCATATTTATTTTTCGTAAATTGTTTTGTTTTAAATTAGGCCGTTAGTTTTCTCATTTGAATTGTTTTATATTTTTCCTGTCGGGGCCTTTTATAGCCGACTACACGGTATCGGTTTTTCTCATTGTTGACGGCCTATAATTGCTTACCTAAACTTCATTTGAACTTTGGTGGATAGTTGTCTCATTGGCAATCATACCACATCTCCTTATTTTTATATTGATGGCGAGTACCATTCATTACATTACACTACATTACGAATTGTAGAATCCTTAAGTTAAAAAAAATATTTTTTTACCACAGTCCTGTTTTTTTTCAATAAACATAAATTTGATCAACTATTTAAGGTAACAGGTACGAAAATGGGCTATCTTGCAGATTTTTATGAATTTTATGAAAACTATTAGTTCTCAAATCCGGTCCAACGAGATCTCTTGAAAAAAATGGGATTTTTCTACTCAAGAAAAAGATAACATAAACTGTATTTGGCAAAGCATTTCGTAATTTTCGGACCATCAATGCTCTCCAGCTACGTACTTTATTTTGGCTCTTTTAACATTTTTTTATTCTAGCGTCACTGATGAGTCGTTTGTAGACGTAACGCGCGTCTGGCGTACAAAATTTTAATCCTGGTATCTATGATGAGTCAATCAGAATTATTTGGCACAATATCAATTTATTATGTCGAGATGAATTGTTAATGTTAAAATTTAGACGGCGGGCATAATTTGTTGTACAGATGGTTTGAGAACCAGTGCAAATCACGTTATTTTTATAAATTACTCAACGCATTTCTTATGATTCGCACTTAAGTTAACTGCAAAATTTACTTTTTTTTTGTATAAATAAAAGGGAAGTTGGGTAAAATGTCCAAAACACAGCAACCTAAAATTAACAAAAACACAGCAACCCAAATAAAAAATAAAAAGAATACAGCAACCCCAAATAAACAAAAAGACAGTTAGAAGGCAACATATTGTACATGTGATTACTTGAGGAACTCCTAAAATAATAACTGTATGCCTTAATCAGCTCATGAAAAGTAAGAGCTTTCTAACATTATTTGAATTGGTATCGTTTAATATAGAGGACAGGGGATGACGCAGTCAATCAATTCATAAGTACTTCAAAATTCACAAAATATCAAATCTAATACAAAATGAAGTATTCAGTCGAGAAAGCATGAGAGAATGTGAAGATGGTTTTAAGTTGGAAATATGTGTTAAGTTTTCAACAGTCAAATTTATCATGGAAAGCTTATTTTCCCATAATATATAAAAACACACGACAAAACTGCTGGTACGCGCATATTTGAAATTGCTGTTGTTAGATAGATGGATTGATTGTTGTTTGCTTAACGTCCAGTAGCAAATGTTTCGTGCATATTCACGACCGGAACAAATTAGCAATAAATGCAACAGGTTTTGTAACGTGAGTCGACTAGGATGAAGGACTAGAATTTTAAAGAACAATGGAAAATGCAGATATATTGGATATGGGCCGAAATTTGCTTCGCAATAGACAACACAAGGATCCCTCAAAGAGTGTTTGCAATTGGTGTTTTTTTTTATCGTGCAGAGAGCGGGTCACTCTCTACACTCGAGGCATCGAGTTCAACGTCACCATTTGGAAACCTTTGCTGGTAAAAGAAATCGGCACATCATTCTTTGTAAGTTGTCCGGAAAAAACTTTGATTATTTTAGGAACTCATGTAACACCTAGATTATAAATCTATTATTAGATCAATAGGTATTATAAGTAATAAAGATTTACTGACAACAGGAAGTTTAAACAAAATGTATTTTGAAAGTGAACTAAGAATAAAAAATACACTTACTGTATTGTTACTTACTGTATAGAACAATAACTATAGTGCACTTAATGCTTTAAAAGTTTCTAACTATCAACCATCGTATTCAAAGAAGTTCTACATGAAAAATAAAAACCGGGAATTAGATGACAATGTGACAATAGACAAGTAAATTTTCGTGTAAGTTAGAAGTATGTATTGCGTAAAAGTTATGTCGACAATCAAAACCAGATGTAGTATTCGTTATTTATTGGTAAAAAAATGAAAATTTATTGCGTCCGAAGCGTGTTTCTGGATTTACCTTCATCAGAAACACTCATGGCCAAATATTTGAACGCCAAAGATGTATAAGAACTGAAACAGTTCAAGACCTATATGAACAAAAAGGACTCCGAAAATAATAAAACAAATCCATCTAAGGTCAACTTTACCTGAGGAAGTTGAAGCCTTAGTTTCTTTATAATTTCTAAATTTAGAAACGGACAATTTTAGAAAGGTTTGTTATAAATCATGTCAGTACCGAAGTACTGATTACTGAGCTGATGATACCCCCGGGGACTGATAGACCACCAGCAGCGGTATCGATCCGGGCCAGTGCTGTAAAATTGAAAACAACACGTTATATAAATTTCATCCTCTGAGGCGCTTTTCTGGATTTACCTTTATCATCAGGAACGCTCAAAGCTGAATATTTAAATGCCAAGGATGTATAAGAACCGAAACAATTGAATAGCTAGCTGTTACCAAAAAGAACAAAGTTTAAATTGTGAAATTAGAAACATACTTCAAATTGTCTTACTTTCAATATTCACGAAGAAAATGCTCAAACAATGCAATTGTGTGTTAAAGGCAGATTTCTTATCGTTTCTGTTTAACCTATTCACAACTTTTATAGACTAGGGAAGATTTAGAGTTTGACATATTGTATAGAAAACTGTCTATTTTTAAAGACTGTATGTTGCCCTTTTGCATTAGGTTTTTTTACTGTTGGGTTGCTGTCTCATTGACGTTTACCACACACCTCCTTTCATTCATATTAAAGATTGTAACGTTGATCTTCAAATGTCGATCTCTGTTGGAGAGTTAAACAGAGAATCTTTCTATACATTAATTTTCAGAATGTTTCTGATACAATGCAGCCTTGTATTCATGATAAATGTCAACTAAATCTTACAATTTGTATTGTTTTTTTTTCAATTGATAACAATGAAGTGGTCGAGAACACCATGCTTTCGATTGTTATGTTTTGCTGAATTCGTTTCAATTTACGATTTATAAAAATAAGAAGATGTGGTATGATTGCCAATGAGACAATTCCCCACCAGAGACCAATGACATAGAAGTTAACAACTATGGGTTATCGTTCGTCCTTCAACAATGAGCAAAACCATACCATTATTTTGTATTTTTAGTCAGATATTCCAGTCAGTCCTAGTACGCGTATGGTGTATTGACTTGTTCCAGTTACAAGAACACCCAGCAAAAATAATTTTCTTTAGGTATGTCAGGAATATATTCGATAAGGATTCTTTTCATATAGAATAAGCACTCCTCGTCACCAATGACAAACACAAAATAAGTGATTGATATATATTATAAATTCTTATAATAGTGGCAACAAATCTACCTGGTTTAGGATTTGAGATATTAAGGATATAAAACATATATAGACCTATTCAAAAAGACTTAAAAGTTCCATTTGTTTTTCTTCTTTAAAAAGTCTGTATATGTTCTTGGAATTGTGCAAGATCGTATCTACATGTTCTGTTTATAACGTGCATTACTATATAAAATCTTCTGTGAAGTACAGTCAACTTCTTCAGGCAAAGTTGACCTCAGATGGATTTGGCTATTTTTAGGTCTTTTTGGTCATATAGCTCTTCAAATGTTTCAGTTCTAATACATTCTATGCTTTCCATTCTCAATTCTATCTCTAATATTCGGATTTGAGCGTTCCTGCGAAGGTAAATCCAGAAAAGCGGTTCGGACGCATAAAATTTATCAAGTTTTGTCTAAATTTTGTTCATCGAAATTACCATGTGGGACAGCAATATATGTATGTCAATGAGACATCAACAAAATGACACAATAAACCAAGAGACACAGAGACCACCATATTGTCTTCAACAATAGACAGATGTCATTACAATATGTTGCCCCAAAAGTCTAAAAATTTGCCATCAGCACCAATCCCGCAAACTTATGAATAAATATGAGGAGTTTGAAAAAGACATTTGCATGTATATTATTAGAAGTCGGACTTCTGATATTATTTAATCAATGTTATATGTTGTATAAATATATTTGCAATGCCTATCACTCTATGGTTTCTTCCTTTTCTGATATGAAGTATATAACCCAGTTTGCTCAACTGTATCGGATAATGTCGTACGCAAGGAAATCACCATCATTTAATCTTTAAATTTTTGTTCTTTTTGTTTTTGTTTTGATGAACAATTCTGATAAATCCACTACTTTCGGCGGCACATCATACAAGCTTCCTTATTCAAGCAATGCGTTAAAGCTATCGCAGATTCGAAAGAATTTCCTTAATTTGAATATCGGATTTGACAGTTGATTCTTTTTAACTCCGTTTGGGGATTTTCATTATTTTGAATTTAAATTTAGTTTATATTTAGCATTTAAGATTTATACATTACTATTTTATACCTTCCTTACGTTTAAATTTTGTAACATTTGATTTTGATTATTTCCCTTTATCTAGTTGGGAATTCTCTACTTTCGATTCAGAAAAAGGAAGTATTGCATATAGGTAAGCTATTTTATATATGTTAATAACTTTAGTTGTAGAATTCTCTGTTTTAAATTTAAAAATATCATTAAAATGTTCTATCTTTAACTAATGACAAACATTATTATCATTTGAATACAATGCCATCATTTATCGGACTTCAAATTGCATAGTTTCAAGACGATATCCAATGTTAAATGTTTGTTTTTGTGTTATTGGGTTGCTATCGCATTGACATACCCCACATCTCCATTTATTCAAACAGGCATTCCTACCATAAGAGCGATTTGAAGACTTTGTATATGCATATACGGCAGATTTGTTTGGGATAAAAGCAGGAAGCTATATTGAACTGTATCTGTTTTTCATTTCTCATTGCAACCTTTCATCTCATCGCTAAATGTTTGTCCCCTCCTACGAGTGAAAAGTTTGGTCCGTTGCCATCAATCGAATGTGTTTATGGAACTGTTTGGTGAGGAGGGTTGTCAGATGGTATAAAATGAGCTTATTTAGGGGCAGAATTCAACAAAACATTATAGACATTGGCGTACAAAGAGAATATTTAAGTGATCTCGGATCTATTATGTTATGATATTTCAGCTGTTGAAGGCATTTATATATTATACATGTTATATACATACACACATTTTTATAGAATCACCGAGTATTTGAATCAAAACTTAGCTTCTGTATGGATATGGATGAAGATGAAGAAGAAAACAGTCTTGTGACCGGGATTGTGTGCAATGGACAGAAGACCAAAAACTCAAAAATTTCTTTCATCTGGGGATCTCCTCTACACAGGATGACAGACGTCCACGAAACCGATCCTTATGATACTGTTGATCTGGACCATACTAATTCGAAATCAGCCAGTTACGTTAGTATGCAAGTTAATAATTATATAATAAAAGTACATGCAGGCAAATACTCGAAATTGATCACTTTAAAAACTTAGGGCAAATAAGTGCTGTTGAATAAGAATAAAATCACCACAAAAAATGTAAAATCCATTAAAGAGTTCATTTGTGTAGTACGATGGACATATGTTAAGTTTGATATTTGATTGTAGAAACAATGCATTGATCACAAATTCTTTTAGTTGCAATTTCTGGGAACACTTAAATATTTATGGACTCGGTGGTAGCAGCTCAGTGATTTCGATTGTAATGAACGTGCAGGTCCCTTTTTATAATACACCTTTTTTGTAATTTACTGGGAACAATGAAATAGTTTTATCCCAATACTTCAAATATCTATATGACAAATGTGTGAACGACCTGTTGAGTTTCGGAGGTATCTTAGTTGTTGTTCAAGTTCATAGACCTGAACAATTTAAATAAAATCCCCTCATTTCCGATAGTATTTGTGGAACGCAAACCTGTATAACACATGTATATCCGATTCAATGTTTTCTATGAATAAATAACAATATTGATCTGCACTTGATTAATCTAATTTTCAAGAAAAAATATTTTAACATTTCCCCTCCGAAAAAAAATTGTAATAAAATGATAAGAGTTAAACGCATACTGACTGTATGCTTACCTCTAAATTTGATAATATTATTATACAGAACCAGACAACCAAATTTACATCAAACCAAATAAACTCCGAGGAATCACAATACCATTCCGACACTGATAATTCACAGAACACTTTTGCTTTATTTGGATACGATAACCTGGGAGATATAGATAACTCTGACGAAGAGACCTGTGAAACGAGTCAAGACAAACACAGCAACTATTTATTTCAAATGAAAACCCAGAAATATCAAGAAGAACATAACTGGTCACTTGAAAAAGTGAAAGTAACTCGTACAAATGTACATCCTGGAGCATCAGAGAAAATGGAGGAGGATAAAAAGGAGAATAACGCCTCGGAAATGATTTCCTGCGATGAAACGAGTCGCAATCATGTTAACCAAAGAATAAACGATAAGACAGGAACATGCGAGGAAAACTTGATATTAGATGGTGAATACAACTGTGATATGACTTCTACAAAAACAGCGACATTCAAAGAAAGGACCAATTTCGAAGAAATTAATCAAAAAGCCACAAATAGTCGAGAGAATATGTACACAGCAACACTCTCTGGAAACGAAGAACCGCAATCAAATCAGTCAAGTATTACTTTCATTAAAGGAGAAGGCGAAGGAGAAATGATATCTGAAAATGAAAACTGGATAGAAAATGACGACATAGAAAAGTCATCTCATGAAAATGAAAGTCATATCAACAAGAACAAAATGGAAACTTTAGTTTTAGAAACACCTATCAAATCAGAAGATGAAACAGAAATCAGCCATGACATAACCAAGCAGACCCTAGAAAATATAGATGAGTCATATCATCAACAGGAAACAGAGTGTAATGATGCTTCGACCCGAGCATCTAGTGAAGACAGGGAGATGGAGGCGCCCAATGCAAAGCAGATGGTACAATATCAGAAGGAAATGTCACATGATGTTGTAGAAGTTAACCCTTTTCGACCAATAAATGAACCAGATTTGTATTCAGCTAAAACTGAAGATTCTCTCCTTGCACTCGACAATAAGGAATATATTGCAAACAATCATGAACATCGTCAGTATGCGAATTCATTTGAAATTTCTTATCAGACTACTGAGCATGATAGTACGGGTGTAGAATTTTTGTCAGCATCCAATGAAAATCCTGGAAATAAATTACAACATCCATTAAATGAGAACGCAAATGAATCACAGACAGAAAACAAAATGTACGTAAATGAGGAGGAATTAGAATCCTCAAATGAAGAACCATTTAATCAGAGAGAACATGATATCAAGTCGGAATTATCAATTGACTTCTCAGCAAAGACAAAAGAGGACTCGAGTCCATCAGTTGGAAAACACAATCCGATCTTCAACAAAGCATTTACGCCAACGATTTCGGAAAAAGAAAAATTAACAGATAACTATTTTACACGTGACACCGCAGGAAAATTCAGTCAAAGTAAAGGGAAAGATGACATAAGTAGAAAAGGGAACAATGTGTTTCACTGCAATATCAAATCATCTGAAAGTGGAAAGCAGTCTTCTTTTCAAGAGCATATACATTCAAGTAAGAAATCAAAGGGACCAGAAGTGAAGAAAGAATTCGATAATTCTGTAAATTTTATGAAAGATTTATGTCTTATAGGATCAAGACACTTGAAAAAGATCAAAAGCCAACAAAATGATGGAGAGAATATAAGCAGAGCTTCACAGTCGAACTTTTTTCCTTCTATGGAAAACAGACTTACAGATATTGAGTCTGAATTAGTTAATGTTATATCTAGGGATAGGAATGATATCTTAAACGATGAAGAGTCTACCGAAGATAAACAGTCAACTAAATTATCGTACAACAATGCGAACGTTGATAGGTTTTCACTTGCGGATAGATATGAAACTTCAGAAACTACCACAGAAACGGAAAGATGTAATGAGTCGGAAGAGAATCATTCTAAATATGCATTTACAATTACACATTTTGGAAACACAGACGAATTGAACGGTGGCCAACGTAGATGTATATCAATTAAATTTGACAATTATGGAGAGTCAAAATCAACGAATGCGTTTGAACGAAATCAAAACATTACATTCAAGTATAAAACCCAAGATCCGGAAATTGAGCTATCAAGTAGCCAATATAAAGATGCTGTCACGACTAAATCTTTTCCCAAGCACACGGAAAATGATCAAAAGTTACCCAAATTCACTGACCGGGAAAACTCTTTTGAAATGCAAGCAAATCAACCTTGGAGCATTGAACCTAATCAATCCTGGAGTCAAGATAGACATGACCTACGGAATGCTAAATACAACTCGACGCCTCAATACCACCAAAGTTCGATGAGTGATCCATTTATCAGAACTGACTTCCTAGAAAATGAAACCAGTTATCCTAATGGTAATTCGGAAACTCATGACCAACGAGATGAACAGCTTCATAGTCCACAACACAACCAGCTCGAAAGATTTCAGTTGAATTCTTCGAGTAATCCTGTATCGAATAAGCCGCTAGAGAGTGAAAACAGAAGTCATAGTCGAAGGTCATGGTATGCCACTGATCATTCTCCAGAAGGTAAATTATGTTGTTAGATTTTTTTAAGTATTTCAATTGAATGTGTGGTCAAATTGCTTGATATTTAGATATCCAGTTCAAATGTATGTTGTGAAAGAGAGGCGAAAGATACCAAAGGGACATTCAACATTGAGAACAACATAAAATTGAGAATGGAAATGGGGAATGTGTCAAAGAGACAACAACCCGACCAAAGAGCAGAAAACAGCCGAAGGCCACCAATGGGTCTTCAACACAGCGAGAAAATACCGCACCCGGAGGCGGGCTTCAGCTGGCCCCTAAACAAAAATGTGTACTTGTTCAGTGAAAATGGATGTCACAACTCCAAAACATATAAATGAACTAAAATTTAAAAACATACCAAACCAGCAAAGGCCAGAGGCTCCTGACTTGGGACAGGCGCAAAAAACATGTTTTGTGAGATCTCAACCCTCCCCCTATACCTCTAGCCAATGTAGAATAAACAAACACACAGCAATACGCACAGTAAAACTCAGTTTAAAAGAAGTCCGAGTCCAATGTCAGAATAGGTAACAAAAGAAACTAAGCAAAATGACAATGATACATAGTTTCAGATTATAGGTAGGTACTGATATTCGTTTCGAAAATAAAATGTGGAAAAGACATAAAACAGTGCACAAAAAACTACACAGAAAATTAAAGACTGAGCAAGCAACACGAACCCCTGCTCCAATATTTGCATCCGCCATGTAGCTTGTGCTAGTCAACATTCTGTTTTAAGCCTCAATCGACGATAAATTGATACATATTTTCCGTAGCGGTTAACAATGGGATAGATGGAATTAAAATAGCCACTTAACCATGAAGTATTTCATTAAATTTGCTTTCAGTAACTGCATTTATCCCTTGATACGACATTGTTTGCCTTCACATGAACTTGTGTTTTTGAAATCTATTATACCAGTATCATAAGAAAAAAGTAAAATAACAAAATACCGAACTCCAAGGAAAATTCAAAACGGAAAGTCCCTCACAGCGTTAAGTACTTTTCCCTTACTAATTTTTATTGGATGTTCTTTGTTATATGTTTAACTTTTCTTATTCAACTGCTCGATATCTCGAAAAAAAATTAGTTTAACCTGCCATATCTTCATGTTCTTTTCCAAATAAGGAACCTCGTCAGTAATAGTTATGAATCGATGATTTTAGTGCTGCATCTTTTTTCGTCACTTAAAAGCAAATTACCTGCCTGTGTAATATAAGGAAAGACTAGTGGGTATACACACATTTCCACGTTTCTCGTTTTTGCCATGGCATTATATAGAAAGAAGGAGATGTGGTATGATTGCCACTGTTTGTCAGTTTGTTTTCGACTTATGAGTTTGAATATCCCATTGGTATCTATCACCTCTCTTTTTCCACCTTCACTTATTAATTGATTTCTGTTCTGAATTTTGGTCGTTGTCAAGTTTTAAACAAAGAGCAGTAGAATTGATAAGGCTTTTGTTTTATGCCCCCGCCGGGGGCATTACGTTTTACCCTTGTCCGTCTTTACGTCCGTACGTCCCGAAATTGGTTTCCGTTCTCTAACTTTGCTTCAACCAAATGTTATGAAACTTATACCCAATGCTTATTACCACAAAACACAGGTCAAGTATGAATTGTGGTGGCGTCACTTTTACCGTTCTAAAGTTATGACCCTTCACAAATGGAAAAATTGCTGAATTTTTTCGTTTCCATTCTCTTACTTAAGTTTGCCTCAACCAAATGATATGAAACTTATACACAATGCTAATTACCACAAAACTCAGATCAAGTACGAATTTGGGTTTCGTTACTTTTACCGTTCTTGAGTTATGTCCGTTTATAACTTTATATGCAAGCGGGGGCATCATCTGTGTCCCATGGACACATTTCCCATTTAATTTTATAAGCAATGGGATAATTACCAAATTCATATGTCACCTACTGTAAAAATGATATTGTGTTTCTTGTCATATGATTGTGTTTTCTTGTAATATTGACTGAAAACAATACAATAAAAACAAAAAGAAAAAGAAATTGAGACATACAGAAATTTTGATGGTAACAACATTGTTGTTGAAAATACATGAACATGTAAATCTATACCAATTTTTAGGTGATTGCCATTGTTGTAAGTGTACGGTAAAACAGCATCTATCTTTACTAACTGAATATATGGAAAAAATGGGATATGATGTAAAGAATGTTTCTGGAGATGGAAACTGCTTATTTACTGCTATTGTTGATCAGCTGAGAATCAATGGTGACTTTTCTTATACGCATGACAATCTTCGTAAAAGGGCAGTGCAGTAAGTTATTATAAGTTCAGTATCTGGCATTCTGATAGAACAAATACTTCTCTTCTTATTTCAAACAGTATCTCTGAAATGGTAATTGAACTTGTACACAAAGTGAAAACTAAAAAACACGTAAAAATGGATGAGGTATTAACATGATATTAACACCTACAATTTTGCTGTAAAGGTATTATATGGGGGTCAGAATAGATATCGGGAGATTCAGTTATAAGTATGGTGCATCTAACAATTGATCGATGATCGCGAGAAAGTTAGTCAAATTTAATTGTGGGGATGTCTAATTATCACATGATCGCCTTGTTTACGTTTTCCCATTGTTAGATAGGTTTGATATTTAGAAAAATAAAGATAACAAGTGACAAATTTAAATTGTCTCAAAAAAGGGTACTGCCAATTTTCCTTTAAAAGAGAGACGAAAGATACCAGAGGGACAGTCAAACTCATAGATCGAAAACAAACTGACTACGCCATTTATTTCACAACAAGGCCATTTTCAACATGTCTATTAAGCTTTACTTAAATTCACATAATTACAGCTTATAATGGGTATAAATACTTAAAGATGTCCAACACTGCAATTTTGTAGGTTTTGATACATTGTAAGACATTATCGCGAAATTAATATGGACATTCTTATCAAAAACAAAATTATACCAATTAGAAATGTAGCTATGTTTTGTCTTTCAGATACAAATTAATTCATATTGGTTTAGGATGATCTACGATGTAAAATTTGAAATCCCATATTTTGATAATTAAAAACTGTATTTAGAATATTTTAGGACTGGATTATATATTGAATTTAAAGATATGTGTAAAGTTGTTGTTTAATTTTCAAGGTTTATTATTGAATATACTGTAACAACTTTCGGGTTTTGATCCTGTTAGTGAAAGAAATTCATTGGTAATTGGCCGTTCCTCTTTCTTTGAAAGTTCGTCAAACAGTTTGCGTGTGAAAACAAAAAGAATTTAAAGTGTTGGAAATAATATTAAAGATAGAACACAGAATTGACTAAGTATATTCCGTTACTGATATAATATTCAAAGAAGGAACGCAATCTTCCTAAATGTATACAGATTTTATAAAGAAAGTACGAAATTCAGCAGAAATTCTCTAAATGAAATTTAACTTTACACTTTGTATTATTTTGCGTACTACTTTTTATTTATAACAGATTTTTAAGACAGAGACCACATGTTGATGAGGAAACACATCTTGAATCTTTCCTTACTAATGAAACATGGGAAGAATACCTTGCAAAGATGGAAATGGATGGTCAATGGGGAGATGACATCATGCTGAAAGGGATCTCTGAGCTAACTGGGAGAAAGATAGTAGTGTATAGTTCATTTATGTCCAGGACTGAAGTAACGCCTACAAATCTTTTTGAAAAGAATGAGTTATTTATTGGACATATACAGAATCTGATGCATTTTGTCAGTCTTAGACCACAGTTTTGGGAAATGATGTGGCCAATGCGTAAGTTATCCCCTGTTATACACGAATACTATTCCATGTGTTGCATGCATTTTATTTTATTGTGTTATTGCATCATGGTGTAATTGTTATTAGCCCGTAAGGGACGTATTATGTATGGTATACCGTAGTCTGTTCGTATGTCACCACTTCGTACAATATTCTATGCCTATTAGTTAATACTGTTTTCAAATTTGCCTTAAACAATTCTCATGGAATTTAACACAACATTACGATTGACGAAAGATAACTCTCTTTTAATTTTGAATCGTGTTTGGTCTGTCGTTCCATTGTTCGAGTGCTATAACAATCAGATTTAGGACATTTTTTTTTACATATTATAGAAAAACGATATGGGGTATCCATCCATGACATGCACAGCAAAAAACACACAAAAAGCAAAGGAACAGCGCTTTTATTGCTGTTCTTCATCTCAAAGTCACAGGGAGGCCTTTAACACGCAGCAAATAACTCTCACCTCACTGCGAGTCTAAGAGTTTTCTTAGATCAATTTTCTTAACACTGTACATTGTTGTTGGAATTGACAAAAGAATTTTTGTTTTATTTGTCGTTCTTTAACTGTCAGATTTAAGGCATTTATTCACATACTACGCGCTTACTAGAGTATACTTTGATTGATTTTTTTCATAACTTCACGCTGTTATCTGGATTACAGGACTTTAACGGTCAGATTGTTTTTCATTTTTCACCCGTTATACGCTAACTTGAGTATGTATACTTGGATATGTTTGGTTGAACACATAAATTGTTTGTTGTAATTTAAAAAATGCCTTTTAATTTTGAAAAAAAAAAAATCCGATCCCCCCTCAATTTATAGGACTAGCACTAGCATTAATATGCTCGGGTTAAATTACTTCAAACTGAAAATTGTTGGGATAGCTAGGTATAGACTCAATTTCGATTTTGAAAACAGTCATATATTGGGCAGTATTTATACGCCTGAGGATATCCTCATGCAACTTGTACTATAGTGCCAATTAACTGACTTCTGACCAAATACAAAAACGTGAAAAACGAAGACAATGATACTTTTTCCTAATGGGTTAAAATGGTGAGGTTGTTTATACAAATCAGAATAGAAAAGATTAATGTGACGTCTAACTCGAAAGACCCAAATAATACTAATCATCTGCCTTAAATCTGTGACAAATTTGTTTTCTTCTTACGGGCAAAGTCCTAAACAACATCATTTAAATGAAGTAATTCAAGTTATATAAATTGCGTAATAAGGTTATTGAGTATTGGCAATTAACTTGGAAACCCAACATAATTTTACTCCGACGAAATTTTCTGTAAAGAGGAAACCCCGAACACTCATAATTATGTTTTGTGTTCATTTTGGAATTTAAGAAAAAGGATATAAATGCCCTCAATATACTGGAAGTCCAAATACAGTTGCCGGGTCTGCCAAATGCTCCACAAATACCTCTTTCCAAATTACTAACATCGAGCCTACCATCAATTTAAACCGAGCGTCATACTTACTGTGAATATTCCATTCTAGGGTGGTATGAATCCGTTGTGGATACTAAAATGTCCAACCCTCTAAATCTGTTAAAGCAAAAACAGTCGAAATCTCTTTCATCGTGCATAAGAAAAAAATATTTTTCTCCATTTCACACATGTTTTCTTCATTCCAAACTTACAGATAGTTTGGAAGAATAATTCCATGTCCAGTCATGATTCATAAAAAAGAGTAGCAAGGATTAACAAATATCATCATTTAAGAAGAGAAAAATCATACTTAAAAAAATACCGAACTCTACGGTAAATTAAATAAACTGCTTCGCTGAGCGCAGCTAGATACGCCCGCAGAGGTCCAACCCTGAACAGTTGGGGCAAAAATGGACACAATATTCAAGCTTGATTCAGGTCTGAATTTGGATTGTAATTAAATATTTGACATATTAAAGGTTTCTGAATAAATGTAATCAAAGAACTTGAAATTGGTTATATGAATTGAATTTATATTCAATTAAGGATTTCTTGCTGTTGTGCAATACTTAGTAAATCTGTTGTCAGACTATAAACAAATAAAGTTCAATTAATTCTCAAAGTCATATTAGAAATTTATGAAAATAAAAATGGAGCTTACATCAATAGATATACACAATTCACCAAAATTTCATGAGAATTGGTGACAGCATTTTTGAGTTATTGTCCGAAAACTGGAAAATCACCCCTTCTTTTAATGAATAAAACCCCATAACTCAGAAATGTAAAATGTAAAATTTATAAAATTCTAAAGGGAGCTTACATCAATACATACAAACAATTCACCAAAGTTTCATAAGAATTGCTGAAAGCATTTTTGAGCTTTTGTCTGAAAACTGCAAAAATCCCCCCTTTTTTATGAATAAAACCCTGTAACTTGGGCACGTAAAAACTAAATTTTATAAAAAATGAAAGGGAGCTCACTTCAATAGATATAAACAATTCACCAAAGTTTTATGCAAATTGGTTAAAGCATTTTTGAGTTAATGTCCGACATGTTGACGACGGACAGACGGACGGACGGACGGACAGACAGACAGACGGACAGACGGACAACGGTATACCATAATACGACCCGTAAACGGGCGTATAAAAATATGAAGTCCATAAAAAAACTGACAAAATCAAACGTTAGACTTTATTTACCAACGAAAAGAATGGAAAACAACTGTCATATTCCTCACTTGGTGCAGGCATTTTCCGAAGAAAATGGTGGGTTAAAAACCCTGTTCTCAACACTTTGCGTCGGTTGTCTTTCGTCCGTTATTTTTAACAAAAATCTTTCCTGAAACTACAGGCAATTGAAACCATACTTGGTCACAGTTATCATTGGGATATAAACTATAAACGATATGTGTCCGATGATCCCGAATTCTAAACAAACATCACTGTAAAGGCTATATATAAAACAGGGGTAAGATGCAAGTATTGTCTATTAATTATCTTGAAAACCGCAATTTTGTAGGGACCTACTGTCTATTTGACCAAAATTGCCAATCTTGAAAACCTAGATCTTGTAGGGACTTGCTGTCTATTTTGACCAAAATTGTCAACGACTCCTAATTGGAGCTACTGACCTTTAATAACATTATATCATCACTAGTCAAAATGAATGGAATCGTCAATCGATTCCTCACATGAGTTTTTGTCCCTTTATCACAATTTTAACCATTTGTATGCGTTTTTGCTTAAAAACTTCAGAAACTCTGTTCAGCAAAATTGATCAGAGAAGAAAAATATTTTGTCCCACATAGTTTCCATTTAACACATCGACTTATGTTTTATTGCCCACTTGGTATTGTCTCCATTTTTGATTCTTTTACTCCCATTGTTAAATTTTGTTAGTTCCTAATAAAAGCAAACCAAAACAACCGTTTCGAGCACAAGTATTTTCATATGAGTAATTTTAGTATTATCACGGACATCATATCACTACCGATGAACAGTTGGTACCCAATAGTTTATTCGTTCAGTAATTCTTTGGCATTGGCATGATTTAGTTCAATCGTAATACAATGTTTTCTGTAGTTCTATAGTTTTAACGAAGCTAAATCAATGTTCGACCTCCCTGGGCTAAGAGGAATATAGGTTTTAAAAAGTTTACGACAGACAATAGACACCCAGTGATGGCAAAAGTTGAGATGGCCCAGAGTGACTGGTGAGTTAAAACACCATCATGGAAGTCATTGTCAAAATTGAAATTGCGTGTGCTCAATGTTGCTGGTTTAAATACATTACCAAATGGACACAAGTTTATATTTGTTTGTAAGGCCGTGAACTGATAATATGCTCTAAAACTGTTCATGTTTTAACAGGAGCATTGCTACGACACAAAGATCAAATTATTAGTGATTTGAATTTCAAATTTCATTTGGATTCTGCAATTGCTGTATCTAGTCATGAAGAAGCTATGAAAAAGATTGCAAAGATGAGGGAAAGTCTCAGCACAGGTGACATCGATACTTTTCAGAAAGTACAAGAAGAAATTGACGCTCTACAAATTCACAGTACATCAGTGTCAAAAGGAATGGACGAACTTTTCAAGGAAACCCCTGGTAAGTTTTATTTTCTTGGAAGTATACTGCATTTTTAGCGTCACCTGGTTTAAAAAAAAGATGTAAAAAAGGAATATGTGCTAATAATTATCCATGTACTAATCATAAACAGAAAATCATATCAACGCCAAGAAAGGATTTCAATGCTTAAACAAATGTGGTTTATTTTTGAATGACAGGGGCGTGGCTATGCCAAAATGAAGTTGATACGTTGAAATTCCTGACCCCTTCCCATCTTTTAGGGTCGGGTAAATGATGCAAAATAATACCTTCTGTTCATTTCCCGGCATTTGAAGAAAACAAACATTTCACTTTTATGTTATTAAAAAAACATTCTTTTTATATTTACTTTGTAAAACAATGTGTGCCTGGAAAAAAATCCATTGCCCGTTTCCATGCACACATTTATGGCGTTGTCAGTTAATTTTCGACTTATGAGTTTGAATGTCCCTCTGGTATATTTCGCCTCTCTTTTAAAAGATGAAGTCCAATGGCATGCATGATTTGACGTCTCCTTGACATAGATCCATTCTTTATTATATAAATCGCAAAAAAGTCTTTTATTAGGGATAAACAGAATCGAGACCTACTTGGATATCACGTTCACGAACATTTGAATATGTCTAAAAGATGTGAAATCATATGTATTGATTCAAAAATCTTTTTGGTTAAATATATCCATGAATAGTAAAAAAAAAAATGTAACACGATATGGCATCATGCAAATGAATCTTTCAAAATTCTACCTAGTGCATGCAGAAATGTGTCTCATTGGAATATCGCAAAAATGAACCGTAGTCTATGGTTTAATTCGTTACCATTTAATATTTCATTTTGTCTGATATTATTTGCCATCTTCGGAAAAGATTTTCGGGTATGAAAAGGCCAAAACGTTGATTTATTCTCTTCAATCATATTAAAACAAAAGATTGTTATATTTGATGTGTTTCCCTGAGTTTTAGTTTGTAACCTGGATTTGTTTTTTTTTTCTCAATCGATTTATAAATTTCGAATAGCGGTATACTACTGTTGCCTTTATGTATCATTTATATGAAATAAGCATGATGTTGATTCCGTAATTGACGACAAAATTAAATCGATCAATTTGAAATAATACACAAAAAGTCATATACACATATCAAATTATTGGTTTTTAATACTGTGTTGTTTTATGAATATTTTGATTTTGGTTACATTCCTTGACGAAAAAACATACTCTTTAAAAGGGAATGTTTTTAACTATTCCCTGAATAAATGTGGATTATCACTGTTATACAAGACGCTTTAATATTCTAAACTATTTGAGAGCGGTTTGTTATTTTGGTATCCAAAGAAAATGTTTTATAACTTTCTTATATGTACTTAGTATCTTTTAATAATTTTGTTTTGCATTCACTAGTCATTATATTTTCTTTCTAGAAACAATGGACACTTTGGTGAAGCAGAAGTTTGAAATAGACAAATTAAGTAGTGTTCCTATGGTACATTTAACTTATCTACTTAAACTCCTTCTACCATCAAAGTATTTCCGCAATATATATGAACGTTTGGATAGTATTTTTGACGCACACCCAGAAATACTTACCAGAATTGGAAGTGGATCAATGGGTTTAAACAGAAGTCTGATGGACTTTACAGCAGTTATGCAACATTATGAACTACTAGAAAAAAGAACTCCAAAAGAGACAGAACCATTGTCTGTTACTTTTGTAATTAAGCTTCCCACACAAATGTATTCAATTCTTAATGATAATGAAGAACGGGGCATTTCGTTTGAAAGAAATCTAATACTTGATGATACAGAAACCTTACCGGGATATACACGTCTTCGTCCAACAAATACAGCTTACTGGTCTGGGTGCATCGAGTGGTTATCATGCCAAAATGCTTTCCTTCGTAGATTGAAATTAAAAGATGCTAGGCCCCCTAAAATAATTGAGGAATTTCCTGAAGTCTCATTCAAGTATTTTGATGGCTTAGATTGTGATATCTGGCCTAAACCAGCTCAATACTGGACGAAACGAAAACCTGTCTCTTGCTGGCCATCTGCAGAAAAAATAAAAGAGGCTTCTGAAAAGGGTTGCATCCTCATTAAACGTGCTCACGAATTTAGTGATTACCCAGATATTGAATGGCAGTTTATATTCACTGGAGCAGAAACGGTTCTAGTTGAGTCATTTACTAGTTCCATGATGTACTGTTTTCGTGTTTTTAAGGCACTTGTTGAACATCAAACGAGAACCCTTAAAGTCAAACTTAAAACGTACGGTCTTCTGACATCAATGTTTTATAGCAGCGAGCTTATTCCTGAGGATGCTTGGTCATCAAATCCTGGTGGTTGTATAATGTTTATAATTGCTTGGTTGTTACAAAGGGTTGCCGAGCGCATTATCCCAAATTACTTCATTCCAGAAAACAACATGATTGAGCATATGGAAGATTATGACCTAAGAAGCATTGAATATTGTTTGCAAGCTTTACGCTGGTTTCCGTTCCCCTCACTTTACTTTTTATTAGAACGCCATTCACTCCCAAACTTTTCCATGATTGATCAAATAGAATCTTCGATAGAAGACTATACAAAATCCAAGGACAAGCACAAATTAGTGGAAACAGTGTTCATACCGCTTTGTTTTACACTTGCTACAGCTAATATAAGGCAAAAAGTTTTACCATTTTACAACCAAGCTTTAGATTACTTAGAAGTAGGATTTGAACTGACAGAGGGAGTCACAGATGAAGAACACAGTACAACGTTCAATGATTTCATACTGTCGTTCTTGACATCAGTAAAAAATTCTGAAGTTATGTTGCCATTTGCACATTTAGTGGATAAAGTCAAGAAAACAAATTTAAGTCAAATAATGCTTAAAGATAAATCAGCGATGCCAATCTCGGGTATTCTTGGCTCAGAATATACGGGTCAATGGGGTCATGTGTATGTTGACGTCAGTGAAGACAAGTTCAATTCAATATATGAGCTAACTGGTGATCTGTTTAAAAACCAAGAATCAGAGGAATGTGCAGAGATCCTTCGATGCTCAATTTCTGTCCTTCAGAGAGATTTACAAGATGATGAAACTGACTATAGTGAGATCACTGATGAAAACAGAATGCAACAGCTAAAAAAAGCAAGGTATAAGCAAGTATACGTTACTCTATGGTACCTAGTGACATTCTACAAGCACTTATCCAAATGCTACGAAGCAATGAACAAATTAGAACTATTCCAAGAACATATCTATGACTATGAAGAAATTGTATGTCGCATCGATAGCCGCATACACTATGAAAATGTGGCAAACATATACCGACAATTAGGAAACCGAGAAAAAGCAAATGAGTTGGAAGACAAAGTGAAATCGATGAAAAATACTGAAGAACCCCGGGGTTCGAGATTTCTGATCATTATACCATAAATTGTCCCAATGTATTAATGGATACATCGATGTTCAGACTGTTGAGAAAAAGGAAAATATTGTACAGAAGTATTTCTTATTCAAAATATTAAGGGAGCTGCCATTTGATTTTTTTATGGGGTGGCTAGAATGAAAAATGTTGTCCTGCATTTTTTTTTTGGTTGTAATCTCTGTCCTGCCTTTTTATTTTTCACTCTATTCGGTCCTGCCTTTTTTTTTTTTTAGTTTATTCTGACTTTTTTTACATAAATTGTCATCCTGCCTTTTTTTTTACTCAAAACTCCTGTCCTGCCTATTTTTTTTTTTTAAATATCATTTTAGCCCCCCCCCCCCCATAAAAATCAAATGGTAGCTCCCTAATTGATTGAATATCTTGATTTCCTGATGTAACAATTATGCTTTCTAGATTACTATGTATTTTTATGAATTATCTTTCTGAGCAATATTAGTGAGTGCCATATGTGGGAGATCATTCATTAAGGTTTGGGGAGCACATTGTTTAATTTATTATTTCTATGATACTTCAAACACGATTTCCATGTAGATATTGCAAGACTTTTATATTATAATAGACTTTTTTATTTCCAAATGTGAAAAAAATTTGGACTGAACATTTCAAGCATTCAATTATTATCAGTGTTTACAATTAAGAGAAAAAATATTGACAGCCCCGAACATGTACTTACCATTTCTTTAACTGATCTCTGGGAACGAGATATTGTTATACTAATGAAATATTGACATACCGGTAAGATGACTACGGACATTGTTTGTTTTAAATTTATATCTTAACTGATTCAAGACAATTATAATCAACCCTTTTTTCTTTTCATTGGTCATTTAGTATCATTGTAGCACCAATCAGTAAGATAATTGTATTTTTAAATGTTACGATGTAGAAACAATGTCAAGTAATCCAAAGAATGGCTTCATTCAGACCATTTAGAAAGTACTGCGGTATTGGCATAATAAACTGGTATTATTTAATTGAAATTTACTGTTATTAAATTTTGGAAATCATTTTAAATGAAAGATTGAATCACACTAATACATAGTACTGATTCATTGTCTGAGCTTGGCTTTACTTTTAGTCCTTTTTGGTTTTAAAGCTCTTTAACGTTTGTATCAGGTTTTGGATTTTCAAATATTTTGGCCTCGAGCATTACTGAAGTGACATTAATTGTCGAAATGCACATCTTGTGCAGAAAAAACGGACCTGTTGATGTTATATCTTTCACTCGGTCAATACCTCTCCTGGTGGACTGTTATCCCCCAAGGGTACCACTAGCAAAGAAGCAAGTACTTCTGTACTAGCATGACAATACTGATACTGTTTTATTGAAAATTGCTGCCTTGTTATATTTTGGAAATAATTTCTAATGAAGGAATGTATCTTCGTCACGTCCTTTTTGGTTTTATCAGCTCTTCAGAGTTTGTATAAATTTTTTTTCTGATTTTTCAATTTTTTGGCCTCAAGGATCACTGACGAAACATTGATTGTCAAAATATGTATTTAGTTCAGTAAAAATTGGTACTGTTATTGTTATTTTATCTGTGATTTGTTTATATATATATATATGTTGAATTGATAAATTTGTGAATCTTCTATAATGATATAATTTTATAATTATGATAGTAGAGACATATAATACATGTTTTATGTATCAAGTTGTAAAAAAGATTTGTTTGAATTTTTTCTCCAAATATTGTATCCAATCTTCAGTTTTAAATATAGTCAAGATTAATTTGAAATATGTCTTATTAATATTGATTGAAATCAATGAGCTATCTACATCCTGATGAAAACTTGTTAAAGCTCTGATGCTGTAAACAGATTAGAATTGTAGTGCTTCTTGTACTCACTAGAATAATGTTGGCATCTGTGAAATAGTTTTAAAATAATTAGTTTTGGCAATAAAAATACTTTTGTAAACAAACTGAAATCATCAAAATTAATCAAGCAAATGACCCTGGTCAAGTCTTGTTTTTGTCAATCTTTTTGAATGTTCTACACTCCCATGCAGTGCTAATTTCTTATATTATCATTAAACCATGCTGTAATGGAGGGATGTACTGCTTAACTTCCATTTATTCCTACAATAACATTCTCCTCCTTATTATTTGTAAATCGGACTGTCATTAAATGGGTATAAAGCTTCATGTGAGCATTCTACACTGTGATACGTTTTCACGTTCTCACGTTCATCACTCATTAATTTTTATAGTAGGGGTTTCATCAGTGAGAAAACAGAACAACTTGTTTGTCTTTCTTTTTAAGAGTAGCATATAAAATGAGTGATTCAAAACTAAATTTTCAGGAAAGTTGTGAGTTCAATGCAATCATATTGCTAGGTTTCAGCAGTCCTGGTTTCATGGTCTGTACCTTATCAGATAATATATATTTTTGTGCTCCATACATATTATAAATTTTCAGTTATGTTCTGTTAATTTTACCAATATCAAAGTTGTAATACCCTCAGACAAAGTTGACCTTGCACTGTTCTGTCACATGACGTGTTTAGGCAGTTGTGGTTTTAATCCTCCAATACATTTCATATTTTGGGCTTTCCAAAATTTTAAGTCTCAAACTTCCCTGATAAAGATGATTTCAGAAACAGGTGAACTATATTTGTATGACAGAAATCAGTATAAGGAAAAGAATATGGTGAATCAATTTGTGACACAAATTCCCTACTATTATATTAGACTGCTCACTCTACAAAAGTCCAAGTTTTCAAAAATTAAAAAAAAAAAACATTCATTGGGGTACAAAATAAAAATATAAATCTATGAATTTTCTCCCTTTTCAACATTCAAGTGGCTATGTCAGTTGTGACTAAAACAATAGGAATGAATAGGGATATGTACATCTTGTAATCATTCCATTTACTAAATATAGCTGACCTATTGCCTATAGTATCTGAGAAAAGGACCAAACTAGGGAAATTAAAAACCATGATAATGATACCTGCCAGACAGACATGTACACCTTACAATCGTTCATTACACCAAATAAAGTTGACCTTTTGCTTAAGTATCTCACTAAAAAAAGGACAAAAACTTTACATTAACCAATGAACAATGAAAATCAGGTTAAATTTAGTGACTATGTTGAACGAATCTATCCCATCGAACTAGAGATAAAGGATACTACAGATACAGTTAAGTCTGCCTCATATCTTGACTTACATCTAGAAATTGACAATGAGGGTCGGTTGAAAACAAAACTTTACAACAAAAGAGATGATTTCAGCTTCCCAATTGTGAACTTTCCATTTCTATGTAGCAACATTCCAGCAGCGCCTGCATACGGAGTATATATCTCCCAATTGATACGATATTCCTGGGCTTGTATTTCCTATCATGATTTCCTTGATAGAGGATTGCTGCTCACAAGGAAGCTATTAAACCAAGAGTTCCAAATGGTGAAGTTGAAATCATCCCTTCGTAAATTTTACGGACGCCATCACGAGTTGGTTGACCGTTATGGAATAACCGTTTCACAGATTATATCGGATATGTTCCTTATGTCAAACTACAATACCCTTCCCTTTTCACGAATATGACCTACCGAATTAGACTATTTACCGGATTTGTAATAACATAAGCAACACGACGGGTGCCACATGTGGAGCAGGATCTACGTACCCTTCCTGAGCTCCTGAGATCACCCCCAGTTTTTGGTGGGGTTCGTGTTGCTTAGTCTTTAGTTTTCTATGTTGTGTCATCTGTACTATTATTTGTCTGTTTGTCTTTTTATTTTTGGCCATGGCGTTGTCTGTTTGTTTTCGATCTGTGAGTTTGACTGTCCCTCTGGTATCTTTTGTCCCCCTTTTAAGGTCAGATGAAACCAACCAGATACACCTTACGTTCATGCCATACACCAAACATAATTCACCTACTGCATATAGTTGCTGAGGCATGGATCTAATCACATAACTAATCTATGAAAGGAGTCTGCCATCAATTGAATCCTGTCTGATGGACATGTGAACCTGGCAAGGATCCCATATACCAAATAATATTATCCAATTACTCTTAATAAGTGAGAGTTCACATGACAAAAAAAGTATTCAGTTTTTTTAAGCAGTCGCTGAACCATGAAAATGAGGTCAAAGGACAATGGATATATGACAGGCTGAAACTTTGTAACATAAGGCATCAGTATACAAGGTATGAAGCAGCCAAGTCTTCTACCTTCTGAAATATAAATTTATGTCCCAATGTCTTAATTTGTTTTTAAGTTATGGAATTTCTATATTTGTAATGAGAAAAATTTGATTGTTGCAAGATGTTTCCTGCTAATTCCTTCACAATATTATTCTCAGAAGTGCATTGTTATATCACTAGAAAAAAACACAAATTCTTCCATTTTACATCAATAAGTACTGTGGATTTATTACTATTCGTGGGGTACCAATTTTTGTAGATTTTGTGGGTAAAGGTACACTTTGAATTGAAGTGTTCATCAAAGTTCAAAATTCCAACAGGCTTGTATGCAAACCTTGGTTAAAACACAAATCCATGTAAATACAATCTTTTCTCAATACACGAAATTAAATGAATTCACAGCATGATCTCAGTTCTAACTGAACATTTAACTACTACAGTACCTAATATCATAATCAATGCTGTATTACTATTATCAACACTATAACATCCTTATACCATGTAACAACCATATAATATTCTTATACATTTATCAATAAAACTAAATGTTTTTTTCAAAAACTTTATTGAGATGGTTCACAGAATTATTTAATATAAAGTCTATGTATATAAAACAAAACAATAACAATTGTATAAATCTCTAAAATTGTGATATATAAAAACTATGGCAGGTGATATCACCTACTGTGTAAATGACTAGCAATTATAAGCACCCCTAAACTTGTCCAAAAGTATAGTCCTGGTCCAAGCACATCCCAAAAACTTCTTCTTGTCACTATGCTTGCAAAAAATTAAAAATATTAATAAGCAACATGCTTAAATAATGTGAATATTCTTTGTGTTAATCATTTATGTATATTGATTATGTTGGTTAGTTCCGCAAAGTAGTGTCCGTAAACATTGTTCTAAATTAGGGTATAGTATTTTGAAGATTTGTGGACATCAATTGGCAATTTGATGTTTTCAAACTGATACATAGTCACTGTTGAGTTAGAATGATAGATAATACACAATTAATAATCTTCACATGTATTTGATATTCCAAAATGTCAGCAATTCAGTAAAAGGACATTTGCAACCATCTTATCACAATTTGATCCTGCAAATCTTCAAATACAATACTATTAGTTCAATTTGATTGTAACTGAAAGATTTCAAACTGAGGGTCATTATATATTAAAGTTTTGGGTTATTGGTTTTACATGCTGAAACCTGAGAGATCTACTGGTTCCATACCAAGGATCTGAAAAAATTTCTATGTTTTCAAAGTTCGACATTAGAGTTTCACCTTGAAAGTTCACCTTGGCAAGTTATAGCTCACTCTCTTTATCCAATTGTTTCATTGATAAAAAAGTGTTTTCATATGACTTGCATCTATTTTCATTTCCTAACTTTTGTTCGTAAGCTTTTCCCCACTTGAAATTTTTTTTTACATGTTTTTTTTCTCATCAAAACTATAACCCTTTTAAGGGCAAAAAGTAACTGAAAAATAAGCAGATTACTTTTACTAATTACTTCTTTTTAGTGTTTATTTAATACATGTAATTTCATTCAAATTAGACTCAAATGTTTAAACTCACTCCAAGCATTTGTTTCAGTTTACATGTCAGGTTACCAATGAATATTCTTGTGATGTCAGTTAAAAATGATAATTACTATAAATTCAAAAATTTTTGTGATGTTTTTTTTTATTATTACAAAAGTTGCAAACAGAGTAGGTATCATAAAACTAAAAAAAATCTTACATTTTGTGAGCATTATTTGTATGAAGCTTTTACTATTATAACAATAATTAACCTCACATTTTGTTCATTCTTAGAAAATCATAAAAATAAGTGTATGCAAAAATATCTACATTTACAGACACTACACTTCATAATATTGCATTTTCTTATTAGAAAATCTTTCTTTTAAACCAAGAAAGTCAAACGTTCATAATCTTAATAACTGGGTTTTAAACACAAAAAAATTTGGGAACAAAACTAATGTTTTTTTACTATATTTCCCATTATTTTTCTAATTATGAATTTCTATAAGTGAATTAATTTTTGAAATGATTACCTGTATCTGGTTTGATGTCCCAATGCATAGATCTTTCCACAGCCATTTTCCATCTAGAAAATCTTTCATCACGATCTACAATAAAACATACCGTTGTATGGTAAAAATCATTTCTTTAATGTCCATATATTTATGTGAAATTCTGTTTTTTTTTATATTTTGTAAAGTTCAAATAAATTTTATTTTATTGTTGTAGGATTATCAAGAGTCTGACTTGAGTAAATGCAACATCTATACAATAATGAACTTTTATTATGATGCATGCTTGAAAAGAGAGGGACATATGTTATATTTGAAACTGGAGACAAAAAAGTGATGCTTTAAATTTGTCTGCCAACAACTGATATAGATGGCAGTGCAGTACCTGATACTCATCAGCCCAAGATGCAAATTGAGTACAGTACTCATCTGATTGGGGACTGGGCATATCAAGTACCTTAGTTATGGTTGAATTGAGAACCAAAATCACTAGCATGGATTACTATTAAAGTAGACTACTGACAAAATTAGTTGACCAATCAGCTTCTTTTAGCTACAGTTAAGTACAAATAACCCTATCCTTCATCCAGTCATATTACAATAGAAAAACAAAGATTATAGGGTATCCATCCATGACACAAAATCAGTACATGCCCAGCAAAAAACACACATAAAGCAAAGGAACAGCGCTTTTATTGCTGTTCTTCATCTCAAAGTCACAGTGAGGCCTTCAACACAGAACAAAAAAAAACTCACCTCACTGCAAGACGTTCCCTAGCCTGAGTTATGGATGTACTCACCACCTTGAGTTATAGATGTACTCACCAACTTGAGTTATAGATGTACTCACCACTTTGAGGTATGGATGGATTAAATAAGTCTGTTGTAATTACTGCTGTATTATTGATATCCCAGACACCAATGGCTGACCCAGCAGCCATAGCTGCTCCTAATGCTGTTGTTTCTGGCATTGATGGTCTAACTGAAAGAATAAATTAGTTTGTACATATTATCTATAGACTAGTTAAATATTTAGTTACGGTCATCTATATACTAGTTAAATATTTAGTTAAGGTCTCCTTATATTATGGACCTTTTATCACATTTATAATAAGGTTTATCTCAGACAATAATAACAAACAACCATTAAGGATCCCGATACACTCATCTAGCAAAAAATACACCAAATGGATGTTGACATAAATATCAGAATCAAAATAATATATTTAGTAACTTTACTCGAGCAAAAAACACTAGAAGTTCATAACAATTATCATTGAAAGGCAATAACTCCAATAATCCTCTGACAGTTTGATTAATTTCAGTAAATCTTTACTTATTACAGGCATTAAATTCTATAAAAAATTGTCTGATAATTATAGTTTGTATACTGAGTAAGTAAATCTTGACATTCTAAGCATATTTGCCTGTGTCTATCTGGGTTTTAAGATATTAGACAATTAATTGTATTTAACACCAGGGCTTCCAAAATTTTGTTGAGCCAGCCGGACATTTCATATCTTATCCCGATTTTAAATCCCTTTAGACTTAGTAAATTAGGCAACTATGATCATCAGTTGGCCATCATATATGATATAACCAATGATTGACATTAAAACGATGTTAAACTTTACTTTGATATAAATTCGATGTTCTGACGTAAAGTGTTAAATTGAAAGTACAGCATTCGAAGTGTGCAACATCAGCGTACTAATTCCGCTTTAGACTCTTTATTTGTGCAAAATAACGCTGTCAAAAGCTTTTCTTTTGTTTTTAAAATCACATTTTCCTAATGCCGGATGTTGACTTGACAATGGTTAATCACGGATCAGAGACAGATACGTAATATCTGTGTAAGTTTACGATTGAGTTAAGTAGCCTTTTCAAGTTATTTCTTCAAGAAAATACTCAAAATGAACGTTAGATAAAGGAATCAATGATAATTTTTAGCATTTTTGAAGAATTAGGATGCATAATTAAATTTCCCACCAGCGGACAATAGACACATGCGCACACGTGTACTAGTTCAAACAACGTGGTTCTGACGATTATTCATTTAAAACCTTTTCAAATTTTTCATCAAATCATATTTATTAACGTATTTCTTATAATTTCAATCTTTTAGACTAAATTAATTAGATGTTACCCGCTGAAATGTAAGAAAATAACTTTGAATACCCTTTAGCGTACCCCAGTATTTAACACGATGTACAGTGTTTTTAAATATAATAATGAATATCATACATATTCGAATTCATTTATAAATATTCTTATTTGAAGAATTATTTTAAAATCTAAGGAATTTTTTTTAAAACTGAATGGTCATTTACAATAATATCTACAAAGCGTAATTAAATAGGATGTTGTTCCATACACGCTTACATGTTTGACCTCGTTTACCTGATCACCTTTATGTTCATTGTTATGCATCATCAATTCTATTGATTAAGACAAGCTAAGGTCTCTCATCAAAGATAATGACCTGTAATCAGTGAATGATTTATGGCTTCAATATTACTTATTGAAGGGATAATTGTTTGACAGCTTATTGTTTTTTAAATAAAAAAACAATTTTTTTTCCTACTTTTTATTGATGTACCAAGACGTGCATTTGTGTACCCAGAGGATTAGACTAACTGAGACACTTCAAAGTATGAAATATGCTGCATCTGTTTAATTAAACCCAAATATGACCGAAATATCTTTGTGAAATAGATTGCCACAATTATAAACTATAATGCCCAAACGGACATTTTTACCGATCGATAGTTGGTAAAAAAAGTGAAATGACCGTTTTATGAAAATGCCTTGAATAACAAAAAGTGGCAAACCTATGATATTTGACCGTTTGAGGCTGAGAGCAGCCGGACTTTTTATATAAATTTCGGTCAAGTCCGGAATATATGACCGTTTTGGAAGCCATGTTTTACACTAATGTTTAATTTTTCACCAATGTGGCCAAGTTGGTTAGTGGAAAGATATAATCAACAAATTTTAATATAAATACCCTTGGATCATCATGTGAAGTTGTAGTTTCAGATATTAATATAAATACCCTTGGATCATCATGTGAAGTTGTAGTTTCAGATATTAATATAAATACCCTTGGATCATCATGTAAAGTTGTAGTTTCAGATATTAATATAAATACCCTTGGATCATCATGTGAAATTATAGTTTCAGATATTAATATAAATACCCTTGGATCATCATGTGAAGTTGTAGTTTCAGATATTAAGGACAAGATGACCAATAATAGCATTAACTCAAGCTGGCGAAAAAAGGAAATGTCTCATCCTCAATAATAAGAACTAGATATTACTTTCAAGCTGTGGCAGTTCAACTGGGAAAAAACTACATTAAACATTTTCAGTATCAGATTATATATTTAATCATTAAGATGATTTGACTATGCCTCCTTGCAATGCAAGAAGCCAAGGACTTGTTCAGCTAGACAAACACAAAAGGTTATACATACCAACACCAATGCCCATTAAATCTGCTTGTAGCTGCATCAATAGATTGTTCATTGTCATCCCACCATCAACTTGTAACGACTCTAACGGGATTTTACTATCTTTTACCATTGCTTCAAGCAACTGTTATAATATAAACTTTATTATAGATCATTTGATGAATCCTACATGGACTCAAAGATAACTTTTTTTTTTGGTTTTTAGGTTTTGATTAACAACATCCTCCATGAAAATAAATGATAAAAAATGGTCTTATCACAATGAGGTTCTTGATTCTGTACATCATTACTTTTACTAATCACCACCAGAAATATTTTTCTTTAAAATGTGTATGTTCTATTTAAAATGTATATAGTCAATCTTAATTAATGTCTGTGTTCTAACTCTTTGTGAAATTCTTTATCTTTTAAAATAGCCAAATGCATTGAATCTGATTATCACATAAACAGATTGCCATATTTTATCCTGAACAAACAAACAAATTGCATTAATTCTCCATTGAATATGACTTAATTTTACCTCTTCTTACCTCCCTTGTCTGAAAACAACTTGATTGCATTAATTTCTCCATTGCATATGACTTAATTTTGACCTATTCTTACCTCCCTTGTCTGAAAACAAACAGCTTCTAAAGCTGCCCTAGCAATGTGTTCTTTGGTAGTAAACTGTGTAAGTCCGCATATAATTCTGGAATGTAAAACAAGATCAAATTGCTTCGTTGATCAATTCGCTTATCTTCAATGGAAGGCACAAAGAACTAAATACAAATGTTTATCAACAACAGTTTTATTTTTGAAAACTATCAACTGATATGTTGAGAAAACTTAAATTTCTAGAGCAACTTCAATAAGTACACCCTGGAAAAGAAGAACAAATATTCTGGTCCTTCTATTAGATATTACTTTTGCTTGGTCCACAGTATAGTTTTGAAATGAATTTTCTCGAACTTAGAAAATATTGCTCTTTCATGGTTTTGCCAAAGTCTGCATACAAGCCTATAAAAAATTTTCACTTTGCTGAATATTGAAATTCATGGTTCATATATACCTGTAAAATCCACACAATTTGGTTTTCCACTAATAACAATGAATCCACAGTATTTCAATTATATATCTAACATGCCAAAGCCAGCTAGTTACTCACCCTCTTGCATCATCCTGCCAATAAGGACAAAACAATCCTGAGAATGCTGGTACAAAATAACAGCCATGTGTACTGTCTACTTTCTGTGCTAATGTTTCTGTTAAAATATAAAACAAAACTGTTGTTTAAAAATTTTGTTCATCTTAAGAAATCAATAAGGGAAATATGAACCTAATACAGAAATGTAAAACTTAACTAGATTAAAGAAATAATCTTTTACTTTTCCTGTATCAAGAAATAAGAAAAATGAGTACATCGAGATCTTTTTCATATTAACTGCAAGTTTATTTTCATTGAATGTACACATATTTAATAATACAATAATAAATCTGTCTACTTATCTACAGTTCAGAGGATATTTTTGAATTTTATCTGACCATAATCAGTGCTTATCTATTTAGTGATATTTACATGAAAGGAAAGTTTTTTCGGTAATATACATAAATGTATAGCTCTACCGTCCTTTGTATATTGGGCAATTTATTTCAAAAGGTTTTGAACTAAGTCTTGTGGAAGCCTTGAGTATGGAAGATTGCAGATTTGGTTCCTGATGCAGATCAAATCAGAGACTTTAAAATTGGTTTTTACTGCTTCACTGTTGTGTGTGGTAAGCTGGTGTCTTCCCGATTGTCCCACTTTTTGAAATTACAGGTAAAAAAGTAATGAAATTTTGTGGGACAATCGGGAATATGTTTGTGGGACAATTGGGAATTGTTTTGATAGTGATTAATTTGTTTTTATAGTCTGTATCAGTTAATTACAGGTTACTAATCACTGTAACTTATAAAATATGAAAAAAACCATGAACAAATAATAATACTTACATATACATTATATTTTGCACATACATGTAGTAGGTACAATTTAAGTATCATCAAACATGGAATATAATATGAAATCATAAAATTTTAGTCTTAGAAGCATGATTTTTTTAATTAGTTTTTATTGGCTTTGAACTAGCTGTCAGTAACTGCGAGTACTCTAAGATCTGTACTTAGTGTCTTTGTTGTGGGGATGTATAAGTAGCCGTCCACGTCCATGTCCACTCTGTGATTTGTTAGATGTATTTCTGTCTGTACCCATCTGATGAGATAAGCCTTTTTCAACTTATTTTTTTTAGTTTATTCTTATGTTGTACTGTTACAACACTGTCCCAGGTTAGTGGGAGGATTGGCGCCTTCAAATAAGTTTAACCCCGCCACGTTCTGTATGTGTCTGTCCCAAGTCGGGAGCCTGTAATTCAGTGGTTGTCGTTTGTTACTGTGTACACATTTGTTTTTCGTTCATTATTTTGTACATAAATTAGGTCGTTAGTTTTTCTAGTTTGATTTTTTTTACATTTTTAATATGGGACCTTTAAAGCTGACTCTGCTGTATGGGCTTTGCTCATTGTTGAAGGCCGTATTGTGACCTATAGTTGTTAATTTCTGTGTCATTTAGTCTTTTTTGGAGAGTTGTCTCATTGGCAATCATACCACATCTTTTTTTTTTATGGAAGTCTGGTTCTTCTTTATAGTTGGTGACGAGTCCTGTTGACTGCACTTTATGGCAAAGACACTGGGAATATTGGAAAAACAACCTTTGATATTGATTCTTAGAAAGGCTGATCTGGCAGAATTCTAGACAACAGTTTCGTTATCAAAAAAAGGAAGTTGTTGGGTTCAGGTGAATCTGACTTTGGGTGTTAGCAGTATTCAATAGTGCAGAGAATGTTGTATTAATGTCCTCTGACTTCCCTAGTAAAATTGTAAAGACTTCTGGAAAAATCTATCCATCAACAAGTACGTGTAAAGTGTAGAATGTAAATGAGTTTATACCTTTTTTTTTAAATTGCATACATTATTTATTCAAAAACTTTATAGAGAAAATGTCATTAAAATTACGGTATTGAAATTTGTTTTATAAATAACGTAACATTGTAGATATATTTCATAAATCAGAAATAAAATTTTTTTAATCAAAAGTGCATTAATCTAATGATTTAAAAAACATTTTTTTTTTATACTTCTATAAAATTAATATTAAATGTGCAATAAATTAATTCTTGTTTATTTAGCAAAACAAACAACAGTTACATTGTTTATCTAAGAATATTTTACTTCATAAAATAATGTGGGACAATCAGAACTTTTCATGTGGGACAATCAGAACTCTAAAATTTTAAAAAGTGGGACAATCGGGAATAAACCGGTAAGCTAGGGGTCAGAATAATGTGTGTGCTCTCTTCCTGCATACTGTTGTCTTTTGAACTACCATAGGACTCTTATTGTATAATTTAATAAATAAAAATAAATTGTCTTAGCATACTGATGCAGTACACAACAGGATATATAAATATGACTTTAACTAGTTACTGTAATATATATAAATGAAAGGACATGTGGGGTACTTGTCAATGTAACAACAAGCTTACAACACAAGCTCTAAATCATACATCCTTAAAAATAGCTGTTAATAAATTTATGGCTTTATCTCAAGAATCGTTATTCAAAAACTGAAAATATAGCATACAGCTAAAATGTTTGTGGAACAGCTCTTACCTACTTCTGAAGCAGTTTTAATGATGCCAAGATTGTCTCTTAACCATTTTACACTAGCACCAGTAATAGCTATGGCTCCCTAAAAATAAACCATTTCAATATCATGAATTCATTCAGTTCAATAGCACTTGAGAAATGTTTGATACAAATTTAAAAGTTTATTCAGTTCATTAAAGAATCAAAAGTTTCCGCAAACAGGAAATAGATGTCTGACAGATCAGAATGCTCACACATTACAACTCATCACTGTCAAGCTGGTGACCAAAGATGAAGTCATTTTGTTCGTGAGTACTTCAGAAAAGTGTGACAAATATATTTGTTGAACTAAGGGACGGACAGACAAGGTGAATTCAATACTCATTGATTGGGGTTTAATAATAATATATACCGGTAAGTATTTGAAAAACAGGAAGTTTATGAGCAAGTCATATAGAATAATGGCATTTTTGCTTTTGATACTGAATTTATTAGCAAGATGATGATGATAGATGGCTGCTTAAGGTCCAGCGGCTTATCAGAAAGAATATCAAGCGAGCTTGCAATGGTGAGCTGATATTTGAGCTGATGAAGTCAGTATAAAATAAATGGAGAATGTGTCCATGGATACATATGATGCCCCTGCTTGCATATGATTATAAGGGACATAACTCACGAACAGTTAAAGTAACGCCACATAGTTTCATAACAGTTGGTTGAGGCAAACTTAAGTTAGAGAACGGAAACGAAAAATTCAGCAATTTTTCCATTTGTAAAGGGGGATAACTCAAGAATGGTAAAAGTGACGCCACCCAAATTCAAACTTGATCTGTGTTGTGCGATAATAAGCATTGTGTATAAATTTCATTACATTTGTTTGAGGCAAACTAAAGTTAGAGAACGGAAACCAATTTCAAGATATGGAAGGACGAACAGATGGACAAGGGTAACACTTAATGGCCCCTCCGCTGTGTCAGGGGCATAAAAATAAAATGTCATTAATCTTTTTATCCACAATTTGGCTTAACAGTATGTTTTTTGTTTGAGAATAGGAAATAAAATGAAATAAAAAGTAAAACTATTTTTACGCATAGAAAACGTTGTGATAGTTGTTCAGTTGTATGAATGAAGTCACGTGCATTTCATTGATAACTTTTCACTGATGCACATGAATGTGTGATATTGCTGCACTGTTACGTGACGTCATTGCCTAATATTTTACAGTATGAGGTCCTGTCCATGATAAAGAAAAACATTAAGCATTAAGATCAAAGGGACAATATTCAAATTGCCGATAAAGTAAAGTATGCGAACACAAAACCTGAAACCAAATTTCAGGAAGCTTAATTTTATGGTTCCTGAGAAAAATGCAATGGATATTTCATGGGATGGACAAACAGCAAATGAACACACGGATGAATTGACAAAGTATATGCAGTGTACCCCCTCTCTCAGAGTGGATATAAAACTCAATCATAACTATAATCTGACTGTTCAAAAATAAAACATGTACTAATGAATTTGTCTTATTGATTTGATGTGTATGATATAAATAAAGATACCTCTAATGCATAAACAACTGGCTTCCCTTTTCCAAACTGGTAACCTACTGTTGTAAGAAGTCCTTGCTCCGATTGTACAACCTACAAATAAAATATTCTCACATTTTTTATTCAAAATGTATATGTTAAAGATGATAAAAAAATCTTTTAAAACTTTTTCCACAGTCTTTTTACCTTTTAAACTTTTTGGAGATCGCAATAGTATTTTCCAAAAATAAATTGTACAGTGAAAATAATTCTCAATATCCAAGCATACTTTATGCCTTAGATAGTGCTGGTTTAAATTCCTACTGCATATATTGTACTGTTACACCACTGTCTCCAGTTATAGGATGGTTGAGGGTTCACAAACATGTTTTACCCCCTCACATTCAATATGTGCCTGTCCCCAGTCAAGAGCCTCTAATTCAGTAGTTGATGGTTGCTGTCTATTATATTTGTTTTTTTTTCCTAATTATTTTGTCTTAATTCAGGCTGTTTGTTGACTGTTTTTTTTTTTAATTGGTTCACATTTTGTCATATCAGGCCTTTTTTAGCATGATGTGTTTAGGAAATTTTTCATTATAAATTCTTAATGCAAAAATATCTAAACTAAAAGAGCTGTGAATATATATGTGATATTTCCAAGTAATACAAATAAAGGTTCTTACCTCAGTACCTGTGTTCATCAACATGAAACAACCAGTGCCATATCTATAAAGAAATCAAATATGTCTGTTACAACTAGCAATTCATTAATTTTTGCGAAAAAATGAGATTTCAATAAAATTTGTGAGTGTAAATTGAATTTACACTTATGATATATACCGTGTTGAAGTGATAAATTTTATCAAGGGATCAAATAAATAAGAAATACTTTCAGTAGTCTACTTGGCAATAGTTACATAAAATAAAAGATTTCATGACATCCTCCATTCCTGTATTCTGTAACATTGAAATAGTTTTATCTATTTGTCTAATTTATAATTAATAATTTTCAATAAATATCTTTATTATCAAGCAGGAGCATAGATTTTCTCTTTCCCTTTTAACTTACGTGTTTTTAGCTTGGCCAGGTTTAAAACACAGCTGTCCAACCAGGGCAGCTTGCTGGTCCCCTAATATCTATAAGAAAAATCAGTTACCAGTAATAATGACATTATTCCAGTAGGATTATGTTTGTCCCATGCGTTTCCTATCTAGATATTCTCATAACTGGGTAATAATGACATTATTCCGGTAGGATTATGTTTGTCCCATGCGTTTCCTATCTAGATATTCTCATAACTGGGTAATAATGACATTATTCCAGTAGGATTATGTTTGTCCCATGCGTTTCCTATCTAGATATTCTCATAACTGGGTAAAAATGAACATGTTTGATCACCACATTCAGTTACCACTGAGCTAATTTTGAAATCGTTTGACATCCGGATCCCCATGTTTTGTTTTAGAGTTAATAAATGTGTGTTCAAGATAATTCAGAATTATATTTGTGTGTTTATCTTTCTGAGAATATAATAACATTTAGTAAAGTCTGTGTTTCTCATTCTTTAGTTTATTGGTTTTATGGATTCCATATAATTACATATAATTGTCTTTAAAAACTTCAAAATTAATATAAACTTATAATATACTAACAACAACTTGCTTTAATAGGATGTAAATAAGAAGTACAAGAATCAAATATTTAAACTTGGATATCGATCTTTTGCAGATTGCTAAATGGCATATGACTTCTGATATTAAGTTTACTTTTCATTTCGGAACCAATTAGTATATTTACACTTCTTTTTATCATGTAATTAACAAAAACCCTTAAACTTGCGGAACTTATTAAAATAATTCCTGTAAATTTGTGAAGTTTGTGGGAGTACATTAATATTTCTATAATCGTTATTCAATTATAACATACCCCTGCTATGGGAAGCCCTTTAAGTACGCTAACTTCCATATTTCCATATATTTCTGAAGAACTTCTAATTTCTGGTAATACCTCCTTTGGTATGTCAAAAAATCTTCAAATGAAACATTTTTAAATTATTCATTAATATACAAAATATCACAATATATAAAGTTTTTTCTATTATATTGAGTCTAATCTCTACCATAATAATATGGAGCTAATTTGCTTAAACATAAAACATGATAAAATAGTATATATGTTCATAGATCATAATTAACTGACACTGGATAAGCTTGATATCAAACTAGCACGTAAAACGGGAATGGACACTGTTTCACATATGGACTACCTAAAGGTCTCATATTATTCCTGTTTTTGCTTTGTACCTATGGCTACTACTTCAAGAAATGATCACCTGCTAATTACAGTTTATACTGCAACTGTGCTATTTGGGCAGTCAAACTGCATTGACCCTATATTCATTGGTGATATACAGTCATTGATAGTACTGTAAATTCAGAAATTATAGCGTGCATTTATTATTGCGATTTTGTCATTTTAGACTAAAATGCGATTTTAATTTTTTGCGATATTGAGAAAAATCCTGTTTAATTCATATAAAAAAATTCAAAATGCGAGTTTAAATTATTGCGATTATACCTCTGTCGCATTTTTCGCAATAATAAAAACATCGCAATAATTTCTGAATTTACAGTATATAGACTGGTACTAATGCACTTTTTCTAAATAATTCTATACATGTATTTCAAGACAATTTATATTTTTTTCTATGTATACAGTATATGTCCTCTTTTGCTAGTTATGTACTTTGATCATAAGGGGTGTTGCAGGGATTAAATGATAAAGCTATTAGATTTTTAATTCCTTAAGCATACATGTACATGCAGTTTTAAGAAAACATTTTCTTGTATCCAATTTCTCAACATATTATCATATATATATTACAACTGATCTCTCTAGAGAACAATCCTTACAACAACTTACTGGCAGAGATAATCATCCTACTGCAGAGTATGAATATTCATTAACTTACTGGCACAGATAATCATCCTACTGCAGATTATGAATATTCATTAACTTACTGGCACAGATAATCATCCCACTGCAGATTATGTATATTCATTAACTTACTGGCACAGATAATCATCCCACTGCAGATTATGAATATTCATTAACATTGTGCGACTAGCATTGGTAACATCTGTGATGTGTTTCCCACCATTTATACCACCAGTGAAATTCTGAAATAAGAGCATTTGTACAGTATGTAGAGGAATAATAACAAGGAAAAAGAACTGAAATGTGATCACTAAGTATCTAAGTAATAAATTGACCATTAAATTCAAGATGCATCAATGAAGCTATAATTTATGAACAGTTAATTTGTGTTTCACAGCTTAATTTTTTTTTATTTACCCCCTATATACACACAAACACAAAAAGAACCCCAAAAAATCTAATACAATCATTGAAAAAAATAAACATTATTTTATCTTGTAAAGGCATATATAGATCTTTTGTTTAAGTGATTGAAATCAGATATATACAAAATGACTACTGGTATATATCTAAATACATACCCACAATAACCAAGAATCAACTGTTCCAAACAGACATCGGCCATCTTTGATAGCTTTCCTCACTTCTTCACTGGTGTCAAGAAGCCATCTCAGTTTTACAGCACTGAAATATGTTGTAATAGGCAAACCACAGTATTTCTGAAATTACCAGAATGAGTACTAGCTAAAAATTGAGTAAAATATATTGTGGATTTATACTTGATGGCATTAAATTGATATATAATTTGGTATTAACAAATTTAATATCATATAATTCATGTATATAAAAAGTCAGGTAAATACATATTTTGCTATATACATATACATATTATTGAGTAATAACAATACTGTATTTGAAGAGTTGTTTATGTCAATGGAGGATTTCATGGTAGCAAATGAAGTTGAACAGGTGATATATACTTGTGCATGACTTATATAAAGCATTTATTGTAGTAGAACTACCCAAGCATGCAGAGTACTGTACACCAAAAAAGTGTGTTTGTGTACAAAATGGATATTTTAAGGCAATTTAAAGGCATTCTTTACATTTACTTGGACAAGATGGAGGTTGGCAAAGGTTTGTGTAAAGAATTTTTTTTTTTATAATTGCCTATGTCTTTTCAAGATTAGCAATTTAATATTGAAAACTAGAGGCTCTAAAGAGCCTGTGTCGCTCACCTTGGTCTATGTGCATATTAAACAAAGGACACAGATGGATTCATGACAAAATTGTGTTTTGGTGATGTGTTTGTAGATCTTACTTTACTGAACATTCTTGCTCCTTACTATTATCTTTATCTATAATGAACTTGGCCCGGTAGTTACAGTGGAAAATATTTTGTAAAAATTTACAAAAATTTACACAAAATTTATGAAAATTGTAAAAAATTGACTATAAAGAGCAATAGCTCCTTAAGGGGTCAATTGACAATTTTGGTCATGTTGACTTATTTGTAGATCTAACTTTGCTGTATATTATTGCTGTTTACAGTTTATCTCTATCTATAATAATATTCAAGATAATAACCAAAAGCTGCAAAATTTTCTTAAAATTACCAATTCAGGGGCAGCAACCCAACCACGTGTTGCCTGATTGGTCTGAAAATTTCAGGGCAGATAGATCTTGACCTAATGAACAAATTTATCCTCATCAGATTTGCTCTAAATGCTTTGGTTTCAGAGATTTGAGCCAAAAACTGCATTTTACCCTATGTACTATTTTTTAGCCATGTCAGCCATCTTGGTTCACGGGCGGGGTCATCGGACACATTTTTAAACTATATACCCTAATGATGATTGTGGACAAGTTTGGTTAAATTTGTCTTAGTAGTTTCAGAGGAGAAGATTTTTGTAAAAAATTACAAAAATTTACGAAAAATGGTTAAAAATTGAATATAAAGAGCAATAACTCCTTAAGGGGTCAACTGACCATTTTGGTCAAGTTGACTTATTTGTAGATCTTACTTTGCTGAACATTATTGCTGTTTACAGTTTATCTCTATCTATAATAATATTCAAGATAATAACCAAACACGGCAAAATTTCCTTAAAATTACCAATTCAGGGGCAGCAACCCAACAACGGGTTGCCTGATTGGTTTGAAAATTTCAGGGCAGATAGATCTTGACCTAATGAACAATTGAATTGTCATCAGATTTGCTCTAAATGCTTTGGTTTCAGAGATATGAGTCAAAAACTGCCTTTTACCCTATGTACTATTTTGTAGCCATGTCAGCCATCTTGGTTCGTGGGCAGGGTCATCGGACACATTTTTTAAACTAGATACCCTAATGATGATTGTGGTCAAGTCTGGTTAAATTTGTCTTAGTAGTATCAGAGGAGAAGATTTTTGTAAAAAATTACAAAAATTTATGAAAAATGGTTAAAAATTGACTATAAAGGGCAATAACTCCTTAAGGGGTCAACTGACCATTTTGGTCAAGTTGACTTATTTGTAGATCTTACTTTGCCGAACATTATTGCTGTTTACAGTTTATCTCTATCTATTATCATATTCAAGATAATAACCAATAAAATGCTTCGCTGGGGCGCAGCTTGATACGACCGCAGAGGTCGAACCCTGAACAGTTGGGGCAAGTATGGACACAACATTCAAGCTTGATACAGCTCTGAATTTGGATTGTTATTAAATATTTGACACAGCATAGGTTTCTGACACAGAAAGAATGTGGTCTAAGAACTTGAATTTTTTTCTAATTTACCTATTATGGTCCAATGTCCAAAATCAAAATACATGGTTAGATTCAGCATATCAAAGAACCCCATATATTCAATTTTTGTTAAAATCAAACAAAGTTTAATTTTGGACCCCAACTTGGACAAACTTGAAAACTGGGCCCATAATCAAAAATCTAAACACATGTTTAGATTCAGCATATCAAATAACCCCAAGAATTCAATTTTTGCTAAAATCAAACTAAGTTTAATTTTGTTCCCTTTGGACCTTAATGTAGACCAATTTAAAAAACGGGACTTAAAATTAAAAATCTAAATACACGGTTAGATTTGGAATATCAAAGAACCCCAATAATTCAATTTTTGATGAAATCAAACAAAGTTTAATTTTGGACCCTTTTGACCTCAATATGAACCAATTTGATAGCGGGGACAACAAATAAAAAATCTAAATTCATGGTTAGATTCAGCATATCAAAGAACCCCATATATTCAATTTTTGTTGAAATCAAACAAAGTTTAATTTTGGACCCTAACTTGGACCAACTTGAAAACTGGGCCCATAATCAAAAATCTAAACACATGTTTAGATTCAGCATATCAAAGAACCCCAAGAATTCAATTTTTGTTAAAATCAAACTAAGTTTAATTTTGGACCCTTTGGACCTCAATGAAGACCAATTTAAAAAACGGGACCCAAATTAAAAATCTAAAAACACGGTTAGATTTGGCATATCAAAGAACCCCAATAATTCAATTTTTGATGAAATCAAACAAAGTTTAATTTTGGACCCTTTTGACCTCAATATTAACCAATTTGATAGCGGGGCCTACAAATAAAAAATCTAAATACATGGTTAGATTCAGCATATCAAAGAACCTCATATATTCAATTTTTGTTGAAATCAAACAAAGTTTAATTTTGGACCCCAATTTGGACCAACTTGAAAACTGGGCCCATAATAAAAAATCTAAATACATGTTTAGATTCAGCATATCAAAGAACCCCATATATTCAATTTTTGTTGAAATCAAACAAAGTTTAAATACTGGACCCTATCTTGGACCAACTTGAAAACTGGGCCCATAATCAAAAATCTAAACACATGTTTAGATTCAGCATATCAAATAACCCCAAGAATTCAATTTTTGTTAAAATCAAACTAAGTTTAATTTTGGACCCTTTGGACCTTAATGTAGACCAATTTAAAAAACAGGACCCAAAATTAACAAGAGTGCACACGCTGAAATGTCTCGCCTTCTTTACTAATCATTGATATTATGTTGATAGTCCTAAATATAAAGCTTTATTACAACTGTCACATAAACTTAACATTAACCAAGTAAACTAAACATTGACCAATGAACCATGAAAATGAGGTCAAGGTCAGATGAACCATGCTAGGCAGGCATGTACAGCTAACAATTCTTCCATACAACAAATAGAGTTGACCTATTGCTTATAGTTTAAGAAAAACAGACCAAAACACAAAAACTTAACACTGAGCAATGAACCTTGAAAATGAGGTCAAGGTCAAATAAAACCTGCGTGACTGCCAAATAGATCATAAAATATTTCCATACACCAAATATAGTTAAACTATTGCATATAGTATAAGAAAAACAGACCAAAACACAAAACTTAACTATAACCACTGAACCATGAAAATGAGGTCAAGGTCAGATGACACCTGCCAGTTGGACATGTACACCTTACAGTCCTTCCATACACCGAATATACTAGACCTATTGCTTATAGTATCTGAGATATGGACTTGACCACCAAAACTTAACCTTGTTCATTGATCCATGAAATGAGGTTGAGGTCAAGTGAAAACTGTCTGACGGGCATGAGGACCTTGCAAGGTACGCACATACCAAATATAGTTGAACTATTGCACATAGTATTAGAAAAAAAGACCAAAACTCAAAAACTTAACTTTGACCACTGAACCATGAAAATGAGGTCAAGGTCAGATGACACCTGCCCCCTAGACATGTACACCTTACAATCATTCCATACACCAAATATAGTAGACCTATGGCATACAGTATAAGAAATACAGACCAAAACACAAAAACTTAACTGTAACCACTGAACCATGAAAATGAGGCCAAGGTCAGATGACACCTGCCAGTTGGACATGTACACCTTACAGTCCTTCCATACACCGAATATACTAGACCTATTGCTTATAGTATCTGAGATATGGACTTGACCACCAAAACTTAACCTTGTTCACTGATCCATGAAATGAGGTCGAGGTCAAGTGAAAACTGTCTGACGGGCATGAGGACCTTGCAAGGTATGCACATACCAAATATAGTTATCTTATTACTTATAATAAGAGAGAATCTAACATTACAAAAAATCTTAACTTTTTTTTCAAGTAGTCACTGAACCATGAAAATGAGGTCAAGGACATTGGACATGTGACTGACGGAAACTTCGTAACATGAGGCATCCATATACAAAGTATGAAGCATCCAGACCTTCCACCTTCTAAAATATAAAGCTTTTAAGAAGTTAGCTAACGCCGCCGCCGCCGCCGCCGCCGGATCGCTATCCCTATGTCGAGCTTTCTGCGACAAAAGTCGCAGGCTCGACAAAAATCTAAATACACGGTTAGTTTGGAATATCAAAGAACCCCAATAATTCAATTTTAGATGAAATCAAACAAAGTTTAATTTTGGACCCTTTTGACCTCAATATGAACCAATTTGATAACGGGGTCCACAAATAAAAAATCTAAATACATGGTTAGATTCAGCATATCAAGGAACCCCATATATTCAATTTTTGTTGAAATCAAACAAAGTTTAATTTTGGACCCCAATTTGGACCAACTTGAAAACTGGGCCAAAAATCAAAAATCTAAATACATGTTTAGATTCAGCATATCAAAGAACCTCATATATTCAATTTTTGCTAAAATCAAACAAAGTTTAATTTTGGACCCTTT